CCTTGAATCTTTGGATGTGTGGCATTTGTTCATCTCCAGAAAAATCAGCGCATCAAACTTGATCCATGTGCGCTTCGTTGTGTTTTGTGGGATATGCCACTCATCAGAGAGGCTATCAATGTTATCACCCTATTACCTAGCGTACCTATGTCATTTGGATGTGACCTTTTTGAAATATGAGATGTTCTTCCATGACCCGACATCTCATTCTATGCTTCAGGGGGATATAGAGTAAATAGCATAATTGGAACAACCTGGAAGACAGAGGAATTCATTTTTGCCCAGAAACGATCAATCATCCCGACCCTGATGATAGATCGCTTCGAAGTTTGGAGCACAATGCTCATCTCGACCAAGAAACAATTGATCGCTTTGGAGTCCTGAAGACAATACTCCTCTCATCCAGAAAACGATTGATCGTGCAGACCTTGACGATCTATCGCTTTCCACTATTGAAGATATTTCATATTTGGGTCCCGCTCCTAAAGACGATCCAGAACCACCAGTTGAAGACCCCTTCTCTCATCCAACAGTACATACTGACCAATTTCCTAAGAATATCCCTGAGTTAAATGCTCCTACTACACCTGCAAATTTGGTTGACAATTCTGTTGGATATAAATTACCTTTTAGGCAAAACTGTGGAAAACCACCAAATCCGTATTCCCCAGAGATTGGCAAAACATCGAAGTATCTGGTTGCCAATCATGTGTCCACTCAGAGACTACTTGAACCAGTCAAGGCTTTGTGCATCAGTTGTCTACTATCCATATCCCAACCAAGATAACTGAGACATTGAAAGACCATAAGTGGGTTCAAGCTATATAGGAAGAGATCAAGGCCTTCGAAAAGAATCAGACTTGGACACTGGAACCTTTACCACAACGGAATAAGATTGTTGGTTGTAGATGCATGTTCATTATAAATACAATGCTGATGGATCTATCGAACGATACAAGGAAAAGCTTGTGGCAAAGGGTACACACAAACCTACAGTATAGACTATGAAGAGACCTTTGCTCCAGTAGCAAATTTAAACACCGTTAGAGTCTTACTGTCTTTTGCAGCTAATTTGGATTTACCACTACACTAGTTTGATGTAAAAATTACTTTCCTGCATGGAGAACTCACAGAGTAGGTATACATGGACATTCCACTTGGCACTCTACAAAAGTGACAAAGACGACCAGAAAAAAATGACGGTCTAAGGGAAAACCGTCGTTGTTTTTTAAAAGACGACGGTTCTATAAAACCGCCGTGTAATAACACCATAAACACCTAAAAAATGGAGATTCCAATGGTTGTTCTAAAAGACGACGCACCTAATTAAAAAACCGACGTCTTATTGAATTGGATTTCAGCAGAGTAAAATCTAAGCCAACAAAGAACGGCAGAAGTTATGAATAGACCGACGTAGAAAGTAAAGACGACGATGTCAAAAAAGCCGCCGTTTTTACTTAGAAATTAACACGACCAAGTTTTCGTATAAGGAGCCGTATAATTACAAATAAATCCACGGCGGTATAATTCAAAATACCGCCGTATTAAATTAATGTACAACTACGGCAAAGATAAATATAACGACGTCTTTCTCGTATAGTTCTACGACGGTATCTTTAAATCTCACCACGTTGGGGTTTTCATTTAACGACGTATTATAAAATTTAACGTCGTATTTATTCACTTTATACGTCATACATTATATTTAAACCATCGTCTTAATAAGAATTTTTTTAACAATTTATTTCTTGGATTTTGTTATCCTACGTTGGTAGATCTACTTAATGACAAGAATTGAAATAACCATGACGGTTTATATAGAAAACCGCTGACATAATCAGATTTTTCTGAGATCACAAGGGTTACAAAATCTTACCAGATGGAACTCTGTTCCTCATCATAATCTTACCAGAAAGACAATATTTTAGAGGTTAATGATGTATGTGTATTTGTGTCTTTGAGATACACAAACGCACATACACATTAACATCCAAAAAATTGCCTCTGAAATTTGACGACGGCAGCCTCAGATTTGCAATCAGAGAGACAATTGTTTGGAAGTTGATATGTGTGCGTTTGTGTATCTACACAAACGCACACACACATCAACATCAAAACAATTGCCTCCTAAAATTTCAAGACGGCAGCCACAGATTTGCAATTAGAGAGACAATTTTTTGAAAATTGGTGATGTGTGTATGTTTGTGAATCAGATACACAAACATACACACACACACCAACATTCAAACAATTGCCTCCTAAGAGATGAGGTGAGACAGAGAAAGGGGCAAGAAGAAGTTGAAACCCTAATCGAATACTAAAACTGAAAGAACCCGTGAAAAAAAACCCTATTTATAATTAAAAAACCAAATCCACGTCGGTTATATTACACCTAACGACGTTTAACAAAAAGAATCCACGTCGCAGAACAAATACATTACGTCGTCTTAGTCTTACTTAAGACGACAAAAAAGACGACGGTATAACAAAAAACAGTCGTTGTTTTTATATTCGTATTTGATTTAAATCAGTCACCCAAAAAAGAAACTTTACAAATTCTAGAACATTAATTTCCTTCATTTTAATTTCCTCGGGAAAAAAAACTCTATTATAACGCACTATTTTGAAAAATAAATTGAAAGAACAAGGGAAAAAAAATGGGAGTTTCACTAAAAACCCAAAATGGGGGTTGAAATTATAAAAAAACCCAAGCACTATTTAAACATATAAACACCCAAAACCCATCATTACACACACTCAAAACCCATTTATAAACATACCCAAAAAGTTGACTTTGGGGTTGATTTTGGGGTGTTTCTATTTAAATAGTGCTTGGGTTTTTTTATAAATACATGTCTAGGATTGGGTTTATTTATAAATTTGTATAAAAAATTCTATTTATAATTATAAAAATAAAATCCACGTCGGTTATATTACACCTAACGACGATTTAAAAACGAATCCACGTCGCGAAAAAAATATTGCGTCGTCTTAGTTAAAAAAGACAACGGTAGAACAGAAAACCGTCGTTGTTTCAATTTCTTTAACCGTTTTCTTTCTGCAGGACTTGGATAGTTCAAAGCATTGACAGCTGAAGCCATCTGATTCGATTGCTCAGGCTTTAGAGGCCATCTGAAGCCATTTCTATTCTTTATCGCATTCTTGAAAACCCATCTTCCTCTTCAGAAGCTCTACGGATAAAGGAACAGGCTATCACAAATCTGACGGATCTTCTTAGCCAAGAAAATCGAGCAGAGGAGCACATTTGATCTTCAGGTTTCCCTGAGAAGCGAACTTTCCTTCGACAGCGAGTGGAGGCCAGGCTTGCATCTCTTTTGATGGAAAGCAAGGAGTATTCAGAAGCACTAAGTCTCCTATCAGGCTTGACAAGCTTCCTCTTGTGGACATAGATTTGTTGGAGAGTAAGCTCCATTTCTCTTTGAGAAAGACATCCAAATTATTGTCTTTGAGATGTGAGAGAGAGTGTCTGTGAGAGAGGAAGAACTTGGAAACCTAAATGAAAACTGAAACTGAAAGAAAGCGACAAATTTATACAATAAATTTTTAAAACCCACGGCGGTCCTTACACACAAACCGCCGTTTAATTCTAAAATCCACGTCGGTATATTAAAAAAACGACGTATATTATAAAAATCAACGTCGGTATCTTACAACAAAACGACGTGTTAAATACTTCTACCATGATGTGAGATATTAATTTATCGACTTTTATTTTGGAGTTTACTACGACAGTACCTACAACACTACTGTCGTATTTATTTACCACGTCCTAAGTTCAAATTATCGTCGTAATTTGTTTATTTATATGTCGTCGTTCTATGTAAACCGCCGTCTTATTTTATGAAACGGTTTGTATATATATACAACTTTTCGTCTACCTGACTTACACATGCACTGTTTCCAAACCCGAGAAAAAATTTCAATCTCCCAGAGAAAACTTTTCGTCTTTTTTCCTTGTCAAAGCACTGTCAGAGTATCTCATCGTCTTCCTCTCGTCTTCGTCGTCGTCTCTGAACTTAAACACCAAACTCCGAGAGAAAGCTTTCATTGCACGCAAAAGGTAAGCTTTCATTTCTCACTATTTTTGTTGCTATTTTGCATGCTCATACGGTTTTTGTTTTGAAAATCTTTTTACCTTTTTTCTGGCCAAAATCATTTTAATTCTTTCCAAGTTTGATAAAATATACAGACAAAGAGGGAAAGTTTCCAACTTTGAACACAACTACTTCAACTAAATAAGACGACGGTAGCTTCTTATTTACGTGGTTAAATATGTAGACCACGACGGTTCGTCAGTCGTCCTAGCGTCGTTTGAAAATTGATCTAAGTTGTTTTTAAAATGACCGTCGTTTTTTTATTTGCTTGTTTAATTGCAGGTTTGATTTCTCTGAACCATGGTTTTTGTTTTTCCTAATTTTGATAAAATACAAAGACAAAGAAAGTAGGGTTTGGTATCTTATATAGACGACGGTATCTTATTATTGACGCCGTGTGAATGTTAATACCACGACGTTATACTAAGATACCGTCGTCTATATAAGATGTCAAACCTTTCTTTCTTTTTCTTTGTATTTTATCAAATTAGGAAAAACAAAAACCATGTTTCAGAGAAATTAAACCTGCAATCAAACATTCACAGAGAAAGAAAAAGGTTTTTGGATTCTTATACAGACAACGGTATCTTATTATTTACGTCGTGTGAATGTCCATACCACGACGTTATATTAATATTAACGTCGTGTGAATTTAAATATCACGACGTCGTGTAAATATCGCCGTAATAAGTTCTTATTACGTCTTCTTTTATATTGTTTCGTCGTTGTTTAAGTACTCTCGTTTTAAACATTTATTACGTCTGATGTTATGTTATTGCGTCGTGTAAAATCTTATCATACGTCGTGTTTTATAAATAACCGTCGTTTGTGTTCTTAATTTTTTCCTGAAATATTTTCACTTGCAGGTTTGTTTTTTCTGTAACCATGGTTTCTCAAGACCAAAGTAAGGACTCTGGCTCCAAAAAAAATGGAGGTAAGGAGCTTGGAATGGTAACTCCTCAAGACAAGCCCTTGAAGAAGATGAAGTTTGTTTCATCTGCTGAGACAGAACCAACCAGCACGACAACAATTTCTGAGGATTCAAAGTCAGGTCGAGGTATGAGCACAATGCCTCGTGTTGTGAAGAGAAAATTGCAGAAAATCAAGCCAGTTGTTGAGTACAATAAAAGGGGGAAAGGATGTGGCCCTGCACATACTGAGATGCAGTCCTACATTGGTGTGTTGGCACGCTCCAGAGTCCCACTTGTGGACAAGAAATGGGCTGAAATCCCCAAGGATATAAAGGAGCAGATTTGGGAAGCCGTTGACATGGCTTTTGTGGTAGGTCAAGGGGGCAAGAACCTCGGTGTTATCTTCTGCTGCCAAGAAATGGAAGGATTTCAAGTCTACACTAACGAGGCATTATATCCTTCCATACATCAAGGAGAGGGAGAAATTAAGCCAACCCCCTGAAATATATAAATTCATAGAGAAAGCAGAATGGGATGCCTTTGTAGCTTCAAGGTTATCCAAAGAATTTGAGTCTGTGCATTCTCAACATTCACAGATTAGGGAGAAACTTGAGTACAATCATCGATTGTCTCGAAAAGGATATGCTGGTTTGGAGGATCAATTGGAGGAAACCATGCCTGGGGTAGAAATTGATCGATCTACCTTATGGAAGAAAGCTAGACAGGACAAACATGGTAACATCCCTGATCCAAAGGTGGTAGAGAAAGAAAAATTAATTGTAAGCCTACTCACTCTGTTTTAAATTTTTATTAAACTCTGTATTGCCTGATAATTCTTATTACGTCTTATGTTATATTTACCATCATGTGAATGATATTACTACGTCGATATGTTTTAAAAAACGTCGTTATTGGTCTGAATTTGGAATTGCTACTCTGTCTTTGTAATTATAGCATAAGACGTCAGTGTTTTATTTATTGCGTCATTTGAATATATTACTACGTCATTATATATATAATATTATTTGGTTGCATCTGTAGCCTCTTATATAAGTATCATCCTTTCTTACTTCAATAATTCATTCCAACTCTTTAGAATAGATTTTTAACATAAAGTAGTGTTTAAGAGAGAGAGAGAGAGAGAGAGAGAGAAGAAAAAGAAACAAGATGAAGAACGTGTGTCTTTGTCTTGCAATATTTCATACTTGTCATGGGTGAGTGGGTTATGTAATGTGTTCTAAAAGTTCTTATTTTATGATAAATGTGCAAATCATGGATTTATCTATTTACAAATCTCTCTCTACTTTCAAGTCAAGCATGTCTAATTTGTGCAATATTCACACAATATATATTTTGGAGTTTTGTGAAGTACGTACTATTCATGAAACATGAAAACTTCAATGACGGGGTATCCGAAGGATAAATGTACTAGATGGAGACCTAGGGTAGTGAGGCCAATAGGAGTCACGTGTTGGATACAATTTGTGACACTACAAGAAAAAAGGTCAGTAGTGATCAATTTCTCAGTGACTAAACTGAGAATGGTCACAAAAGGTACTTTTTTTTTTTTTTTTTTTTTTTTTTTTTTTTTTTTTTTTTTTTTTTTTTTTTTTTTTTTTTTTTTTTTTTTTTTTTTTTTTTTTTTTTTTTTTTTTTTTTTTTTTTTTTTTTTTTTTTTTTTTTTTTTTTTTTTTTTTTTTTTTTTTTTTTTTTTTTTTTTTTTTTTTTTTTTTTTTTTTTTTTTTTTTTTTTTTTTTTTTTTTTTTTTTTTTTTTTTTTTTTTTTTTTTTTTTTTTTTTTTTTTTTTTTTTTTTTTTTTTTTTTTTTTTTTTTTTTTTTTTTTTTTTTTTTTTTTTTTTTTTTTTTTTTTTTTTTTTTTTTTTTTTTTTTTTTTTTTTTTTTTTTTTTTTTTTTTTTTTTTTTTTTTTTTTTTTTTTTTTTTTTTTTGGGGTTTTTTGAAGTTAGTTTTATTGAGCTGTGTTGGTAATGCGACTGGCATTGTTTTACAACGATCTTTTATTAATTATCACCAAAATCAATAAGTGTAGGGAAAATCCGCGTAAAATAGCACATTTACTTTCCTTGTATGTGTTTTTATGTTTATTCCTTGTTTGTGTGCGCCGTCGGTGGTTTGTATATGATTTTGGCAAGACCTCTCCGTCTCCGTTATCCTGCGTGTGATGATGCTCGATATAAGTTGTCGCCATCGTGCCGACCACAACCTGACGTTGTACTCAGATGCTCTACGTAAAGACCTTACTGCACCCCTCTACATCGGGTAATTCACACGCCAAACCATGGACCTTTTATTGTTCATCAAACAGCCCTCCCAGCATATGTACAATCGCTGCTCTTCTTTTGGTTTGACTGGGAAATGTTGCCTTCCACACAGCAACCACCACTCTCGCATTCTTGCCTGTACCACGGCCACTACAGCACCCCCCGCAACCCCTCCCTCCCCTACTCTTCCAGATCCCGATGACCCCCCCCCCGCATGCTGTCCCCCTTCACAAGCAAGTGAGGGCCTTGTCAAGCGAGCCACCTATTAGTGTCCCTTTAAACAAAACTCGCACGTCGAATGTCCAATCGCTGTGTGCAATCATGAAAGGATTTGTACACAATTCTTTTAGGCTGGGCCGATGGATGCGCTTGCGGCACGCTTAAACACATCATCGTTTTTCGACTCCATCAATAGTATAACGCCTCTATTAGGGGTAACCTGTCATGTTCTTCCACACAAATTCTTTTGAGACTCCGTCTATATAGCATATCTAGTGCCTGTTTTTTGCATCAACATACAGATAAAATTAAGTATTTAGTTCATGAGTGTCTATTAAAAATTACGGTTTCCCAACTTATTGCCTGTTGCAAGGGCACTACCGACTGTAGTGTTACGCCACGCATTTCCCTCCCAGACATACCACACTTATTTTTATACCTTCCGGAGACGTCGCAACAGCCACACTATCTCCAAGCTTTGGGCCGAGGGTGAAGGATTATCAACTATGGTGCGGGAGTTGAGATAGTCTTCCAAAGGGACCGCCATCATTGCACCTGAGAACCTCCCAATGCATCTCCGGTGTGTCGCTTTTATTTGGTTGCAACCTGGTTCTGGAATGTCAACCTCGACGTCGCCTCGCACCTCACTTTGGTTGATTCCACCATACTACAACCACTTGGAGTTCCAAAAATGGATGGGCCGCCTAGCTTTGGTGCTGATAGTTCCTGTATATCTCTTAATACAAATGCCATTAAATTAATTGAGTCAACCATAAAGCTAATAATGAATTATATGCTAATGAGTTTCAGATTATGGTTTTTGCACTGTCACTTGGAAGGCATGCAGCTGGGGAATGGCCTGTGCTCATTGTGAGGACACGTGAAATCCCAGTGAAAGCCGATTCGTGACCACCTGCTATATGCCTCCTTGTTCCCAACTCTTAAATTTAAAAATTACTTTCTCTCCATCACTCAATTATATATTACAAGTTTGTTGCTATTTTATTATTTTGTCTCTTCACTATTTTTGTTTGTTGTATTGCATCCTTTGAAGGAAAATTGGAAACAGTTGAAAAATTAAATATATAATCTATGCATCTTTTGCTCCTTACTCAAATCTTAAATTCAAATTTGTATTTCCGCCACAACACACACACCTCCAACTAAATTTATATTGAAATTGGTAGTAGGTACCCTTTCAACAAGACAAGCACTTAATTATTCTGGTACACTGTAAATTTCAAATGAACGATACCATATAACTAAAAACAGACTAACAATCAAATTAGCTAATGAAGAATCAATCAGCAAATACTGTTCAGCTGAAATACTAGGCACTCAGAATGAGGTATGAAGCTATGCATCCCATTCTAGCAATGTAAAGTGAAGCATGTGTACGCAACAGATTAACAGAGCAGAACACACAAAGATGATAACCAAGACACCACTACTTGGTAAAATTGGGAGTCATATATCAACAAACTATGCAATCCCCTATGTCAATGGATAGATTCATACAAAGCAACCCATTCACAGCTTGGGATTTTCTAAGATTAAACTAGGAAGCAGCTATACCTCTTTGTTCAATACGTTCAGGTAATTTATTGCATCATCCATCTACATTCATACCCATCCTTGGTAATAGAACCTATAGATCACACACCGAAAAGGAATCAATTGGGAATTAGAAGAGAATGAATGATGTTTGTGACTTGGTCAAAGTCAATATTTTTCCTTCGTATATTGTTAGCTCGACAAGTCCGAGCAAATACTTGATCAAACCAGGGGAAACCCAAGACCATGGTTAGATACCCTGGTGGGTTTATAAATCTAGTTCAAATTCAAAGGCCTCAGATGGTCCAAATCAATCTCCAATGATGTAATCGGGCTCGATCAACCTTCGATTTTTTGGACTTTTAAATTAAAAGGCAAAAGCGGGAATTAAACAAAATTACAAAGCCAGGAAGCTGGAATTTTCTCTATCCAGTTAGACAAAATACAGAATTTAAAACTAGTGTTTGAAAAGAAAATCTACCATGAAGAGGCAGAGCAACAAAAAAATAAAGGCCTTGCAATGGTTATCTGGGGATTTAAGCAAGCCATTTGAAAAGATCTTGAGTTCTTCAAGTATTTTGAGACGTTGCGTCTAGTTTTGGAGAAGAGTCATCTTCTTCTGTGGCGGAGGCTCTTTTTATAGGCAGGAGAAAGCTTTAATGATGAAGTCTGAAAGAGGTTATTTTGAGCTATCCAAAGTCAGCTCTGATTTGCTGATCCGGACTGGTTCATAGGCGAGATGATAGGAGTGTTTCTATCAAAAAACCGCTGGTCTCTTGTGATAGTCCCCTGTCTTGAGTCCTTTGCACCCGGAAGTCTGGTTGACATTCGGCTCTTTCTGGTTCTGGTGGTTTTTGTATAGCTTGATTCCTTGTTGGGGGAGAAGGAAGTCATCATCATTAATGGTGACAATCTCCTCAGACTCTCACGTGGGTCATGTGTAACGGTTACCAATCTTTTAACTTTAGTGCGACTCAAAGGTTTGGGCTTTTTGTCTTTATGGGCACTTATTAATTTCTTTTATCTATTGATGGTCCTTTAATAATCTGTTTGGATCAGGTGAGAACACTTATGGTGCGAACGTTACGTGAGAACACCGTTGGATCTAATCTAACGGTTGCATCAAAAGCAATTGTAAGTGTAAGTGTTGTATTAGAAAGAGGCCTACTCTCTCTCTCCCTCCCTCCAAAACGTCAAGTCGAAAACAGACGTCCCCTCTAATCCAGCTGCTCGGTTTGTTCAACTAGTGGCCAATTTTTTTTATCAGCTTTGATTGAGCAAGGCCAATAACACTGAAGAGAGAGCGCCCCTGTTATTCCTTATTCGATTCCAGGAAGAACACAGAAGTATAGCCCTCATTTTCTGGGTTTATCATTCAGCTATTCGGTTTCTCGTTCGGTCTTTCTAGTCGGAACATTCTTCAATCCTTGAGCAACATATTGAGTTGGAAAGAACATTCGTCAATCCTTGAGTATGTCTTGAGTTGGAAAGAACATTCGTCAATCCTTGAGCAACGTCTTGAGTTGGAAACTGGTGACCCCGACCGTTGTGCTGTTCTCTTGGTTTTGAAATCATTGAGCATAGTCAAAACAGGGGTTGAGGAAGAAGAAAAGTGTGTGGGGTTGACGTCCAGAGAAACAGGGTTGGAAATGACTCACGAGGTAAGTGATATACTGTATTTGTCAGCTATTATTGGGCACAAGCATGAGTTACATAGTTTGTATGTAGGTCTTTAATATTTCACCAGAGAATCATTTTCATATCATATATTAGTTAACATATATATTTTAAAGCTCTTTATACTGTAGTTGTCAAGTTTATTATTGGACATAAGTTTGAGTTACATCATTATGTATGTGTGGTATTTAATATTTCACCAGAGAGTCTTTTCATATCATATGTTAGTTAATATATATTTTGAAGCTCTTTATACTGTATTTGTCAAGTTTATTATTGGGCATAAGCATGAGTTACATTAGTTTGTATGTAAGTCTTTAATATTTCACCAGGGAATCATTTTCATGTCATATGTTAGTTAATATATATATATATATAGATTTTAAAGCTCTTTGTAAGCACGTGCCAATGTTGGTATGATGGTGGTTATTCAGGGTTAAATTGCAAGAACTGTGAAATGGATTGTGAAGGACAGGTGACACCAGAAGTAAGGTCGGAGTTGAAACCAAAATTGGGACTTGAATTTGATTGCTGTGTCAATGTGTTCAATTTCTATAATATGTATGCTGCGGAAGCCGGATTCGGCATTCGGTGTTCTACAACGAGGACGTGCACACTGACAGGAGAGGTAACAAGGAAGGAATATGTATGTTGTAACAGGGTATGCGTTGACAAGCACTGTTAGTCGTAAGAAAAGACGACGAGGTTGTACTCGAACTGGTTGCAAGGCTAAACTTGCGATATTGAAGGTGAAAGACAAGAATAAGTACATAGTTGTAGGATTCAATGAGGTACACAACCATGACATGACCATAGTTGATAAAGTCCATCTATTGAGATCTCACCGAACTTAACAGAGTCTACAAAGGTCTATAGTGCAGATATGAGCAAAGTTAATATTCCGGTACATAAACCATTAAGCCTTCTTGAGGTGCAAGTAGGGGGATTAGAAAATGTTGGGTTTGTTAAGAGAGATGTCTATAATTATCTAAGGGACGTGCGTGGAGAGGTGATTGGCTATGATGCAGAGCTGCTTAAGGAGCATTTTATGGCTATGCAGGAAAAGAGTGAATCCTTTTATTTTAATATGGAGGTAGATTCGGAAGGAAGGATGGGTAATATTTTCTGGTCAGATGCAAGGTCAAGACGAGCTTATGGGTTTTTTGGAGATGTGGTGGTATTTGATACGACGTTCAACACGAACTGCTATGAGATGTTCTTTGGCCTTTGTTAGGCGTTAATACCATCGGCATACATTGTTGTTTGGTTTTGCATTCCTAACTAGCGGAACCACGGATTCATTTGTATGGTTGTTAGAGGAATTCAAGAAAGCCATGCCAGGTGAGCCACCCAAAATGATCATCACTGATAAAGATGCAGCCATGTCAAAGGCAATTGCTGTAACTCTTCCGACAACATTCCATAGATATTGTATATGGCATATCTTGAATAAGATTACAGAGAAACCTGGCATTGGAGAATGTTTTTCAAAAATGTGCAAATGCATATAGGGTATGGACAAGAAAGAAGAATTTGATGCGAAATGGGAGGAAATCATCACAAACAATGGGCTGCAAGACCATGCTTGGCTGAGCTCAATTCATGCTATGCGGGAGAATTGGGTTCCATCATATGTAAAACATGTGTTTTCCGCCTGGGATGTCAAGTAGTCAAAGGTCCGAAAGCTGTCATTCATTTTTCAAACAATATATTAATCGGAAAAACACATTGATGGAATTCATTGTACGTTTTGAGAGAGCTCTTGCTTCATAAAGACACAAGGAGTTAATGGCTGATCATGTTGATAACAATGAAAAACCTCCACTGCCATTTCAAACACCAATCCAACATCAAATGGGACACATTTACACTCGGGGAATTCTGGAAATGTTTGAGAGGGAAGATTTCAGAAGTCTTTTATGCTTGTTCGAACTTGTAGAGCAAGATGAGACATAGTGCAGATACAAAGTAAGTGAGCGGGTAAGTCCGGGGGTGACACGGATAAAGGAGCTTGTGCATGATAAAGATGCCGATAAAGCTTATTGCAGCTGCAAATGATTTGAATTTTGGGGTATTCCGTGCCGGCACATCCTAGCATTCTTAAAAATGAAGCAGGTTGAGCACTTGCCAGACAAGTACATATTGAAATGATGGCTTCAAAGTGCGAAAAGCGATGTAATATATGATAGAATCACAAAGAAGTTAACAATTGCGTTGATGGTTTGCTTTTGGTTAAGAGATCGAAAGTTTGCAAAGTTGCAAGTGATTTGATTGATTCGGCTTTGTTGTGTGATGAAGGTTTTGAGTTGCTGGAAAAATCTTTTGAGGACATTCGTGGGAAGCTTACAAGGTTGGTGTCATCAAGAGCTCATGTCGAAGAACCCAATGGTTCTGTCGGAACTGGTTATCCCCAACTCAAAATCAAAGATCCACATCGAGTGAAAGTAAAAGGGCGTGCGAAAAGAGTTAGAGGAGAAAAAGAGAAGGCAGCGCAACGACATAAACGTCGGTGCACTGAATGTAGGAAGACTGATCATGATAGATGAAGTTGTCCAAAACTTGCGATCCCGTAAGTGAATATGTGTTATATTGTGCTTTGAAATTTTTGTTGTTGATATTTATTTATTTATTTTCCGATGTGGCAGCTCTTCATCTTCCGACACATAACTTGGTGGTCTAGTTGGTGAGAATTTGCAGCCCACTTAGAGCACGCAGGACAGTGAACCTACTATGACAAAGTCATTTATGCAAGAGTTTGATTTCATGTATGGTCCCGGAGTTTGAACACTTATTGATACTTATTTACATCATTTTGAAAGTATCGGGAAACGTTAGTGAATCTTAGGTAAATGCCTCATGTCCATTGATACTGAACTATGGTTTATTAAACACATAACTATCTGGAAGAGTTTGATTTCATTTGTGGTCTCGGAGTTTTAACATTTATTGATACCTATTTACATCTTTTTTGGTCGTGAACGGCACCATGCTTTCAATGTGTAACCTTGAGTTGCTAGAAAAATCTTTTGTTGAAGGTGGATGTCCCGGATCTCCTCTGGGGCTTTGGGATTTTCAAACCTGAAGCCCTTGTTTGAAGGAGAATGAGTTTAGGGGAATCATGCAAGGGGTTTTCTACACAAATTTGCAATGGTTGCAATGAATATGAAAATATCCAAGGGAATCTTGAAACCATGACTATGTGTCAGTAAGAGAATCTTGAAACAATCACTTTGTCTTTGTAATGTCTCAACCAACGAATATCTGTGTCAGAGAATCTTGAAACAAATTGTCTCCCCACCGACAATGAATTAAACAAAAAATTGTGAGCACTATTACGAAATGAACGCTTCTAATCCGGAAGTTAGCGATCGAACTGTGATTGAACTCTAGGTTTGATAGCAGTGTAACCCAGATTGAAAGCATGTAAGCAAGATCGGGCATTAACATTAACAGTAACCCAGATCAGGCATTCACATTTAAATACTTACCCAAATCAGCTATTTAAAAACAAACAACTGCTAAGGGATTGCCTACGGAGTGATATGGCTATCACCAGTCATTATCGTTGCCTTTTGCTGGTTGGTGACCTTGCTCTGTTGGGTGTGCACCGCTGGAGATGATTTCCTGTGCAGCAAATGGGGTTATGGCGTCCCAGTCAATATCTTTGTGGACATCTACAACGAACCATCAGAATTTCTCAAAACCTTTGTTGAAAGCCACAAACATTGCCTGGCCTTGGTTGTCGCCTCCTTTGTGGATGCTCAAAGATTCGTACCTAGCATCCTTGCAAATCCTCTGCTGTGTGCTTTCTTCTTTGGGCACGAATTCTTTGCTTCTCTTTTCTGTAACAGGCTTTGTTAACTTGCTGAGTCAAATAAGCCAACTTCTGCTTAGCTCCGACACACTTTTGAGTCCAATAATGGACCAAAGAAGAGTTGTGTTCCAGTTTGTTCTTCATATCATTTATTTCCACAGAGGGATCATCGGAGTCCCTCTCGCTTGTAGAGGAGGTTGGAAGAGGCAGCGGTGGTGGAAGGGACCTTGGATAATCGGGGGCATATTCCCATGAGTCATCGGAGTCCCCCTGATTTGTGACAACATTTTCTTCCTTGAAATATCCAGAAAAACGCTGCATCATATAATATCCATACGGAATTAATGTGATCGAACAAATACTAGTGTTTTCATTTGCATCATCCAACACTAGGGTTTGTTCCCTAATTTATTTTTCCCTCACACCAAAATCCGTTATTGTACTTTCAGTACGAAGTATCATCCCGATACATACTTAGGAATTTTCCCCCCATTTTTTCTGAATTTTCCTGTATTTTTTACAATTTTCTGAAAAAAAAAGGAATAAAATACACACGGAATGCCAAGTGGCGGAGCAGGAGTGGGGAGTTGCAGCCCTTAGTGACATGCGATGCATTCCCATGCCGCCACATGCCCCTTTGCAAATGTTTTATTCATTTTCAATTAAATATTCATTTAAAAATCAAATTGAAGGGTAAAAATTCCGGAAAAAATCCTCCGGACTCGTGATTACATTTCCTTCCATGAAATATCCGGAAAAAGGCCACTTCATATAAATATCCATACGGAATTAATGTGACCGAACAAATAAGAATCTAGGGTTTGAACAGTGTAGTAGTGTTTTCATTTGCATCATCCAACACTAGGGTTTGTTCCCTAATTTTGTTTTTCCCTCACAGCAAAATCCGTTATTGTACTTGCAGTACGAAGTATTCATCCCGATATATACTTAGGAATTTTCCCCCATTTTTTCTGAATTTTCCTGTATTTTTTACGATTTTCTGAAAAAAAAGGAATAAAATACACACGGAATGCCAAGTGGCGGAGCCGGAGTGGGGAGCTGCAGACCTCAGCGACACACGGCGCATTCCCATGCCTCCACACGCCCCTTTTCAAATTTTTTATTCATTTCCAATTAAATATTCATTTAAAAATCGAATTGAAGAGGGAAAAATTCCAGAAAAAATCCTCCGAACTCGTGACGACATTTCCTTCCATGAAATATCCGGAAAAAGGCCACGTCATATAAATATCCATACAGAATTAATGTGATCGAACAAATAAGAGTCTAGGGTTTGAAAAGTGTACTAGTGTTTTCATTTGCATCATCCAACACTAGGGTTTGTTCCCTAATTTTATTTTTCCCTCACACCAAAATTCGTTATTGTATTTTTAGTACGAAGTATTCATCCCGATACATTACTTAGGAATTTTCCCCCCATTTTTTCTGAATTTTCTGTATTTTTTACGATTTTCTGAAGGAAAAAAAAGGGAATAAAATACACACGGAATGCCAAGTGGTGGAGTTGGAGTGGGGAGTTGCAAACCTCAGCGACACGCGGTGCATTCCCATGCCGCCACATGCCCCTTTTCCTTTTAATTTTTGTCTTACTTATATTTTCATTTGATAAACGCCTTTAAGGCTACGGTTTAGGGTTTACTGTGGAGTGTTTAGGGTAAAAAATTATTAAAAATTCCCCACAGCAATGCTTTTTATTTTCCCACTCATGCATTAGGGTTAAAAAAATATTTTCCCGCTCACGTCAAAAAAAAAAGGCGAATTCAAACTTCAAACTCCATATATGTTTCGACCAAATAATAAAATCCAATTCCTTTTCAGAATTGGAGGAAAATATTTGGGGGGTTTTGACCAAATATTTGGAAGGGTATAATTCTTATGTTTTCTTCATTTTCAACTCTGGACAAAGAGGTGTCAACACTGCAATGCTGAGATGGTGAAGCTAATTTCCAAATCCGAAAGGAATCTGCGCAGACTGTATTGGAAGTTCTTCACAACATATGTAAGTATAATCTTCCCAATCCTTGTATGTAAAACCAAATAGTTGTATATAATAAACAGTAATCCCAAACTGAAACTGCTCCAGATAAAAGAATATGATCTGACATTGTAATCCCAGACTGAAAAATGTAGTTTTTTTTTGTTTTTGTTTTATAGGGAGCTACAGGGTGTAGTGGCTATGAATGGGTGACATCAGCCAACACCCCAACTGAATCTGACATTCAAAACCAGGTGTATGTGAAGGAACTTAATGCATATGCTGAAGTAATCCGTATACTGAAGGGCATTAATAAAATCCTCCTACTGTTGTTAGTTCTATCATTTTTGAATTTGGCTGTTAAATTGATGAAAAAGTAAGAAATGTTTTGGGTTTAAGTATTTGTTTTGTAATTTTGTAATCCGGACAGCTACATATAAGACGTGTTTGGAAATGTACAAATATAATTAAGCCTTTAGCACAATTAGTCAATGACAAACTTCAACATTTCATATGCCTGCATCTTAACTTCACAATCGTGTTTGCCCCAAACAAGATACATTACTATTTATTCGACATTTGAAAAGAATCATGCACCATTTAGGGTTCGGGTTCAGCATACTGTCAACAATATGTGTTGAGGGTTTCATACAGCTTGTAATTGAACAGAATACAAAAACTAATTCTTTAATTTTAAGTGAAAAGGGGGAGTTGGATCATAAAGAAGACTTTGTTTCTTAACAAACAAGAAACCTACCTTTTCAAAACCTTACTAAAATAGAAAGGGGAAAGATGCGCTCAAGCATGCAAAGAAAGCTCTTCAAGCAAAATTGCCCATCTGTGAATATAAGGTCTGTTACCAACAAAATTGCCCATCTGGTTAAATTAACTTTGCAAGTTCATATACTACATATGCCCACCCAGTTAAAACTTTGTAAGTTATAGTATCTCCTAATGAATCACAACTACCAATATCCCTGCAACAACTGTACAGCGAGCTTCAACCGATAGAAGGGCATGGCCTCATGGGAAATCTTGGCCAGGTCTACATACGATGTCAGAAACTCGTAATATTTGAGGATGTACATCCCACAATCGCCCCTGAAACATAGCGAAGAAGCTGTGATTCATTGTACAACAAATCCATTTCATAAGACAATGTGGTTAGGTGGAATATTACTCACCCGCCTACTTGTTGGGGTGCATCCATGACGCGAATAACTGGCCACTTAGTTTTCAAAAGTAGACCGTCGCCAATATATCCAGATTCCTTTAACAACTGGGGCAACATTTTCTCCATCTGCTGCACGGCCCGTTGGATGGCTTGAGTTCTGCACAGATCTACTTTTGAATCATATGCCCTTATCTCACACTCTTTTAAATCACAAGTAAGATCCAGTGCTTCTGCCTTTGTAGGTTGAAGGGCAAAAAACGCGATTCACAGACGACCATGATTTAGCCAACTTAGGCCCTTCGCCCTTGACCATTCCCAGTTGACCCTTGCTGTGCTGCCTGTCCTCCTTTCTCACATACGCCTTTATTTGCTTGTAATCCAAGGCAGCACATTTCTGCATAGTGGCACACGAGTTATGCATCATAACGGATACCAAATTTGAAAATAAACAATGCTTAAGAAATAATACAGACCTGAAAAGTGGTGTCCAGTATCGTCCAATCAGAACCTACCCAGTTGCCAAGCTCTTGTGCCGCTCCCGTAGCAAAAGCAAGGTCATGTCTATGTTCTACGTAAAACAGTTGTTTCCATTATTAAATCAATAAATCACTACATAGCATGAGCATTTCGACAAAATCCCAAATCAATAAATGCTTACCGAGTCATCCAACCAACCATCATTGGTCAGCAATCGAACAAAGAAGTTATGCGAACCTTCCATACCATCTTCTCCACATAACCGCACATGTGAACTATATTTGTGAATCATTATTATTATCAATTCCATTTCACCATTCACTCAATAATTAATCATAATAAACCATTTACATTTCACTAAGGACGGGCAGTGGGAACTTACTTTTCTTCTTGTCCCCATTCCCAGCAGAATTTCGCAACCTCCAAAAGGGAATCACGAGGAACAGGCCTTAGGGGGTCAGCAATTGGGTCCTCCGAAATATTGGGAATCTCCCGACCTGTCCATGGAGTTTCCCTCACCACTGCCCTCCGCCTCTTCATCGCAGGGCCAAGAATCTCACTCTTTCCCCGACCCCTCTTTTGCCAGACCCCAACTATAACATCTTCGCCACATTCACCCTTAGCAGTGGACATGTCAATCTTTCGAGGAGGATTCGTAAGAAATTTAACAAGAGTGACACACACCACACTCGGATCATCCCATTTATATCCGGGGTGTATATTGCACCTCTTCTTTAGCATTTTGTACACACTACTCTCTCGATTCGGCTACTCCACCATCCTCAGTTTTATCACTCTCCTCTCTAGCATCCTTAGTCTTCTGACTCTCCTCTCCAGCATCCTCAGTCTTATTCCTCTCATCTCCAGCATCCCCAGTCTTCCTCGCGTCTGCATGACTGGTACCTGATGAGTCGATTTTATATTATATATTTAGCCTCATTCTTAGTATATTTTGGTTAATATTTTGGAAGAATTTTGATACTTTGAATTCTATTTCCAATATAGGACTTTCGACTTCCTCTGGAGCAAAACATAATCAAATGGACGAATTTTGGAGTAATTCCAGTTGGAGGACGTTCGTGAGCCACTTAGCTTGATCGTATCAAAATATCAGACTTTTCCACCAAGCGATGATTTCCTGGCGAAAAAATGAAGGAGCGATGTGCAATGCTGGAATAGTGACGTTTTGGGCTTGTATTGCGTTTTTGGAGCCCAAGATGACCTCGGATGGGTTCGTGGCCTTCTGGAGAAGTGTTCGGAATATTTTTATCTTTAAAACGAGCTATCTTGGGCCAGATTTGGAGGAGATTTGAGGCCAAAACGTGGCTGACCAGATTATTGGCAGATTCTCCAATCCCATTTGGACTTTATTTCCTAGTATTATTTTATTTTAACTTAGTTTCCTTTTGGGGATTGGGCAGCTAGGTTTTAGGAGGTATTTAAGCTCCTTTTCACAGCAATTTAGGGGATTCCCTTTTTTACTTCTTTTTGGCTTTTGGAGCAATTGCTAGGGTTTTGGATTTTCGCGACTTTCAGGTGTTTTCATTCTTATTCTTCTTAATGATATTTTCTTGGATTTCAATTGTGAACATGCGTAACTAACTCTCTTTTGCTAGGGTGAGGCCACGAGCCTTAGCAAGAATATGTAGTTTCTGTCCAATTTGCTTATGATTATATGCATGCAGGTTTTCGAATTATTCATCACTGGGTTAAACTATCTAAGTGTCTTGATGCTTGATCACCATTAGGATGTTTAGAAAAGTAATTTGATGCAGTTTTGGTCGGAGGTCGGTCCCTGAAATTGACGAAGGCTTCTTGTGATTAATATGTGCAAGTTCACTTAGGATGAATACCACGTCTTAAGGGTTGCATGGTTTTTCAAAAGGTTTCACAGAACTTAATGAGTCATGTATGTTTAGATTTGATCTGAATACCACAGACGGATTGCATGTGTGATATACGCTCTATGTTGGGGGTCCAAGTAGGCATATATTAGGAATACCTAACCTTCGAAATATGCATGTATAGGTCATAAGTAATTGGGGGAACTATATAGAATTGTTAAGGTGACGGCGGATCCCTAGTGCTTTCTTAATTTGATTTCTAAAAACACAACTGTTTCTCTTGCTCTTAGCTTTAATTTTGCATATTGCCTTATTTTTATTAGTTAAATTCTTTTTAATTTAAGGTCTTCAAATCAAACATCTCAACTTTCTCTTTTGCAATAATTAATTAGAATTTGGTTGCTACGAGTTATTTAATAATCCCTGCGGAGAACGACCTTGCGAGAATCATTTATACTACAATAACCTTGTCATTCTTGCAAGTTTTGTAGGAGTTTTAACCCTGTTTGCGCAGGTACTAAAAAGCCTATCAAGAAATTGGCGCCGTTGCCGGGGATTATTTAAAATATTTCGTTATAATCAGATTCTGCATTAATTATTGCTGTACATACATACCAAAAAAAAAGAAAAAAAAAGAAAAAATTTTCGTTTTTATTTATTTTTGCAGATCACAGCAAGGCAGTGCAGATTACAATCTGTGCATGGTCAGCACACGTTCAGCAGTTCAGCAATTGTTTCCGTTTGATCAAGAACCTGAGCAATCTTTAACACTACTACATTTTAGTCTTTGCGCGACGAAACGGTTTTCGTCGCGCAAAAATGATTTTAGTCGCACATCATTATGCGCGACAGAAGCTTCGTCGCGCACAATCCGTCGCGCAAACTTCGTGAAGAAAGGATTTGCGCGACGAACAAATGTCATTCGTCGCGCAGTTTGCGGTACGTATAACATCTTCGTTTCAAAAAACATTTCGGGACGACCTCATTGTCCGTCGCACAAATATTTGCGCGACGAAACAGAGGTCGTCGCAAAAAAAACTGCGCGACGGAATTGTCCGTCGCGCGAGCTACATGAACCTTGCGCGACGACATCTTATTCGTCGCGCATACACATCTTGTGCAACGAAATTACTCGTCGCGCAAGATTAAGATATATTTGTCGATTTGTTATTTAAATGTTTTTGCGCGACGATTTACGTTTCGTCGCGCAAAAGCAATATATTATTAAAAAAAATTTATTATTATTTGATTTTTAATTTTGTAAAAAAATAAATTTTGTTTTTTTTAAATTAAAATGAAATTACAATAAAAAAATTAATCGTAAAGAAAACATCTATTATATAAATAAAATAAATGTATACAAATTGTAAAAGTAATTATAAAAATAAAAAACTAATCAAATAATGTTCCGAAATCTACTTGGTCATCTGCCACATGTGGCTCGGAGGTATGTGGCTCGGAGGTATGGGTGTCTGCAGGGGCCGTGGTGTGCTGGGGATGCTCGGGCTGGACGGGCTCGGAGGTCGACGCACCAAAATTCGGGATTGGAATCCCGGACCGCGCGAGGGACTGCAGAATCACCGACATCTGACCCTCAAGCTCGGCAACCCGCGATGTCAAAACAGTCACCTGACTGTTTGCCTGCGACGATGACCGCGGTCGAGGTTCCCTCTGTCGGGCATTCCCCATCCCCCTACAATACGTTCCCGGCCTCCTCCCGAGAGTCTGATCCAACGTCTGCGTCAAAATCTGAAATCCAGCATCATGCGGAGGATCCACAGACTCGATCGGAGTCTCGGGAGGAAGTTGGGAGGCGGACTCTTGAAGAACCAACTGGCTCCTCTCCACCATCGTCGTCTGTTTAACATTACATAAAATATAAATTCAAAATGCATATAAATTGAAAGTGTAACATAAGAATTAAAAATACATAATACTTACATGAAGGGACTCGGCCAACTCATTCCCAGGTCGAACATAAACGTCACCAAAGACGTCGATCTCTGGGAATTTCGACCCCCCCTTAATTGAACAAGAGAAGAAAAATATTAGTATGAACAAAAGAAATTAATAATAATGACGTATTAAAATTAAATATAAATTATATTATTCTTACCCGACGCCGTGCATCCATCCTATATGAGAAGGGCCTGGAGCCGGAATGGTGAAGAAGAGTCTTCTTCTTCCTATTGCCCTTATTCACTTGGGCTTTATTCTGTTATACAAAAAATAAAACGTAAGAATTGAACTATAAATAAATTAAATAATAATGAGATATAAAAATAAAATAAACATTAAACAAATATTATTAAAAAAATACCACATAATCGGGCGCCTGAAAATGAGCGCAGAGCCACGCCCAACTATCCTCCCGCCCCTCAAGCTCCTTCGGGCAACCCTCCTGAAGAGCGACTTCCGGATCATCAAACGCCTGGAAATGGTGGTGCAAGTCGCTCTTCCACTGCTTGTACCTCTCACCGAAGAGTCTGTTGACGTACGCCAAAGTCTCCTCGTTGATGTCCTCTAAGTCGTAGTTCGTCTGCAATAAATTGATTACATACATTAAGTAATAGAAATATATAAAGTTTGAAAGAAAAATAATTAAAAGATAGGAAAAATACCGACAACTGGCCGCGAACTTGCATCTTGATCTCGTCAGGTATGACCTTCCAAGACTTCCATTGCATCGGGCAATGGGTCCGAACGACGTGGCCAATGTCGTGGGCCAAGGAGCTATGCAAGTCCGCCGTCGGTGCAGCCCGATGGCGCTCGTCATATCCGATGCTGATACGACTGTTGGTCACCCGGGTGACCTTCGCCGTCTTTAGCTGCCGACACGGCCCTCGGGTGTTCCTCTTGGCTGCAAAGGGATATGACAATATTGTTACATATACAATCAAATTGAACCATAAAATTCCCAATTAAAAAAATGTTAAAAAAAAATGAAAGGGGAAGGGTATTACCTGTAGGTGCCCCCGAGGCACCAGTACAGTCAGTGGATGTGGTGTCGGTGGTGGTAGCGGGCCGGTGTCGCCGCCTAGCGCTAAGAGGCTGCACCACCGAAGAAGATGATGATGCAGCCGCCTGGGATCCCCCAGGACCAGCTAGCACGTGGTCCTGCTCCATCAGTGCTGGAGCAGTGGCAGCTGATACCGGCTGAGCCGGGGGCTCCGAACTCGGTGTAGCCGTCACCGCCCTACGACGTCTAATCAAGTCTGACATCTGCACAATTTCATTAATCCAATGTAGCACATACAATGTCAGTAAAAAATTGAACTAACTAATTAAAATCATAGTTTGACCTAGGGTTTGCGATTTCGGAGTATCCGGGACTCCGATCCACAATCCGTCGATTCCTAAACGATCCTATAAATACATGGTACCACATACGTGAGTTTCAGCTCGATCCAACGGTCCGAACATATCAAACCCTAAAATCGCACAATAGGTTCGAACCGTTCGAGACTCAAACGATAACCAAATTCCAATCCGAGCACACCTACGCGCTCGTGACAACGAAATGTTTGCACTGGGACAAAATGCCCTATGCCACAGTACCCCACGCGCCACCACACGCGCCGGCAGCGCGTGGGTGCCCTAAGCGATAACGATCCCCGGGAAATCCTACAAATTAAGGGGCAAGGTTCCTACCCTAGGTTTAAAACATCAATTGGAGCCACTTTTGTTCTTGGACCTTCCCCGAAAAACGGACGGAAGTGGCCGAAATTTGAATTTCAAAACCGGCCGAAACCTATGGTTTCAAATTGACTACCCTATGCACACAATCAATCAAATCCTACACAACCATCAGCTAGAGCATGAAAAATAGCCCAGAAAGCATACCTCAATTGCCTGATTTGGTGCCCGGAGGAGAGAGAACAACGGCGGCGGAGATTCGGCCTAAACGGAGCAATTCACAGCGGCAGGATGGACTGCCACGGCGGAGAAGCTCCTGGGTTCGACGGTGGCGGCGGCAGGGTCTGATTTGGGGCGGATTAGGGGCTGAGGTCACGGCGGAGAGATTTGGGAGGTTTTAGGGTTAGGTTTCAGAAATTGGGGAAGAAGGAGAAGATCGCGATTTTCAGAAAACTTATTCGACTTTGCGCAACGAATAAAGATATCTGTCGCGCAAACTTCATTAAAATAACCTTTGCGCGACGCAAAACTAAACTTTTCGTCGCGCAATATTATAAAAATTTGACCTTTGCGCGACTAAAACACTTGATTTCGTCGCGCAAAGTTGTGAACAGATATACCTTGCGCGACGAAAAAACTACTGTCGTCGCGCATACTTGTGCAGCCGCCCAAAATTTTGGGATTTGATTTTGCGCGGGATTTGATTTTTCGCGCATGCTAGCTGTTCCAAAAAAAATTTGCGCGACGACTGGGCACTAGTTCGTCGCGCAAACTGGCTTTTGATAAAAAAATTTCACTAAGTGCTGGAGCGGAGAGGGGAGGGAAATTTTGTTATTGATTTTGCGCGACGAATGAACGTGCATTCGTCGCGCAAACTGGCTTTTGATAAAAAATTTCACTAAGTGCTGGAGCGGAGAGAGGAGGGAAATTTTGTTATTGATTTTGCGCGACGAATGAACGTATATTCGTCGCGCAAACTCACTTTTGATAAAAAAATTTCACTAAGTGCTGGAGCGGAGAAGGGAGGGAAATTTTTTTATTGATTTTGCGCGACGAATGACGTGTATTCGTCACGCAAACTGGCTTTTGATAAAAAAAATTCACTAAGTGCTGGAGCGGAGAGAGGAGGGAAATTTTTTTATTGATTTTGCGCGACGAATGAACGTGTATTCGTCGCGCAAACTGGCTTTTGATAAAAAAATTTCACCAAGTGTTGGAGCTGAGAGGGGAGGGATTTTTTTAATGATTTTGCGCGACGAATTGATTATGTTTGTCGCATATGGTTTGCGCGACGCGTAAGCGTCATTTCGTCGCGCAAAACCATACCCTATTACCCTAAACCCTAAAACCTGTACCCTAACCCCTAAACCCGAACTCCTGAACTAGTTTCAATGATCCAACCGGCAATCTTCTTTTTTCATAGTTCAAGATCGTATACGTCAAAAATCATAATGAATGAACATTCAAAGATTGAGTAACGGGACAAAACGTTTCGACGGTTGTAAACAAATTGTCCCGATTCAACGGTGATTTTAGCTCCGATCTTGAAATTTTTTTACAGCTGCGGTTCTTGACCCTATATGAATACAGAGATGTAATTTGATCTTCAATTTCAGATATTTACAGTACAAGACATCACATAATCTTATGTTAGACTGAAGGAATGTATAAAGAAATTATTCAGTTTTTATGAATATTGTGTTTTTATGGAATACGCATTCTAGGAAACTAGTTTCAGTAATCTAGCCGTCAAATATGTTTGTTTATACTTCGAGATCTTATACGTCAAAAATGAGAAAAAAAAAACATTCAGAGCTCAAGTAACGGGACAAAACGTTTCGACGGTTATAAACGAAAAGTCATGATTTAACGGTTATTTTGACTCTGATTTTGATGATTTTTAAAGCTATACTGTTTAACCCTATGTGAATACAGTGAACTACTTCGATCGTCAATTTCAACTATATACGTGTGTATAATTCAGAAATATATATGTATATGTTTGCGCGACGGGGTCTCTTTTTCGTCGCGCTAAAGATACTTGCGCGACGATATTATTTGTCGCGCAAATGATAGAGTATGCGCGACGTGTACGTTATCCGTCGCGCAAAAATTGCGCGACAATTATGCCTTCGTCGCGCAAGATTATTTGCATTCACATATTATTAATCTGAAGTATTCATCATTACATATAATTACTTGTATGAAAGTATGATTTATTATATTTTCTTTCGATTTGAGAATGGAAGGATTGTTGATAATCTTATGTTCTTTGTATTCATTTTTTCGGTTATATGGTTTTCATTTTTTAAAAGTTTTTTGTGAAAATAAATTTAAACTTTATGATACAAATTAGTTGGCTATATTTATTTACCAATGGTTTATAACTACAATTATTTTAATAATGTTTCACTTGGTATCATATATAATGTTTGGATATAACAAGTACATATATGAAAACATTTGCATTACACAAAATATGTCCACTAACATAATAAAATTACAATAAAATTAATCATTCATCATCTGAACTATAATAACTTTCGTTATCGTTGCTATCATCACTTTCGGTCTCCCAATCCTCTTCCTCCTCCTCCTCCTCCGCCTCCTCTATAACTACATCATCGTCGTTGCTCGGGCCAACTGCAACATCATATCGCGGAAGATCACCGAGGTCAATTGTAATTGACTGAATCGGTATTTCGATTGAAGACACTCCTTGTATTTGAAATGGCTCTTGTATAACATTAGTATCTCGAAGTGTTTCCGCATCATTTTCCATTGAAGATTCTAAACGTTGGTCAGCTACATTGTTGACGTTGTTGTCAGTTGGGTCTAGTTCTGGTATAGCATACACGTTCCTGTGATCCATCTTTTGAACAACGTTCCAACCGCTTCCGGCTTTAGGGTCATCTAGATACACAATTTGTGTTGCCATGTTTGCCAAAATATAAGGGTCGTCATCATACCAAGTTCTGTTCATGTTCACAGATAGTAAGCCATGATCGATTTAACACTTCCCGGCCTATTTGGGTTGGTGTCAAACCATCGACACTTAAACATGATCACTTGGTATCGATCTTTGTAAAGCAATTGCACGACAGTTGTGAGTTTGCCATAGAAATCAATGTCCGTACTTTCGCCTCCACCTGGGACATGGACACCGCTGTTTTGCGTACACAACTTGTCATCTCGTGCTTCGGCCAAAAATTTGACACCGTTGACATTACAACCCGAGAACAATTCAACGCGAATCGGGCCAAACGCCAAGTTATATAACTCATCACTGTAAGTTGGGGAATTCGATGATTTCAACTTATTCACCTAATATTATACAAAACCATTCATATGTTAGTCTGAAAAATTTATTAAAAAATTTATATTTCTCAAATAACAAACACTGATAACTTACAGAATCCAAAAACCATTGTGGAAACAATTCACGGTGTTTCTGGCAACCAAATGTGATGGATGTTCTCGCTTCATCATCTCTTCATGCTCATATAAGTATCCCATGATCTCATCACAATTGTTCAGTACGAACCAATGCGCTACCTCCATGTCATTTCTAGAAAACGACTCTCCGCGTCCAGGATCTCCGAAGGGTCGTGCGCTTTGGGCAAAAACAGAAAGTTTTTCATTTCTCATACCTCCATCATGATTGCGCTGAGGACGATTGAAAACCGTCTCCACATCTTTTAAATACATTCCGCAGAAAGTAAGCGACTCATATTGAACCCAAGCCTCTACGATTGATCCTTCGGGCTTCGCCCTGTTGCGTACACTTTTTTTCAGCTCTCCGAGAAGCCTGCCAAAATAAAACGATATGATTGAAATTAGCAAGCATGTGATAATGATGCATACACAAATGATAAGGATTATATACCTTTCTATTGGATACATCCAGCGATAGTTGACAGGACCAGCAAGTAATGCCTCTTCTGGCAAGTGAACCATCACGTGCATCATACTTGTGAAGAAAGCTGGAGGAAATATCATCTCAAACTTGCATAGGACTTGGACAATGTCATGGCGCAACTGAAACATGTCCGTTTTTTCGCAAAGTTTTCGCCGTCAGTTGGGAAAAAAATCTGGACAACAAAATGATTGGCTTCACTACATCTTCCGGCAATAGGTGTCGAATACCAACAGGAAGTAGGCGTTGCATAAACACATGGCAGTCATGGCTTTTAAGTCCAGTAAATTTACCCCCGTCAACATTCACACAACGTGCGATATTAGAAGCATACCCATCGGGAAACTTTACTGACGATACAAACTTTAAAAACTCTTTCTTGTCATTCGGTTTCATAGAAAAGAATGCAAGATCCCTTCTAGCTTTATCATTGTCCCTATTCATCCATAAACCCCTTCGTATGCCCATTCTTTCCAAATCAAGACGAGCTTTGATCGTGTCCTTTGTCTTCCCCTCGATATCTAGAATCGTGCCCACCAATGTGTCGAATACATTTTTCTCAACATGCATCACATCTAGATTGTGCCTCAATTTTAGTTTCGACCAATATGGGAGCTCAAAAAACATAGGTTTGTGCGTCCAGTTCATATGTGTAGAAGGTCTGATACGACTAACTGTTTTCCCGAAGGGAGCAAAATCCAACCGGTTCAGCTGGTCCAATATCTCATCACCGGACCATTCTCTGGGTCTAAGGCGACGCTCAGTGTTCCCGTCGAACTCTTTATCTTTTTCCCTCCACTCATGGTCCCATGGCAACCATCTCCGATGACCAAGGTAACAAACTTTTCCAGCATGCCAACCAGAAGTTACATCTTCCTTGCATACAGGACATGCCATATAACCTTTTGTGCTCCACCCAGAAACCATTGCATATGCTGGGAAATCATTCACAGTCCACATAACTGCTGCCCGCAAAGTGAACATCTTCCCAGTTGATTTATCGTACGTGCGAACACCGTTTGTCCACAAATCCTTTAGCTCATCAACCAGCGGCCTTAAGTAAACATCGATTGACCTCCCAGGATCCTCAGTTATCAAAACAGTCATCATCATGTATTCTTTTTTCATGCATTTCCAAGGCGGCAAATTATATGGGAATACGAAAATCGGCCAAGTGCTGTGGTGTTGGTTTAGAACCCCATACGGATTGAATCCGTCAGTGGCAAGTCCCAATCTAACATTTCGGGGATCAGCAGCAAACTCTGGGAACGTTCGATCGAACTCTTTCCATGCCTCCCCATCTGCAGGATGCCGCATCACATCATCGTCTACCCGTTTTTCCTAATGCCATCTCATGTCTGTGGCAGTATGCGTCGACATATACAATCGCTGCAACCTAGGTTTCAGGGGCAAATAACGCATGACTTTTTGTGGGATCTTAGTCGTCCTATTCTGAGATGTCATCTTGAACCTCGACTCATTGCATATAGGACATGTATCCAACGATTCATGCTCTTTGTAGAATAACATGCAATTGTTTTTGCAAGCATGAATTTTTCATAACCCAATCCAAGACCATTCAACACCTTCTGCGCCTGTTTATGGTCTTTCGGCAAACAATTGTCCGTCGGAAGCATTCTCTTGAAAACCCCCAAAAGTAATCGAAACACAGGTTCGACATACGATACTTTATTTTTCCGTGCATTAGCTCCACAATGGCCGTGAGAACGGAAAAGCTCTCGCACCCCGGGTATAACTCTTGGTTGGCATTTTTTAACAATTTCTCATATTGTTCAAACTCCGCACTGTCTATTGGTGTAGGCACATCATCTTGCTCTTCTTGATTCATGTTGGTCGATGCAAATGGAAAAACATCCTGTATAATATCCATGACTTCATCATTAGCATCCACAATAGGTTGAACATTGTCCACTCTTGTGGCATTTGAAGACGAAGCATGCTCTAATTGTTCCCCGTGAAGGTTCCAAATGCTATATGTCTCAATCATTCCATTTCTTACTAAATGAAATCCAACATTTTCAATTGTCTCCCATAACGTGTTGTTGCACCTCCTACAAGGACAACAGATTCTAGTTGCACCCGGGTTGTGTCTACGTGCAAACTCAATAAAATCCTCGATTCCATCCAAGTATTCGTCTGCGCATCTGTTCGGGTTTTGTATCCACCTTCTGTCCATAATTCCTGAAACCAGAATCACAACACAACAATCACAACAACTTCATACGAAGTTATAATGTCACCTTATGCCTCCGGTAAGGGTCCTATCCCATTCGGGAATGCATACTCCTGCCACGTAACCTACGACTACATGAGATTAGATTTCGACGTGGATGAATTTCGCCAGCATCTCGCTACAGTTCTTGAGGTGGCCATAGGTATAAATACCTATGTACCACCCGAAGAACGTACCGAGATGACAACGAAATATCCACAATCGAAACCTAATCCTGTAGCCATAGATTACGTGACAACACTATGCATTACCAAACTGTCCAAATAATGGGACAATTCAAGAATTAATTGGACCGCAGTCATGCATTACGCATCCATGCACGAAATCCAACTAATCTCGAACGGGAAACTAAGTGTTACTAAACATAAAAATAAAAGCACGAAGTTAATTTCAATTAACTTCGTACATCACAACAGATTGTACTACGTTACGCACAACATAATATAAATATAACTTCACAAGAACATTTTAAACATATATAAAACAAATAAAATACCTTCTCAATCGTTCTCCACCAATCGCTAATTACAAATATCCCTAACGAAAACAAATTAAAAAACCTTAGTACGAACTTAAATTAATACTTTTAAACTAATGACGAAAAATACTTACCCAATCAATGTATTGAAATCCCAGCAGCAGCAGAGAGGTTGAGAGAGAGGCAGAGGCAGAATGCTTTGTTTTTGCATTCTGCCTCTGCAATGGCAGAATTCTAATATGAAGAAGAAGGACTTTTGCGCGACGAACATACTTATTCGTCGCGCAAACTCCCGTCGCAAAAAACCAAATTATTCGTCGCGCAAACCCATTTTTTCGTCGCGCAAACACCTGCCGACATCTAACTTTTGCGCGACGCTGGTACTTTCCGTCGCGCAAACTTTCGTCGCGCAACATTGTCGCGCAAAAACAAAATTCCGTCGCGCAAAACAAGATATTCGTCGCGTAAACGTTGAACTTTACGCGACGAAACGTAAGTACGTCGCGCAAAAAAAAATATCCCACCCAGGTCATTTTTGGCCCCAAAAAATAAAATATCTCTTGTTCTCTTACGCGACGAAACGTCTTTCCGTTGCGCTAAATCAGGGGACTGTCCTATTTGCGCGACGGATAATTTGTTCGTCGCGCAATGTTGCCTTCAGCGACGATATTTCTCGTCGCGCAAATGTTTCGCGCTAAAAAAATTCCCCCCGCTTTTTTTAACTCTGTTTGCGCGACGAAAATTTTTTTTGTCGCGCATATACATTTTGCGCGACGAAAAAGTTTGGTGGCGCAAATTTTCAGTGGATTGCGCGACGAATATGTATTTTCGTCGCGCAATTATGGTTTGCGCGACGAGTTGATCTTCGTCGCGCAAGATTTCGTCGCGCAAATAGTGAAACGTAGTAGTGTAAGGAGGAGACGCAGGGAGCAAAATTTGCTGTGGGTTCCTTCACTGCAAGGGGCTTTTCTGCAGTCTTTATATTCTGAGGACCTGCACAGTACAGAAACAGTGGCTTTTGTTATTCCAGAGGCTGGTGATCCTTTGGGTAATTCTTTAACAGCTCATGCCACTAACATACCAGGTTGCATTACATATCCAGCAATGGAAGAAGGGTCTACATTCGAAATCAAGCATCACATGTTGAGTATCCTACCTACATTTCATGGGTTATCAACTGATGATCCTAACATGCACATTGCAGAATTTTTAATGGGATGCAAGAATATTTTGGTGAAAGGATTCTCAGCTGAATCTATTAAGCTTCGTCTATTTCCTTACACATTGAAAGATCAAGCAAGGAGATGGCTCCTCACACTTCCATCTGGAAGCATTAGCACTTGGAACCAACTCAGTTCAAAATTATTAAACAAGTATTATCCAGCTTCAAAGACTCTCGACATGAGAACTCAAATTTTATCTTTTTCCCAAAAACCAAATGAAGAGTTTCATGAGGCGTGGGAACGGTTTAAATATGACAACAAAAACTCTTGTCAACGCTTCAAGCGGAGGATCATACAAGGATAAAAATGCACAAGAGGCTTGTTTATTATTTGAAAAAATGGCAGCAGATACACAGCAATGGGCAGTTGAGCAGCCACAATCAAGGTCTGTTTTTGAGATATCTAATGGTTCTCCATATATGTCGGCACAAATTGAAAAAATGGAGAAAAAGCTTGAAAGATTTGATGCAAAATTTGACATGTTATTACAAAGAATTCCAGGTTCACAGGTTGCTGTACAGCAACCTTTACCAGCTGCCTGTAGCATTTGCAATGTGACAACCCATGATTTTTTGAGCTGTTCGCATAAAGATGCTTATCCGGAATTTGCAGCGGAACAAGTTAATGCATTTAATAATTTTCAGCGTCCACGATATGACCCGTATTCAAATGTTTACAACCCGGGTTGGAGAGATCATCCTAATTTTAAGTGGGACAGAGATCAGCCTGCAAGGCCACAATTTCAACAACAGGTACAGCAAACTGCTGCGCCTAAGGCTGCTTGGGAGGTTGCAATTGAAAAATTAGCAAATGCCACCAGTCAAGAATTCCAAAATCTGCGGCAACAGTGAAAAACATAGAAAACAAATGGGGCAGATTGCATTCCAAGTTTCAGAAAGAGCACCAGGTACATTTCCTAGCCAAACGGAACATAATCCAAGGGGAGGCGCAGATTGTAAGGCAGTTCGAGTTCTACGTTCGGGTAAAAGTTATGACAATAGAGGTGAAATTTGTGTTGGAAATTCGCAGGCAGCATCACAGCCACAAACAGATTCAGGAAATTTTGCAGAATCTGATATTGTTACAGATTCTACAGAGTCTATGGGCAGATCTGAAAACAGTGCAAAAATTGCTGCAGAAACTGCAGAACGTGTTTATGTGCCTCCAATGCCTTATCCCGAAAGGTTGAAGCCCAAAGTTAAAGATCAACAGTTGACAAATTTTATGAAGACGTTGGCCAAAGTTCAGATCAATCTCCCATTGATTGATGCAATTAAGAACATTCCATCTTATGCCAAGTTTTTAAAGGATGTTTGCACAAAGAAAAAGAAGCTCGTGGATTTTGAAAAAGTTATTCTTACAGAACAGTGCAGCGCAGTTTTATTACATAAACTGCCTCCAAAGAAACAAGACCCAGGGAGTTTTACAATTTCATGCACAATTGGAAATTCTAATTTTAAACGTGCTTTAATTGATTTGGGTGCAAGTATTAATTTAATGCCTTTTTCTGTTTTTCAGAGACTAGGACACGGAGAAATCAAGCCTACATCAGTTATTCTACAACTGGTGGACCGTTCAGTTGCTTACCCTAGGGGAATTATTGAAGACCTCATTATTAAGTGGATAATCTCTATCTTCCTGCAGATTTTGTGGTCTTGGATATGGATGAAGACATGCAAACACCGATTATTTTGGGAAGACCGTTTATGGCAACATCTAGGACTTTAATTGATGTGGAAGCTGGAACATTAACTTTACGAGTTCAAGACCAATCTGTGGTTTTTAATTTGTTTGAAGGAGCAAAATGTCCTGCTGAACAGCAGGAATGTATGCACATTGATGTGGTAGACAATATGGTTCAAGCCAGCTTTCAAGCAAGTTCAAATACAGATAAGTTGCTCAGCAAGGGAAAAGCGAAAAATCGGAAATTGCAATTAAATGAGCTAGAGGAAATTCATCAAGGTGCTTATGATAGTTCTCGCATCTACAAGGAAAGAACTAAGGCATTTCATGACAGTAAAATTTTGCGGAAGGAATTTCGGCCAGGGAAAAAGGTTATGTTATTCAGTTCAAGGCACAAGTTATTTCCAGGGAAATTAAAATCTCGCTGGATTGGACCTTACCTGGTGACTCAAGTTTTTCCTCATGGAGCAGTTCAAATCACTAATGAAGCTTAAGGTAACACATTCAAGGTCAACGGTCAAAGGCTGAAACCCTACGTGGAGACACCCTTTGACACTGCAACCGAGTCTTTGACTCTAAAGTAACCAGTGATTTGACCACCAGATTTCTGCAATGTCTAGCTACAGACTTAAAATAAAGCGCTTATTGGGAGGCAACCCAAAATTTTTTTTTCTAACCTCTTTACTTCTTTATTTTTAAAACTAAACAAAAACAAAAAAAAATACAAAAATATTTGTTTCTGTTTTTCCTTTTCTAGTTATTTTCTTTCTACTCCTAACACATATTTGATTCAATGCAGGACAACCAACAATCTGCAGCAAGTATCAAAAGCAAAAAAATAAAAAAATCCTAGGTTGGAATCCTGCACCCAGCAGCAAGTCTACACTGGGAAAGACACAACAATCAGCAGCAAGTATCAAAAGCAAAAAAATAAATAAAAAATCCTAGGCTGGAATCCTGCACCCAGCAGCAAGTCTACATAGGAATCATGCACCCAGCAGCAAGTCTACCACATTTCCAACAACAAAATTTGCAGAAATTCGAAATTATACCTATGAGATGCACGGATTGGGGGTCCTCAGGCATTTTGCTATTTTGTCCTTTGAGTTTGTGTGTTTATTGCCCTTTCCCTTGAATCTCTCTTGGATCCGCCGACCTTACATAGCGAGCACCACTATGAGTACCTGCAGGGACAAAGAATACACATCTCTAAATATCACACATCTTTACAGATAAGGACCCAAGACAAATTCTGGAATTACTCTTACCTTCGGATGGATATCGGAAGGCATTGGTGCTATGAGATCGAGGACCAATGGATGCAGGTGGACGTTAGTGACAGTACTGGCAGAGGTTTGAGACAGAGGAATGTACCCAGAGGCATCCAACACCTTCAGCTCAGGCTCCTTCAGCTACTGCACGTGCCAAGAATTGAATTCTCCGCCACTCGCTCGTATAATGTCGATTTCACTGTGAAAATTGGGGGTAAGGCATCTGGGCAGATTTGGGGTTCTTTGACCCAACTCAAATACGCCAACCCAAATCCCCATTTTCCGAGCATCTGGCCTAGCACCCACTCATGCCCAGCAACTGACAAGCTTCGCTCCTTCTTCGGCTTTTAACTCTGACCCATTGTTTGACGAACAAATCAGTTGCAACCTTCTGATGAAATAAGGTTTCTGGGTCTCACAAAGGAGACCCCTGTGGCTCTGAGCTCGGGCTGGTAGAAGGGGATCTCATATCTTTCAAATGACAACTGTGGCAGCTAGACCAGGTTATATTGTATCTGTCGCTCGTCTTTGACGCAAGCGGAAATTTGGTTGGCGTTCGACTCACCAAAGCGTCCCTGCCCTCCTGGTGTGTTAGTTTTCTTTTATTTCTTTTCCTTTCTTTTTCTTTTAATTTCTGTTTTCTGTTTTATGTTCTTTTATGTTATTTTTATTTTATTTTATTTTATTTTTTCTCTCCTAATTTACTTCTGTGGCTGTTTCCTTTTTCTTTGATTTTCGTCCTCCGTCTTCTAGGATTTCATTGTTTTGTTTCTATTCTTGTTTCTTCTGTTTAATTTCCACACCTTGAGGACAATGTGTGATTTAAGTTTGGGGGTGGGAAAGTAAATTTTATATTTTTCATTTTTTGAGTCTTGTTTAAAATTTCGTTTTTAAGTTAATATCCATAGATTATTTTAAACATTAGAACAAATAGACATGGTGAAGATTAGTCCCACAATAGAGTCTTTTCTGTTTATTGTTGCTTAGACACTAATTCATGATTATACTTTGAAATTTACACATCACACCAACATGGTTTGTGGGGAGTGAGATTGAAATACTTATTGTTTGTCCCAGTGTGTTTTAATTTTTGTTCTATATAAATAAAGTTAGTATGTATATCAAGTAATAATTGCCTCACCCAAAGCTTTGTTAGTAACCGGGCCAGTCCTGCCTAATCAGCAGTGATTCTCGAGACAAACGGTAGAGTTTTGGCATGAGGCAGGGTGGTTAGTTGGTTTCGTAGCCTTTTCATCCTGAGTTAATAAGTCCTTAGGGGTGTTCTACACCTAGTGCCCTAAAGCCTTAGTGGTTTGGGAGTCATTGACCTAAAGCTCGCTACATGGGTTGGATTGAAAGCTTAAGGGAACAACATTGCACAACCACTACTGTTACTGAAAAAAAAAAAAAAAAAACAAAACAAAGAAAAAAAAAGAAAAAAAAAGTGAAGTATGAATAAAAGGGATGAGAGATAAAGGTTTTAGTCGAGTTTCCTTAACTATGATGGTTCACTTTACACCGAAGGAAGTTTGTGAATTCTTTTCTAATTGATTCTAAATAGCTTAGACTCTGTGGTGGGATTAGTTGGATCTATTGAACAGATGTTCTAGTTTTTAAAATTTGCTATGGATTGCAACTTGAAGGTGGAAATTTTGTTCTGGTTAAAGTGATAGCTAGATGTCTAGTTTGTTAAGCTTTTATTTTTGTTTGAGTCTTGTTTTGCTTGAGGACAAGCAAAAAGCTAAGTTTGGGGGTATTTTAATGAGTCGATTTTATATTATATATTTAGCCTCATTCTTAGTATATTTTGGTTAATATTTTGGAAGAATTTTGATACTTTGAATTATATTTCCAATATAGGACTTTCGACTTCCTCTGGAGCAAAACATAATCAAATGGACGAATTTTGGAGTAATTCCAGTTGGAGGACGTTCGTGAGCCACTTAGCTTGATCGTATCAAAATATCAGACTTTTCCACCAAGCGATGATTTCCTGGCGAATAAATGAAGGAGCAATGTGCAGTGCTGGAATAGTGACGTTTTGGGCTTGTATTGCGTTTTTGGAGCCCAAGATGACCTCGGATGGGTTCATGGCCTTCTGGAGAAGTGTTCGGAATATTTTTATCTTTAAAACGAGCTATCTTGGGCCAGATTTGGAGGAGATTTGAGGCCAAAACGTGGCTGACCAGATTATTGGCAGATTCTCCAATCCCATTTGGACTTTATTTCCTAGTATTATTTTATTTTAACTTAGTTTCCTTTTGGGGATTGGGCAGCTAGGTTTTAGGAGGTATTTAAGCTCCTTTTTACAGCAATTTAGGGGATTCCCTGTTTTTACTTCTTTTTGGCTTTTGGAGCAATTGCTAGGGTTTTGGATTTTCGCGACTTTCAGGTGTTTTCATTCTTATTCTTCTTAATGATATTTTCTTGGATTTCAATTGTGACATGCGTAACTAACTCTCTTTTGCTAGGCTCGTGGCCACAGCCTAGCAAAAGAGAGTTAGTTACGCATGTTCACAATTGAAATCCAAGAAAATATCATTAAGAAGAATAAGAATGAAAACACCTGAAAGTCGCGAAAATCCAAAACCCTAGCAATTGCTCCAAAAGCCAAAAAGAAGTAAAAAACAGGGAATCCCCTAAATTGCTGTAAAAAGGAGCTTAAATACCTCCTAAAACCTAGCTGCCCAATCCCCAAAAGGAAGCTAAGTTAAAATAAAATAATACTAGGAAATAAAGTCCAAATGGGATTGGAGAATCTGCCAATAATCTGGTCAGCCACGTTTTGGCCTCAAATCTCCTCCAAATCTGGCCCAAGATAGCTCGTTTTAAAGATAAAAATATTCCGAACACTTCTCCAGAAGGCCATGAACCCATCCGAGGTCATCTTGGGCTCCAAAAACGCAATACAAGCCCAAAACGTCACTATTCCAGCACTGCACATTGCTCCTTCATTTATTCGCCAGGAAATCATCGCTTGGTGGAAAAGTCTGATATTTTGATACGATCAAGCTAAGTGGCTCACGAACGTCCTCCAACTGGAATTACTCCAAAATTCGTCCATTTGATTATGTTTTGCTCCAGAGGAAGTCGAAAGTCCTATATTGGAAATATAATTCAAAGTATCAAAATTCTTCCAAAATATTAACCAAAATATACTAAGAATGAGGCTAAATATATAATATAAAATCGACTCATTAAATACCCCCAAACTTAGCTTTTTGCTTGTCCTCAAGCAAAACAAGACTCAAACAAAAATAAAAGCTTAACAAACTAGACATCTAGCTATCACTTTAACCAGAACAAAATTTCCACCTTCAAGTTGCAATCCATAGCAAATTTTAAAAACTAGAACATCTGTTCAATAGATCCAACTAATCCCACCACAGAGTCTAAGCTATTTAGAATCAATTAGAAAAGAATTCACAAACTTCCTTCGGTGTAAAGTGAACCATCATAGTTAAGGAAACTCGACTAAAACCTTTATCTCTCATCCCTTTTATTCATACTTCACTTTTTTTTTCTTTTTTTTTCTTTTGTTTTTTTTTTTTTTTTTTTTTTCAGTAACAGTAGTGGTTGTGCAATGTTGTTCCCTTAAGCTTTCAATCCAACCCATGTAGCGAGCTTTAGGTCAATGACTCCCAAACCACTAAGGCTTTAGGGCACTAGGTGTAGAACACCCCTAAGGACTTATTAACTCAGGATGAAAAGGCTACGAAACCAACTAACCACCCTGCCTCATGCCAAAACTCTACCGTTTGTCTCGAGAATCACTGCTGATTAGGCAGGACTGGCCCGGTTACTAACAAAGCTTTGGGTGAGGCAATTATTACTTGATATACATACTAACTTTATTTATATAGAACAAAAATTAAAACACACTGGGACAAACAATAAGTATTTCAATCTCACTCCCCACAAACCATGTTGGTGTGATGTGTAAATTTCAAAGTATAATTCATGAATTAGTGTCTAAGCAACAATAAACAGAAAAGACTCTATTGTGGGACTAATCTTCACCATGTCTATTTGTTCTAATGTTTAAAATAATCTATGGATATTAACTTAAAAACGAAAATTTTAAACAAGACTCAAAAAATGAAAAATATAAAATTTACTTTCCCACCCCCAAACTTAAATCACACATTGTCCTCAAGGTGTGGAAATTAAACAGAAGAAACAAGAATAGAAACAAAACAATGAAATCCTAGAAGACGGAGGACGAAATCAAAGAAAAAGGAAACAGCCACAGAAGTAAATTAGGAGAGAAAAAATAAAATAAAATAAAATAAAAATAACATAAAAGAACATAAAACAGAAAACAGAAATTAAAAGAAAAAGAAAGGAAAAGAAATAAAAGAAAACTAACACACCAGGAGGGCAGGGACGCTTTGGTGAGTCGAACGCCAACCAAATTTCCGCTTGCGTCAAAGACGAGCGACAGATACAATATAACCTGGTCTAGCTGCCACAGTTGTCATTTGAAAGATATGAGATCCCCTTCTACCAGCCCGAGCTCAGAGCCACAGGGGTCTCCTTTGTGAGACCCAGAAACCTTATTTCATCAGAAGGTTGCAACTGATTTGTTCGTCAAACAATGGGTCAGAGTTAAAAGCCGAAGAAGGAGCGAAGCTTGTCAGTTGCTGGGCATGAGTGGGTGCTAGGCCAGATGCTCGGAAAATGGGGATTTGGGTTGGCGTATTTGAGTTGGGTCAAAGAACCCCAAATCTGCCCAGATGCCTTACCCCCAATTTTCACAGTGAAATCGACATTATACGAGCGAGTGGCGGAGAATTCAATTCTTGGCACGTGCAGTAGCTGAAGGAGCCTGAGCTGAAGGTGTTGGATGCCTCTGGGTACATTCCTCTGTCTCAAACCTCTGCCAGTACTGTCACTAACGTCCACCTGCATCCATTGGTCCTCGATCTCATAGCACCAATGCCTTCCGATATCCATCCGAAGGTAAGAGTAATTCCAGAATTTGTCTTGGGTCCTTATCTGTAAAGATGTGTGATATTTAGAGATGTGTATTCTTTGTCCCTGCAGGTACTCATAGTGGTGCTCGCTATGTAAGGTCGGCGGATCCAAGAGAGATTCAAGGGAAAGGGCAATAAACACACAAACTCAAAGGACAAAATAGCAAAATGCCTGAGGACCCCCAATCCGTGCATCTCATAGGTATAATTTCGAATTTCTGCAAATTTTGTTGTTGGAAATGTGGTAGACTTGCTGCTGGGTGCATGATTCCTATGTAGACTTGCTGCTGGGTGCAGGATTCCAGCCTAGGATTTTTTATTTATTTTTTTGCTTTTGATACTTGCTGCTGATTGTTGTGTCTTTCCCAGTGTAGACTTGCTGCTGGGTGCAGGATTCCAACCTAGGATTTTTTTATTTTTTTGCTTTTGATACTTGCTGCAGATTGTTGGTTGTCCTGCATTGAATCAAATATGTGTTAGGAGTAGAAAGAAAATAACTAGAAAAGGAAAAACAGAAACAAATATTTTTGTATTTTTTTTTGTTTTTGTTTAGTTTTAAAAATAAAAGAAGTAAAGAGGTTAGAAAAAAAAATTTTGGGTTGCCTCCCAATAAGCGCTTTATTTTAAGTCTGTAGCTAGACATTGCAGAAATCTGGTGGTCAAATCACTGGTTACTTTAGAGTCAAAGACTCGGTTGCAGTGTCAAAGGGTGTCTCCACGTAGGGTTTCAGCCTTTGACCGTTGACCTTGAATGTGTTACCTTAAGCTTCATTAGTGATTTGAACTGCTCCATGAGGAAAAACTTGAGTCACCAGGTAAGGTCCAATCCAGCGAGATTTTAATTTCCCTGGAAATAACTTGTGCCTTGAACTGAATAACATAACCTTTTTCCCTGGCCGAAATTCCTTCCGCAAAATTTTACTGTCATGAAATGCCTTAGTTCTTTCCTTGTAGATGCGAGAACTATCATAAGCACCTTGATGAATTTCCTCTAGCTCATTTAATTGCAATTTCCGATTTTTCGCTTTTCCCTTGCTGAGCAACTTATCTGTATTTGAACTTGCTTGAAAGCTGGCTTGAACCATATTGTCTACCACATCAATGTGCATACATTCCTGCTGTTCAGCAGGACATTTTGCTCCTTCAAACAAATTAAAAACCACAGATTGGTCTTGAACTCGTAAAGTTAATGTTCCAGCTTCCACATCAATTAAAGTCCTAGATGTTGCCATAAACGGTCTTCCCAAAATAATCGGTGTTTGCATGTCTTCATCCATATCCAAGACCACAAAATCTGCAGGAAGATAGAGATTATCCACTTTAATAATGAGGTCTTCAATAATTCCCCTAGGGTAAGCAACTGAACGGTCCACCAGTTGTAGAATAACTGATGTAGGCTTGATTTCTCCGTGTCCTAGTCTCTGAAAAACAGAAAAAGGCATTAAATTAATACTTGCACCCAAATCAATTAAAGCACGTTTAAAATTAGAATTTCCAATTGTGCATGAAATTGTAAAACTCCCTGGGTCTTGTTTCTTTGGAGGCAGTTTATGTAATAAAACTGCGCTGCACTGTTCTGTAAGAATAACTTTTTCAAAATCCACGAGCTTCTTTTTCTTTGTGCAAACATCCTTTAAAAACTTGGCATAAGATGGAATGTTCTTAATTGCATCAATCAATGGGAGATTGATCTGAACTTTGGCCAACGTCTTCATAAAATTTGTCAACTGTTGATCTTTAACTTTGGGCTTCAACCTTTCGGGATAAGGCATTGGAGGCACATAAACACGTTCTGCAGTTTCTGCAGCAATTTTTGCACTGTTTTCAGATCTGCCCATAGACTCTGTAGAATCTGTAACAATATCAGATTCTGCAAAATTTCCTGAATCTGTTTGTGGCTGTGATGCTGCCTGCGAATTTCCAACACAAATTTCACCTCTATTGTCATAACTTTTACCCGAACGTAGAACTCGAACTGCCTTACAATCTGCGCCTCCCCTTGGATTATGTTCCGTTTGGCTAGGAAATGTACCTGGTGCTCTTTCTGAAACTTGGAATGCAATCTGCCCCATTTGTTTTTCTATGTTTTTCACTGTTGCCTGCAGATTTTGGAATTCTTGACTGGTGGCATTTGCTAATTTTTCAATTGCAACCTCCCAAGCAGCCTTAGGCGCAGCAGTTTGCTGTACCTGTTGTTGAAATTGTGGCCTTGCAGGCTGATCTCTGTCCCACTTAAAATTAGGATGATCTCTCCAACCCGGGTTGTAAACATTTGAATACGGGTCATATCGTGGACGCTGAAAATTATTAAATGCATTAACTTGTTCCGCTGCAAATTCCGGATAAGCATCTTTATGCGAACAGCTCAAAAAATCATGGGTTGTCACATTGCAAATGCTACAGGCAGCTGGTAAAGGTTGCTGTACAGCAACCTGTGAACCTGGAATTCTTTGTAATAACATGTCAAATTTTGCATCAAATCTTTCAAGCTTTTTCTCCATTTTTTCAATTTGTGCCGACATATATGGAGAACCATTAGATATCTCAAAAACAGACCTTGATTGTGGCTGCTCAACTGCCCATTGCTGTGTATCTGCTGCCATTTTTTCAAATAATAAACAAGCCTCTTGTGCATTTTTATCCTTGTATGATCCTCCGCTTGAAGCGTTGACAAGAGTTTTTGTTGTCATATTAAACCGTTCCCACGCCTCATGAAACTCTTCATTTGGTTTTTGGGAAAAAGATAAAATTTGAGTTCTCATGTCGAGAGTCTTTGAAGCTGGATAATACTTGTTTAATAATTTTGAACTGAGTTGGTTCCAAGTGCTAATGCTTCCAGATGGAAGTGTGAGGAGCCATCTCCTTGCTTGATCTTTCAATGTGTAAGGAAATAGACGAAGCTTAATAGATTCAGCTGAGAATCCTTTCACCAAAATATTCTTGCATCCCATTAAAAATTCTGCAATGTGCATGTTAGGATCATCAGTTGATAACCCATGAAATGTAGGTAGGATACTCAACATGTGATGCTTGATTTCGAATGTAGACCCTTCTTCCATTGCTGGATATGTAATGCAACCTGGTATGTTAGTGGCATGAGCTGTTAAAGAATTACCCAAAGGATCACCAGCCTCTGGAATAACAAAAGCCACTGTTTCTGTACTGTGCAGGTCCTCAGAATATAAAGACTGCAGAAAAGCCCCTTGCAGTGAAGGAACCCACAGCAAATTTTGCTCCCTGCGTCTCCTCCTTACACTACTACGTTTCACTATTTGCGCGACGAAATCTTGCGCGACGAAGATCAACTCGTCGCGCAAACCATAATTGCGCGACGAAAATACATATTCGTCGCGCAATCCACTGAAAATTTGCGCCACCAAACTTTTTCGTCGCGCAAAATGTATATGCGCGACAAAAAAATTTTCGTCGCGCAAACAGAGTTAAAAAAAGCGGGGGGAATTTTTTTAGCGCGAAACATTTGCGCGACGAGAAATATCGTCGCTGAAGGCAACATTGCGCGACGAACAAATTATCCGTCGCGCAAATAGGACAGTCCCCTGATTTAGCGCAACGGAAAGACGTTTCGTCGCGTAAGAGAACAAGAGATATTTTATTTTTTGGGGCCAAAAATGACCTGGGTGGGATATTTTTTTTGCGCGACGTACTTACGTTTCGTCGCGTAAAGTTCAACGTTTACGCGACGAATATCTTGTTTTGCGCGACGGAATTTTGTTTTTGCGCGACAATGTTGCGCGACGAAAGTTTGCGCGACGGAAAGTACCAGCGTCGCGCAAAAGTTAGATGTCGGCAGGTGTTTGCGCGACGAAAAAATGGGTTTGCGCGACGAATAATTTGGTTTTTTGCGACGGGAGTTTGCGCGACGAATAAGTATGTTCGTCGCGCAAAGTCCTTCTTCTTCATATTAGAATTCTGCCATTGCAGAGGCAGAATGCAAAAACAAAGCATTCTGCCTCTGCCTCTCTCTCAACCTCTCTGCTGCTGCTGGGATTTCAATACATTGATTGGGTAAGTATTTTTCGTCATTAGTTTAAAAGTATTAATTTAAGTTCGTACTAAGGTTTTTTAATTTGTTTTCGTTAGGGATATTTGTAATTAGCGATTGGTGGAGAACGATTGAGAAGGTATTTTATTTGTTTTATATATGTTTAAAATGTTCTTGTGAAGTTATATTTATATTATGTTGTGCGTAACGTAGTACAATCTGTTGTGATGTACGAAGTTAATTGAAATTAACTTCGTGCTTTTATTTTTATGTTTAGTAACACTTAGTTTCCCGTTCGAGATTAGTTGGATTTCGTGCATGGATGCGTAATGCATGACTGCGGTCCAATTAATTCTTGAATTGTCCCATTATTTGGACAGTTTGGTAATGCATAGTGTTGTCACGTAATCTATGGCTACAGGATTAGGTTTCGATTGTGGATATTTCGTTGTCATCTCGGTACGTTCTTCGGGTGGTACATAGGTATTTATACCTATGGCCACCTCAAGAACTGTAGCGAGATGCTGGCGAAATTCATCCACGTCGAAATCTAATCTCATGTAGTCGTAGGTTACGTGGCAGGAGTATGCATTCCCGAATGGGATAGGACCCTTACCGGAGGCATAAGGTGACATTATAACTTCGTATGAAGTTGTTGTGATTGTTGTGTTGTGATTCTGGTTTCAGGAATTATGGACAGAAGGTGGATACAAAACCCGAACAGATGCGCAGACGAATACTTGGATGGAATCGAGGATTTTATTGAGTTTGCACGTAGACACAACCCGGGTGCAACTAGAATCTGTTGTCCTTGTAGGAGGTGCAACAACACGTTATGGGAGACAATTGAAAATGTTGGATTTCATTTAGTAAGAAATGGAATGATTGAGACATATAGCATTTGGAACCTTCACGGGGAACAATTAGAGCATGCTTCGTCTTCAAATGCCACAAGAGTGGACAATGTTCAACCTATTGTGGATGCTAATGATGAAGTCATGGATATTATACAGGATGTTTTTCCATTTGCATCGACCAACATGAATCAAGAAGAGCAAGATGATGTGCCTACACCAATAGACAGTGCGGAGTTTGAACAATATGAGAAATTGTTAAAAAATGCCAACCAAGAGTTATACCCGGGGTGCGAGAGCTTTTCCGTTCTCACGGCCATTGTGGAGCTAATGCACGGAAAAATAAAGTATCGTATGTCGAACCTGTGTTTCGATTACTTTTTGGGGGTTTTCAAGAGAATGCTTCCGACGGACAATTGTTTGCCGAAAGACCATAAACAGGCGCAGAAGGTGTTGAATGGTCTTGGATTGGGTTATGAAAAAATTCATGCTTGCAAAAACAATTGCATGTTATTCTACAAAGAGCATGAATCGTTGGATACATGTCCTATATGCAATGAGTCGAGGTTCAAGATGACATCTCAGAATAGGACGACTAAGATCCCACAAAAAGTCATGCGTTATTTGCCCCTGAAACCTAGGTTGCAGCGATTGTATATGTCGACGCATACTGCCACAGACATGAGATGGCATTAGGAAAAACGGGTAGACGATGATGTGATGCGGCATCCTGCAGATGGGGAGGCATGGAAAGAGTTCGATCGAACGTTCCCAGAGTTTGCTGCTGATCCCCGAAATGTTAGATTGGGACTTGCCACTGACGGATTCAATCCGTATGGGGTTCTAAACCAACACCACAGCACTTGGCCGATTTTCGTATTCCCATATAATTTGCCGCCTTGGAAATGCATGAAAAAAGAATACATGATGATGACTGTTTTGATAACTGAGGATCCTGGGAGGTCAATCGATGTTTACTTAAGGCCGCTGGTTGATGAGCTAAAGGATTTGTGGACAAACGGTGTTCGCACGTACGATAAATCAACTGGGAAGATGTTCACTTTGCGGGCAGCCGTTATGTGGACTGTGAATGATTTCCCAGCATATGCAATGGTTTCTGGGTGGAGCACAAAAGGTTATATGGCATGTCCTGTATGCAAGGAAGATGTAACTTCTGGTTGGCATGCTGGAAAAGTTTGTTACCTTGGTCATCGGAGATGGTTGCCATGGGACCATGAGTGGAGGGAAAAAGATAAAGAGTTCGACGGGAACACTGAGCGTCGCCTTAGACCCAGAGAATGGTCCGGTGATGAGATATTGGACCAGCTGAACCGGTTGGATTTTGCTCCCTTCGGGAAAACAGTTAGTCGTATCAGACCTTCTACACATATGAACTGGACGCACAAACCTATGTTTTTTGAGCTCCCATATTGGTCGAAACTAAAATTGAGGCACAATCTAGATGTGATGCATGTTGAGAAAAATGTATTCGACACATTGGTGGGCACGATTCTAGATATCGAGGGGAAGACAAAGGACACGATCAAAGCTCGTCTTGATTTGGAAAGAATGGGCATACGAAGGGGTTTATGGATGAATAGGGACAATGATAAAGCTAGAAGGGATCTTGCCTTCTTTCTATGAAACCGAATGACAAGAAAGAGTTTCTAAAGTTTGTATCGTCAGTAAAGTTTCCCGATGGGTATGCTTCTAATATCGCACGTTGTGTGAATGTTGACGGGGGTAAATTTACTGGACTTAAAAGCCATGACTGCCATGTGTTTATGCAACGCCTACTTCCTGTTGGTATTCGACACCTATTGCCGGAAGATGTAGTGAAGCCAATCATTTTGTTGTCCAGATTTTTTTCCCAACTGACGGCGAAAACTTTGCGAAAAACGGACATGTTTCAGTTGCGCCATGACATTGTCCAAGTCCTATGCAAGTTTGAGATGATATTTCCTCCAGCTTTCTTCACAAGTATGATGCACGTGATGGTTCACTTGCCAGAAGAGGCATTACTTGCTGGTCCTGTCAACTATCGCTGGATGTATCCAATAGAAAGGTATATAATCCTTATCATTTGTGTATGCATCATTATCACATGCTTGCTAATTTCAATCATATCGTTTTATTTTGGCAGGCTTCTCGGAGAGCTGAAAAAAAGTGTACGCAACAGGGCGAAGCCCGAAGGATCAATCGTAGAGGCTTGGGTTCAATATGAGTCGCTTACTTTCTGCGGAATGTATTTAAAAGATGTGGAGACGGTTTTCAATCGTCCTCAGCGCAATCATGATGGAGGTATGAGAAATGAAAAACTTTCTGTTTTTGCCCAAAGCGCACGACCCTTCGGAGATCCTGGACGCGGAGAGTCGTTTTCTAGAAATGACATGGAGGTAGCGCATTGGTTCGTACTGAACAATTGTGATGAGATCATGGGATACTTATATGAGCATGAAGAGATGATGAAGCGAGAACATCCATCACATTTGGTTGCCAAGAAACACCGTGAATTGTTTCCACAATGGTTTTTGGATTCTGTAAGTTATCAGTGTTTGTTATTTGAGAAATATAAATTTTTTTAATAATTTTTCAGACTAACATATGAATGGTTTTGTATAATATTAGGTGAATAAGTTGAAATCATCGAATTCCCCAACTTACAGTGATGAGTTATATAACTTGGCGTTTGGCCCGATTCGCGTTGAATTGTTCTCGGGTTGTAATGTCAACGGTGTCAAATTTTTGGCCGAAGCACGAGATGACAAGTTGTGTACGCAAAACAGCGGTGTCCATGTCCCAGGTGGAGGCGAAAGTACGGACATTGATTTCTATGGCAAACTCACAACTGTCGTGCAATTGCTTTACAAAGATCGATACCAAGTGATCATGTTTAAGTGTCGATGGTTTGACACCAACCCAAATAGGCCGGGAAGTGTTAAAATCGATCATGGCTTACTATCTGTGAACATGAACAGAACTTGGTATGATGACGACCCTTATATTTTGGCAAACATGGCAACACAAATTGTGTATCTAGATGACCCTAAAGCCGGAAGCGGTTGGAACGTTGTTCAAAAGATGGATCACAGGAACGTGTATGCTATACCAGAACTAGACCCAACTGACAACAACGTCAACAATGTAGCTGACCAACGTTTAGAATCTTCAATGGAAAATGATGCGGAAACACTTCGAGATACTAATGTTATACAAGAGCCATTTCAAATACAAGGAGTGTCTTCAATCGAAATACCGATTCAGTCAATTACAATTGACCTCGGTGATCTTCCGCGATATGATGTTGCAGTTGGCCCGAGCAACGACGATGATGTAGTTATAGAGGAGGCGGAGGAGGAGGAGGAGGAAGAGGATTGGGAGACCGAAAGTGATGATAGCAACGATAACGAAAGTTATTATAGTTCAGATGATGAATGATTAATTTTTATTGTAATTTTATTATGTTAGTGGACATATTTTGTGTAATGCAAATGTTTTCATATATGTACTTGTTATATCCAAACATTATATATGATACCAAGTGAAATATTATTAAAATAATTGTAGTTATAAACCATTGGTAAATAAATATAGCCAACTAATTTGTATCATAAAGTTTAAATTTATTTTCACAAAAAACTTTTAAAAAATGAAAACCATATAACCGAAAAAATGAATACAAAGAACATAAGATTATCAACAATCCTTCCATTCTCAAATCGAAAGAAAATATAATAAATCATACTTTCATACAAGTAATTATATGTAATGATGAATACTTCAGATTAATAATATGTGAATGCAAATAATCTTGCGCGACGAAGGCATAATTGTCGCGCAATTTTGCGCGACGGATAACGTACACGTCGCGCATACTCTATCATTTGCGCGACAAATAATATCGTCGCGCAAGTATCTTTAGCGCGACGAAAAAGAGACCCCGTCGCGCAAACATATACATATATATTTCTGAATTATACACACGTATATAGTTGAAATTGACGATCGAAGTAGTTCACTGTATTCACATAGGGTTAAACAGTATAGCTTTAAAAAATCATCAAAATCAGAGTCAAAATAACCGTTAAATCATGACTTTTCGTTTATAACCGTCGAAACGTTTTGTCCCGTTACTTGAGCTCTGAATGTTTTTTTTTTCTCATTTTGACGTATAGATCTCGAAGTATAAACAAACATATTTGACGGCTAGATTACTGAAACTAGTTTCCTAGAATGCGTATTCCATAAAAACACAATATTCATAAAAACTGAATAATTTCTTTATACATTCCTTCAGTCTAACATAAGATTATGTGATGTCTTGTACTGTAAATATCTGAAATTGAAGATCAAATTACATCTCTGTATTCATATAGGGTCAAGAACCGCAGCTGTAAAAAAATTTCAAGATCGGAGCTAAAATCACCGTTGAATCGGGACAATTTGTTTACAACCGTCGAAACGTTTTGTCCCGTTACTCAATCTTTGAATGTTCATTCATTATGATTTTTGACGTATACGATCTTGAACTATGAAAAAAGAAGATTGCCGGTTGGATCATTGAAACTAGTTCAGGAGTTCGGGTTTAGGGGTTAGGGTACAGGTTTTAGGGTTTAGGGTAATAGGGTATGGTTTTGCGCGACGAAATGACGCTTACGCGTCGCGCAAACCATATGCGACAAACATAATCAATTCGTCGCGCAAAATCATTAAAAAAATCCCTCCCCTTCTCCGCTCCAACACTTGGTGAAATTTTTTTATCAAAAGCCAGTTTGCGCGACGAATACAGTCCATTCGTCGCGCAAAATCAATAAAAAATTTCCCTCCCTCTCCGCTCCAGCACTTAGTGAAATTTTTTTCAAAAGCCAGTTTGCGCGACGAATTACACTATTCGTCGCGCAAAATCTCATGCATTTGAATTTTTTCCCGCGCAAAATCAAATCCCAAAATTTTGCGCGCGCTGCACAAGTTTGCGCGACGACAGTAGTTTTTTCGTCGCGCAAAGGTATATCTTTCACAACTTTGCGCGACGAAATCAAGTGTTTTAGTCGCGCAAAGGTCAAATTTTTATAATATTGCGCGACGAAAAGTTTAGTTTTGCGTCGCGCAAAGGTTATTTTAATGAAGTTTTGCGCGACAGATATCTTTATTCGTTGCGCAAAGTCGAATAAGTTTTCTGAAAATCGCGATCTTCTCCTTCTTCCCCAATTTCTGAAACCTAACCCTAAAACCTCCCAAATCTCTCCGCCGTGACCTCAGCCCCTAATCCGCCCCAAATCAGACCCTGCCGCCGCCACCGTCGAACCCAGGAGCTTCTCCGCCGTGGCAGTCCATCCTGCCGCTGTGAATTGCTCCGTTTAGGCCGAATCTCCGCCGCCGTTGTTCTCTCTCCTCCGGGCACCAAATCCGGCAATTGAGGTATGCTTTCTGGGCTATTTTTCATGCTCTAGCTGATGGTTGTGTAGGATTTGATTGATTGTGTGCATAGGGTAGTCAATTTGAAACCCTAGGTTTCGGCCGGTTTTGAAATTCAAATTTCGGCCACTTCCGTCCGTTTTTCGGGGAAGGTCCAAGAACAAAAGTGGCTCCAATTGATGTTTTAAACCTAGGGTAGGAACCTTGCCCTTAATTTGTAGGATTTCCCGGGGATCGTTATCGCTTAGGGCACCCACGCGCTGCCGGCGCGTGTGGTGGCGCGTGGGGTACTGTGGCATAGGGCATTTTGTCCCAGTGCAAACATTTCGTTGTCACGAGCGCGTAGGTGTGCTCGGATTGGAATTTGGTTATCGTTTGAGTCTCGAACGGTTCGAACCTATTGTGCGATTTTAGGGTTTGATATGTTCGGACCGTTGGATCGAGCTGAAACTCACGTATGTGGTACCATGTATTTATAGGATCGTTTAGGAATCGACGGATTGTGGATCGGAGTCCCGGATACTCCGAAATCGCAAACCCTAGGTCAAACTATGATTTTAATTAGTTAGTTCAATTTTTTACTGACATTGTATGTGCTACATTGGATTAATGAAATTGTGCAGATGTCAGACTTGATTAGACGTCGTAGGGCGGTGACGGCTACACCGAGTTCGGAGCCCCCGGCTCAGCCGGTATCAGCTGCCACTGCTCCAGCACTGATGGAGCAGGACCACGTGCTAGCTGGTCCTGGGGGATCCCAGGCGGCTGCATCATCATCTTCTTCGGTGGTGCAGCCTCTTAGCGCTAGGCGGCGACACCGGCCCGCTACCACCACCGACACCACATCCACTGACTGTACTGGTGCCTCGGGGGCACCTACAGGTAATACCCTTCCCCTTTCATTTTTTTTTAACATTTTTTTAATTGGGAATTTTATGGTTCAATTTGATTGTATATGTAACAATATTGTCATATCCCTTTGCAGCCAAGAGGAACACCCGAGGGCCGTGTCGGCAGCTGAAGACGGCGAAGGTCACCCGGGTGACCAACAGTCGTATCAGCATCGGATATGACGAGCGCCATCGGGCTGCACCGACGGCGGACTTGCATAGCTCCTTGGCCCACGACATTGGCCACGTCGTTCGGACCCATTGCCCGATGCAATGGAAGTCTTGGAAGGTCATACCTGACGAGATCAAGATGCAAGTTCGCGGCCAGTTGTCGGTATTTTTCCTATCTTTTAATTATTTTTCTTTCAAACTTTATATATTTCTATTACTTAATGTATGTAATCAATTTATTGCAGACGAACTACGACTTAGAGGACATCAACGAGGAGACTTTGGCGTACGTCAACAGACTCTTCGGTGAGAGGTACAAGCAGTGGAAGAGCGACTTGCACCACCATTTCCAGGCGTTTGATGATCCGGAAGTCGCTCTTCAGGAGGGTTGCCCGAAGGAGCTTGAGGGGCGGGAGGATAGTTGGGCGTGGCTCTGCGCTCATTTTCAGGCGCCCGATTATGTGGTATTTTTTTAATAATATTTGTTTAATGTTTATTTTATTTTTTATATCTCATTATTATTTAATTTATTTATAGTTCAATTCTTACGTTTTATTTTTTGTATAACAGAATAAAGCCCAAGTGAATAAGGGCAATAGGAAGAAGAAGACTCTTCTTCACCATTCCGGCTCCAGGCCCTTCTCATATAGGATGGATGCACGGCGTCGGGTAAGAATAATATAATTTATATTTAATTTTTAATACGTCATTATTATTAATTTCTTTTGTTCATACTAATATTTTCTTCTCTTGTTCAATTAAGGGGGGTCGAAATTCCCAGAGATCGACGTCTTTGGTGACGTTTATGTTCGACCTGGGAATGAGTTGGCCGAGTCCCTTCATGTAAGTATTATGTATTTTAATTCTTATGTTACACTTTCAATTTATATGCATTTTTGAATTTATATTTTATGTAATGTTAAACAGACGACGATGGTGGAGAGGAGCCAGTTGGTTCTTCAAGAGTCCGCCTCCCAACTTCCTCCCGAGACTCCGATCGAGTCTGTGGATCCTCCGCATGATGCTGGATTTCAGATTTTGACGCAGACGTTGGATCAGACTCTCGGGAGGAGGCCGGGAACGTATTGTAGGGGGATGGGGAATGCCCGACAGAGGGAACCTCGACCGCGGTCATCGTCGCAGGCAAACAGTCAGGTGACTGTTTTGACATCGCGGGTTGCCGAGCTTGAGGGTCAGATGTCGGTGATTCTGCAGTCCCTCGCGCGGTCCGGCATTCCAATCCCGAATTTTGGTGCGTCGACCTCCGAGCCCGTCCACCCCGAGCATCCCCAGCACACCACGGCCCCTGCAGACACCCATACCTCCGAGCCGCATGTGGCAGATGACCAAGTAGATTTTGGAACATTATTTGATTAGTTTTTTATTTTTATAATTACTTTTACAATTTGTATACATTTCTTTTATTTTATATAATAGATGTTTTCTTTACGATTAATTTTTTTTATTGTAATTTCATTTTAATTTAAAAAAAAACCAAATTTATTTTTTTACAAAATTAAAAATCAAATAATAATAATTTTTTTTAATAATATATATTGCTTTTGCGCGACGAAACGTAAATCGTCGCGCAAAAACATTTAAATAACAAATCGACAAATATATTTTAATCATGCGCGACGAATAATTTCGTTGCGCAAAATGTGTATGCGCGACGAATAAATTTCGTCGCGCAAGGTTCATGTAGCTCGCGCGACGGAAATTCCGCGCGCAGTTTTTTTTGCGACGACCACTGTTTCGTCGCGCAAATATTTGTGCGACGGACATTGAGGTCGTCCCGAAATGTTTTTTAAACGAAGTTGTTATACGTAGCGCAAACTGCGCGACGAATGACATTTATTCGTCGCGCAAATCCTTTCTTCACGAACTTTGCGCGACGGACTGTGCGCGACGAAACTTCTGTCGCGCATAATGATGTGCGACTAAAATCATTTTTGCGCGACGAAGAACCTTTCGTCGCGCAAACACTAAAATGTAGTAGTGTACGTTTCTACTTATGGACGAGGAATATTTGACAGGAAAGTGAAATCAAGGGCATAAATTCTTCTACTTGGGAGTGGAATATTTGATAGGAATGTGAAATCATTGTGGGAACCGAATTAAATCATACCCTAGGTCAAATAATTCCTTCCATTTGGGGATTATTTGACCTATTGAGAATTAATCAACCTAATTGGGAGTTACTCAATTTAATTGGGAGTTACCCAATTAAATTGAGAATTACCTAATTAAGTTTGGAATTGATTTGATTCCTACCCAAATTCCCAATTAAATGAGGAGTTACCTAATTAAATTAGGATTTGATCTGATACCTACCACGATTAGGGATTTGATTTTCTCTTGATTTGGGAGCCTCCTCTCTGACAACATGTGCCAAATTCATGGTTGTGAGATAAAACAACATCTTCTGTTGCCATCTCTTGAAGTCAATTCCCTTGAACTTCTCAGGCTCTCGTCATGAGGATTCTTAGTCACCCCATTCATATCACTGATGATTGTGAATCCATCGATTTACTGTCATTAGATTGTTGGAAAAACAACAATCAGTGACTAATTAAAACAATTATATAAACAGAATTTATAATAAACTGTAATACAAATACAGTATATAATCATAAATGAAACTGACTTGTATTCGAGATAGAGGCTTGCAGATTTGATGCAATGTCCCTAAAGACAGTAATTTCACCCCTTCTCGGTGCTTGAAGTTCTACAGGTGACTGCCTCCCAGGATTCAACTATCTGTATTCTAAGCCCTAGCACTCGGACTTAGAATCTGGCGAACGTTGTTTGTTTTCCTCTCAGACAAGATGAGATGCTTGTGAATGCTTTTTCTGTGTTGAACGTATGAGGCCTTGTTTTGATTTAAATAAACTTCTGAAACCTTATCAGAAGAGTCACAACTGTTAGAAAACAGTTAATAAAACTAATCCGAATTAATAAAAAATTATTAATTCGAAAGCAAAAAATAATTTTAAATCTGAAAGTGCCCAAGTGCCCCAAGGCCCATCTTTTTTACCATTAAATATTATATAATTTATATAATATTCAAAGCCCAATTGTTTTTGAAGCCCAAATTGCTTCCACTTGGCCCACTTCCATTTACTAAGTGTGAGACTTCACACTTATAAGACCTCATTCTTTCTACTTTCTACCAATGTGGGACTAAGGTTCTTGAATTTCATTCAAACTTCCAACATCAACATGTCTTTCGGCTTCATAACAACTTTATGGCCTTAAACCGCCCCATGAGCATGGTTTCAGCGATTGCATTCCTTTTTGCGTACACAAGGATTTTCCCATAGCCAATCTAATGCCTCTTTGTTTATTCATCACTCCTCTCATCACACTATCTATGTTCCTATTTACGTTGATGATTTGATTGTCACGGGTACTGATGTTACAACCATCTCTACCTTTATTGATCACTTATGCTTTGTATTTGACAGTCGAAAGCTAGGTGATCTGAGTTTCTTTCTTGGAATGGAGGTTCGATGCACAACCACCACTTTGCCTCTCTCCCAAAGTCGTTATGCATCTAACTAGCTGAAAAAGTTTAACATGGTTATGTGCAAATCCTGTCCTACACTGGTGCTCTCCTCAACTCGACTTTCAACTATGGATGGTGATCCCATTTATGACCCTTCTACATCGGCAAGGTGGGTGGCCTCCAGTACCTGACATTGACTCGTCCCGACATTGCACATGCAGTGAATCAAGTGTGTCATATATGCATAATCCTTGCTCCACCTCATTTACAAGCTGTTAAAAGAATGTATCACTATATTACAGACACCATTGAACATGGTATTCTTTTCCATTCCTCCATTGATTTTTCCTTGCAAGGTTTTGAGGATGTCAATTGGGTTGGGTCCTTCGATGATAGAACGTTCCACTACCGGTGATTGTATTTTCCTTGGTCCTAATTTGCTCACTTGAACTACTAAAAGCAATCAACAATGTCAAGGTCCAGCTTTGAAGCAGAGTATCGTGCCCTTGCCACAACGGCTGCCTAGCTTCGTTGGTTTTTCTACCTGTTCAGAGAGCTTGGTATTCCTCTCTATTCTCCCCCTTTTTTTTTTTTGTTGAATGTTTCAGCTTTTCACATGGCAGCCAATCCGGTCTTTCAAGCACGCACCCGCCACATTGAAGTTGATTATCATTTTGTTCGTGAGTTATTGGCACAGGGAGTTCTTCGTACCTGATATATTTCTTCTCAATATCAGCTTGCAGACGTTTTTACCAAAGGTCTCTCTCTCACGATCGTTTTGCTATGCTCATTCCAAGCTCAATCTCCACTTTGTTCCGTTTCGCTTGAGGGGGGATGAAGAGAACAGAATTAATGACACATCCAATCATGCTAATATTACATCCAATCACCACGACATCAGAGCCTTGAATTCCTCATCCTCATATCACTCTACTGATCATACGTAATTTCAGGAATTGTATCAGTCTCTTGTAATCTTGTGTTATCTTGTTACGTTCTAGAACTAATATTACCATATATATATGTGTTGTATCAATAGTCAAACTTTAATTGTATAAAGCAAGCCTGAATAGAAATCAATAGTCATTGAGCTATTCCCCAAATATCTGCTCTGTTCTAATTCTTCTACACTGCTCTAATTTTTCTATATATTCCTTTCCATTTTCCAATAGTTTATTAGATAGGAATCTTGTAATATTATAATTTGATGATAATTTACAAATTTTGAGAGGATCAAACCTCCAAAATATTCAGAGGCATATGCATTTAGTCGTTGAAGTTTTCTTGATTTGTTTCCTAATCTCAATTCCTTTGGATTTTTTTCTTTTTTTCTTTTAATTTTTTGGTTATATAAATAATAGATGGATATTGGTATACTGACGTGGTACTTCCCAGATATATATATATATATAAATAATAAATAAAGGAAAAAAGAAGAAGGAATGAGTAAAGAATGCTTGAAAAGAAAAGGCCTGATTCTTAATAGACCAATGCACTCAACCCCCAACACTACTTTAAGATGAGATCCTTTACTCTTCTGAGTTGTAACTTTTATCTGAGACCTAAATATAAAATTAAACAACAAAATAGAAAGCCGGGTCAGCTTTCAGCCGCTCGTATCAGTAAGAATGGTTGAAACCTGTGGTTCCTGCCGATGCAACTCATCATCCAATCCAGGTATATTGTTAAAATACTAGTAGACATCACATATAGTTGTTAAAACAGAAATGTATTAATATGATTTGAAAATATTAATTATCCAAAACTTTGGGCAGGATATGACGACAGAGTGTATGACTACAATCAGTGTAAGCCGTTGTTCGATGCTGTGTGCAGTGGGGATTGGAATAAAGCAAAGGAGTTTCTTACCCTACATCCCATGCAATAAGAGCAACAAATCCTTCTACAAACAGCACAGCTCTTCGCATGGCAATAGACTTAGAGCACGAGCATATTGTGGAAGAGTTGGTGCAGTTGATGTCAGAGGAAGACTTGGAACTAACAGATAATTGGGGTTGGACAGCTCTAGCTGTTGCTGCAAATAGAGGAAATCTCAAAATGGTTGAATGCATGGTTAGAAAGAGCAAGAAAATACTTAGTATTCCCATTCGGAATATGACTCCAATTATCTTGGCTTCTATGAATGAACAATGGGATGTCGTTCATTATCTTTACTCCGTCACTCCCCTCCAAGATCTAAGGCCAGAAAAAGGACCATACGGCTCTACACTTCTCACCAGCTTATTATTGGCATGAAATTTGGTAAGAGTTTTTATTAATCTTATAACAATGAAATTGATTACTCGTTTGTCCCTCAATTATAAAACTTGTTTTTCTCTACTACAGGTAGTGCTTGGGAATTAATTCACCGTTGCCCAGAATTGGTCTTTACCAAGGGCTACAATGGGAATTTCCCGATGGAAGGATTTATGCCTTCTACATTCCCGAGTGGAACAACCCTCATATTCTGGCAGAGATGGATCTATAATTGTTAGTATCCACATTCTCTTTCCTCTTACAATTACAATTATATATTTTCAATGTTACATTGACTGTAATGAACCTAAGACTTCAAAATTGACTGCGCTTTTGAATTTGAGCCTTGAAACTTCAAAATAATAGTTATTGATCTTAATGGCTAAGAAATGACAACTTCAGTGACTTTATCGGAGGGAGGGGTTCAAAACATCAGACAAAGAACGAATGGAACACCCAGATGAGAGATGTGGAAATTCTGATTTGGTTTTTTAAATTATTGTTTTAACTTCTCATCTCAAAGAATTGGAAGGGGTTGAGCGGTGGGTCTGTTGGCTACGAGGTTTGGGAAGAAAAAGGAAGAAGATGAAGGATCAAAATTGTTCTTTTCTTTTCAATATTCTATTTTTAATTAAGAGTTAAAGCTATCTGGGAATGCTAGCAACCTTCTCTCTAACCTTCTCTTTTAGATCTTCTCCTTTTCCTAATGATATGTGTCATTTTCTTTACACTTAAAACAATGTCATTAATACTTGAGACAAACTAGCTTTTGTTTTCCAAACTTACCCCCCTTAAATATATGGACTTTCATGTTTCTTTCATTTATCCTTTAATTTTTTGCAATTTTCTTATTACCTCGTTTAAAAAATTAATTTAAAAGTGATATATTTATTATTGATGAAGAAACATGCGTGTGGTGAAAAATTCAAATTCACGTGGAAACAAACATGTATGAATATGCCTGGGTCTTGGGATGTATGTTGATGTAAGTAAATTTTAGGTTGTTTCCTGCTAATTTTTTTTAAATTAAAAATTTCTGTTAAAAGATAATCCTACGGCAATTGGATTGATTGTAAGTTTTGATTTTTATGTTCTTTAAAAACTGACTTTTTTTTTCTTATTTATTTTTAACAAGATGATAAGAAAGTTGTAAAAAACATATGAATAAATCGAAAGAAACATAAAAGTCAATATATTTAATACCAGTAAATTAGGAAAACAAAAGCTAGTTTGTCTCATGTATTAATGACATTATTTGAAGTGTAAGTAAAGTGACACATGTCATTAAGAAAAGAGAGAAGATTCAAAAGTGAAGATTAAAGAGAAGGTTGCTAGCACTCCCCAAGGTATTTTCACTATGTTATCTAAGAAGACATGTGACAGAATATTAACATAGGAACATGAGGAGACATGGAAAACGTTTAACACAAACATATATATGCAAATCAATTATGACAAGATATCATAATTGTAATAGAAATAGTAATTGGAAATATATTGATTGAGGTTAATTATTGTAATTATTAAAAGGTATACACATAGAGCGTGCCATTAGTGTTCAAAACGAAGGAAATGAAGAATGTAATCGAATGAAGATCACTTTGTCAGGTATGCTGTGATTATGGTTTTATCTAGTAAAATTTTAAATAATTTCGTTTTATGTTATTGAACTCTTCGCATTTTGTAATACTACGTCCAATTTGTTTTGTTTTTGCATTAAGAATACTGAAGAATAACTAAAGTTCATGAGCAAATAAGAATCTATCATTGCATAGTTGTGAAAGCAATGGAAGGAAACCAATTTGTACTAATATTTTGTCGAGACTAGAATTATGATATTTAGGTATATGTATTGGTTTTTAGAAGAACAATAGAGTGTTTTTATTTATTCAACAATAATTCAGTACAAGGTTTTATAGAGGATTAGGCTGTTTTGGCCTTCTATAACTAGAAAATGTTTACTAGGCTTGTTGGCCTCCTTCCCTTTACTGTTTATTGGCCTCTTCTCTTAGTTCACTTATACAAGAGGGCTCAACACCTATTTGTAAGGTATAGGCTGCCCGCCATTGTCCCAAGTCCTCCGACCTGGCTTTCTTCTCATAGCAACTAGTTTACAATATAATAGTATTACCTTATTACAGAGTTTTATTAGGATTTTCTAGAATTCCTTACAACCATTATGTCTTAAAGCTTGATCTTGCCAACTTTGTCAAAATTGGTGGACATTTCTTGAGTGTTTTCTACCTTTTTTCTAGATTTTTCTAAATTTTTCAAGACAAGTGTGCATTAGATTTAACAATATAGTATCCAGCTTTCTACCAGATTCTCTTCAATGTTAAGCCCAATGAACCCATAAACCATTATATTTCTTCACTAGTCTCCACCAAGTTATTGCAAGGAGATCTTGATTAACATGCTCCAAATGAACCCATAAACCATTATCTTTCTTCACTAGTCTCCACCAAGTTATTGCAAGGAGATCTTGATTAACATGCTCCATATTTTCAACCCTAGACCACCTCTCCACCAAGTTATTGCAAGGAGATCTTGATTAACATGCTCCATATTTTTCAACCCTAGACCACCTCTGTTCTTAGGACAAATAGTACTCCAACTGACAGATGCACTTTCCTTCTCCTATCAGTTGATCCCCAAATAAAGTTCTTATTCAACCTATCCAACTCCCTACAAACTGTTACAGGCAGTTTGTTAGAAATATGCCCTTAAAGCCAACTAATATATATAGTTAGACTGAAGGACATCTTTGATAAAAGAGATATTATGTATCAATGGGCAAGAAATGTTGTTTTTATAGATTAAATCTTCCTATATTATCTTTTAATATGTAAAACAACCATAGTCCAAGGATTAAACAAGTGGATATGAGAGCTATATAATGAGATTTTGCATACATGGAGACTTCTCATCATTCCCAAATCCTGAATATGTTCCAGCCTGGCCATAGGAATATTGATTGAGCGTCAATATTCTGCAAAGACCAGTACACACAGTATCGTTTCTATGTGTAGGGAATGATAAGGTCTCAAGTCATTAAGTGTGGAGACACATCGATATGTGTGTAGGTGCTTGTAGAAGAACATGTACACTGAACACGATCCAACACATAAGTTACAACATGGAAGTCTTTACTCACATGTCAAGCTGGAACTCATAAATTGCAATGTGCAAACTAATCCTAAACCTGAGGCATCATAGTATTGTGGCTATGTTGTTAATCTTTGAGGGCACTATACGATCATGCTGAGTTAGGCAGAGCTTAAAGGTGCTCATTAGGATTCTCAATAGAGTCATGGAAGCAAATGAATGTACAACAAGGAATCTCTACTCTCAGTAAAGGAGAAAGAATACTCCAATATATGATTGATCAAATCTCTGTGCAGATTAATGAATAGACTTGAAAGAAGAAGTCTTCAAGGGTAAAGATCTATTCCCTTTTTCCTTTTATATTTGTATTCAAAGATACTCGGCTAAGATACTTGATTTAAAATGAAAAAGGTTTAGCTCAACTAGAATAAACAAAATGAATCAGCCATTTCAATGCATGTTTCCTTCATAGTTTAACAGTTTGCATAGTATATAGATTGGGATAGTAGAAGTAACAGACTAAACCAAGTCACTCTGCCAGCCATAGGAAGGGATAGTATAACTGTTGCTGGTATTCCTTCCATGAATTAGTGGAACACCCCAAGTATCTTCCCAAGTCACTAGTTAAAGGGAACCACATAATTGAGCAATCTCCATAGCTTTAACTTTCTCATATATTAGAGAGCAATACTCCACAAAGTTCTCAAATCCACTAACTACTCGGACATCTATAACAAATAATCATACTACCCTTGCCTCATCATAATCTTGGCCTATTTTGGAGAAGCTCTCCAAAGAGAATTTACATAATCAGAAAAAATAAGTGGGAAATATGTGTCCCCTTCTTAGCTGCCAAAACTGGTTCCCAAAGTTGACATGATGAGCAAAAATAATCTACAATTCAAATAGGTGGTGCACTCCTAATTGCCACAAGGTCCTTAAAGTTAAACCACATCAGAGTCTATTAGGCCCGTTGGTACAATAAGTGGTATCAGAGCCTAGTTCGACTAAGATGCACTTGGTCAAGGAGTGATTGACATGTTCAAGAAGGCGACTCAAGTAAAAATTCTTGCACCGCCAAAGAAAGGGGAGTAGTCTAGTAGAGCAAGATAGTGGGCCAAAGGCAAAGGCTCAAGGAAATCCTAGTGGCGACTAACTATGGGGGCTCCTAGCAAGGCTCAAGAAAATCCTAGGCATAGGTGAAGCAAGAACTCTTAGCAAAGCTCAAGAAAATACTTGTTTTGTAGAGGTGGAGTCTGGGGGTCCTCGTGACTGTGTCCTCTTAGTGATACACCCAAGAAATTCCCTAGTCTGTAAGAACAACTTTAGTTACAATCAAGAACCCCCCGTTATCTTTCACTAGAACCATAGCTCTCTTTTCTCTCACCCTTACTCAAATCATTTGATTCCCTTGTAAACACCCACGAATTCACCCCTCTTGACTTCTCTTATGTCTCTCTCAAAAATTCTCACTCTTCATTTTCTCCCCTCTTCTCTTAATTACCTAGCCCAAAAGTTCTATTTAATTATAGTTCATAGAACTTATGCTACAAGTTAACTAGAAATAGGAAACTAAATCCCTATTAGGCTAGAAAACCCCAAAATAATAGGAAACCACATTAAAACACACCAAAAACGCCAAACCATGCCTGACACTATTCATGTGTCGACTGGTTGCCCTAGGAGAAATCACAACTTGAGCTCTCGGCGCATGGCCAAAAAGACCGGTTTGCCTGAACTAGCTCCTCTGTCTTGCGATTTCTTCTCTCAATCCTTTCTACTCATCTCATGCAGTCCCTTAGTTTTCCCTTCTTCCTCTTGCATCAAGGTGAGCCAATTTCACAACAGATTTAGTAGTAGGGGTTCTGATCAGATTTATTCTAGGAAGATGCTTGATAAAAGTGTCAAAAAGGGAATCCTCCGAGAAGTACTGGAAATTCCTCTATCAATCCTTCTGCAAATAGTTTTGTTGATGCTCTTTTTCGGAGAGGGTCAACTTAGAGAAAAAAGGGGTTTGCCTTCAGCAGGGAAAGGGTCTGGGCCTTCAATAAAGGCTAACCTGCAGAAGACAAAGATAAGGGAAGCAGTCGTCAAGCTCCGGGCACCGATGTGGTGCCGGCCGAAGGCTCTCCGATGCTTAAGTCAGCTAAGAAGGGTAACTTTTGCAGAGTAATAGTAAAAGGCAAAAAGTAGTTACCCCTCTTACTAGGGTACTGTTCCTTTTTTATAGGGAAGTGAAAGTGGGAGGTTGGTGTAGATTTCCGATGTGGGACTTGTGCAAGTCACCGCGGTGGTGACACTGTCATGAGAATTAGGTTTAGCAGTTTGTGAGCTTTGGCGGTCGGAGTTTCGGCAGGTGCTTGGCATCTCGGGAGAGTGTCTTCCTTCGGCAGGAGAATGCGTGTCTGCCTTGGTGCTAGTTGTTTGAGACTGAATGCTCGGTTGATTATGGTGTAACAAGTTTTACTATATCACTTTTATCAGTTGAGGTGAAAGGGCTGCAAATAAATCCAGGTCCACAAGTTTATGAGCCTGTATCCAATGAGGAAGGCTACATGGTTTCAATCGATCACTCCACATTTCCTCATATCTGAGGAAAACAATCTCATTAAAATCTCCAATAATAATCCTTGGTAAAGTATGGCATTCAAGAATACACGAGTCTCACATCGGAAACTTAACAAAATAAAAAGTTTCATACAACAAATGGTTCCACTCCTAATAACATCGAGGCCTTTTGTATAAAAGCCCCACACCTGCTAAACAGGTGGTTAAGTTGGGGACAATATTGATGTTGCTAGTGGTGGACCAAGGGTCCGTCCCTCTGAAATCTTAACAGTTTGCACCATCATCAATAGATGCCTCCACAAACAATCTCTTTTCCTAGAACAAGGGCTTACACAACTGTTAACAGCAAATCCTAAGTGCCCCACCTAAGGAATCAATATAGTAATAGCTTGCTTCATGAGAAAAATGGGCTGCACCTGATCTTAGATTCATTCCAGAGAAGCCAGATTCCTCCGGAGAACCCACTAGCCTCCACAACTTCTTTCCTTAAAATTAAGTTTCTCAATTACCTTTGCCGCTCTGACCCCACTAATTATGGGCTCTAAAACTGCAAAGAAGTCAAAATGAAGCAAGTTCTTCAAATCGTTAATTGTACCAGAAAATGGTCAACACCAGCACCTCTCACTTCCAAATAAAAAACTTCGGCAACATTAAAATTTAGGGGAAGGGGAAAAACACCAGGGACAACCCCATCATCAATCATCCTCCGTACACACTCCTCAGCCAAAATATTCAGGGAGGATAGTATCCATGTTATCTTGTCCAGCATCATTGAACTTTCCAACTTCGATATTAAGGCTTGCAGGGACACAGGAGGTCTAAGAGTCTACCACATTTGTACAAAACTCTCAACCCCTTTGTACCATGCATTAGAATCACTCTTATTAACCTCTATAGCATTTTCCCCAATATTGCTTTTATTAATGACATCTCTTAGGGCCTCCCTACACTTAACCAACCAATTTTTAGGCATGGCTTTACTCCGATTAAACGTAAAGGAATCCATTAACATTGAAGAGAGCATGGGCATCACGAGAACCATAATAGCATGAAACGTAATTTGAAAATTTGAAAATTATATAATTTTACAGATTTTTTTTATCAATGAATGAGCCACAAGGGGCTGTTTTGTGGCATAGTTTCCTACTTCTTCATTTCTTTCTTGCTTACTCTCCCATATGTTTAGAGACTCTAGCTACTTCCCTTTTTATGGCAGCTAGCCCATCATTTCCCATTGGTTCTTTGCTTTGCTTATGTTGGAATTGTTGAAAGCTTCCTCATCTTGTCATCTAACTAGCCTTTATCTCTTCTTGATGCATAAGTTTATTCCCTTCGTCGTTAGCTGCACTCCCATCATATCATACTCATTTTGTATTACCATTTTATGGGACATTTGCACCAAACTCCTTATAAGCTCTTACTAGGTTTCTAAGCTTTCTAATGTAGGACATTTCCACCTTCACATTCTCACATGCTCTGGCATGTGTGGCGAATTTTCTAGCTTAACACGTGGACAACACATATTAGGTGACATGGAGCACTTGTGTCGTTGGGCTTCACATGTGGGTAAACTCGCTTTGATACCATAAGGGAAGTTGAGGTTACACCCTAAACCAATTGGCAATGGGGGGAGTCGCCCAACTCCGTATTAGTCCTTTCTAGGTTTCTCAACTCTCCAATATGAGACATTTTTACTTTCAAATTCTCACAGGCAAAGCAGTAATGTTACAAAGCAAGATTCATAATGGCTGACTAGCAGTCCATATCAGTCCTCCTGATCCGGTTCAGTGTCGGACAGGTTGGGAATTCAATACTTGCCCAGCAGAGCCCAAATTTGGATATGTCATAGTTGACATCTATTGGAACAACTTACATTAAGGAAATCCACGTCCGAGTAGTGGAAGTTGATGATCTAAGGTCTGGAATTTGGCGTACATACATGAGCAAAAACAGAAACTAAGCTCAACATTATCTTTAAGCCTATTCTTCAATTCAGATTAAATCTATAAAACAAAAATAAAAAAAATAATATCTATGATATATCTAGAAGTAAACTAAAATTTGAGTGAATAACTTGAAACAACATGTATAAATATGAACCTATACACAGTTGTGCTTCGTATGATTGTGTACAGTACACCCACCGATATGAACGACCATTTTCTGAAAATAAAAGAGACCACATCTGAGGGCGAATATGGAGCTGAATTGAGTTTTCTGTTTTTTCAGAATTTAATGAACTAAATTAAAATGTCCTTGAAATTTGAGCAAATGAAAGAGAGTGGTGAATTTTTGGCGGTGTGAATTTTTTTATTGCAATTAATTGGGTGTTTATAGGGAAAATATGATTAGATTAAACAAAAAAAGGCGTAGCAATTTTGGATAATTGGAAAACTAGCTGTTGAAATTTTACATTGATTTGAAGAAAAAAACAAATATTGGATTATTCAAACCTAGGTCGTCTAAATTTTGAAAGCTTGGACTGTGACATGAAGTGGAGATGCCTTTTTCAAATGGGTTAGAGTCCAATATTGAGTCCAATTAGGCCCTTTTCTTTGTGATTTTTGCCAAAAGTTAAAACGTGGAGATTTTGCTTTAAACGTGGGTTTTCCTTCTTATGAAGAAAAACTCTTATAAACTAGACCTTTGTCTTCTTTCTCTTCGTAGAGCTTTCACATCATATTTTCAGTCCATAACTTTGGAAAGCTGTGTTTTTATTTGAGATATATCATCAAGTGTTCCATGTTTATTTGGCGATTTATCAAACACTTTTATCATTCATATTACATTCATTTGGATGTTCGGTGACTCATTCGGTCGAGGACACCAAAACCGTTGTGGTAGTTTTTCTCTCCGATGAGCTTGAATCAATCGTGACCATTATCGGATTCCACATAACATATTGAGAGAGTTGGAAGAACTCCAGCGAGCTTGAAGCAATCATGACCAACATAAGGAGTGTTGAAAGATCATCCCTCGACAGAAGTTGAGTTATGAAGAAGTAGGTAAACATTATCTAGAATGTGCCTCGGATAAGTGTGTGAGTACTTCTTGTAATCATAGTTTTATAGTGGATTATATTTGTTTTAGACTAAGGAGTCCCGTAGATTTTCCTCAAAGGTGGGGGATTTACCACGTAAAATAATTCTCTGCATGCTCCTTTATTTTATGCTCTGCTCGTTTGAAGATTGATAAGCTATATCAATCTAGCTACCGAAGTTTATTTTTATTTATTGATTATAATTTTAAATGGGCCTATTCACCACCCCTCTTGGCATTATTAGTCAGCATACAGGTAATTGTTAATCCATCTAAGCTATAACATGTTGAACACTAACCTGAGTTCGACATCATGTTTGGAGCTGATCAAGTGGCGCAGAGAGGTAGAAGATTCTTTTCCTTAGAAACCGATCCTTATAGCTATAACTCTTGATGGGGTGAATTTCTGATTAGCTTGGGTGTATCGATTCTTGGAGGGAGCCTTCTATTTATATGCATCTCTCCAAGTGTCTTGCCCACCAAGAAACACTTAGAGATATCCTTCATGCGATAGAATTAATGTATTTCAATCCAATAGAACTAGGAATCTTTAAGCTTTGTAAACAACTTAAACACTAATAACAGGCTGCCATACGAGATAGGATTTGAGTCCTTGATAATAATAAGTCTTTGCAATCCTTTATTGATTAGAAAATCACTTCAGTAGGTTTAGGGCAATAAATCTTCTTACAGTAACCATTTTCTGAAAATAAAAGAGACTACATCTGTATATAGGCTTCTAGCAAACTCTGGCATTCAACGTAAGCATACCAAAATACTTTCGTAAACCTTAAGATCTTTGCTACTCTCAAAAAACTCTTTGTATGACAACAGGGCTTTGGTTTATTTTCTTCAGACATATATAATACCGTTTCTATTTTGCTCTTTAGCCTTTGATTTCTAATAAGAGTGGTTTCTGTTTTGCTCTTTAGCCTTCCACGAGAAATTTCAGCAAATGAAAGAAGAGCGGTGAATATTTTTCGTGGTGTAAATTTTTTTATTGCAATTAATTGGGCGTTTATAGGCCCTTTTCATTTTGAATCACTAGTTGATCCAAAAATTACTATTTGCACGTTGCTATGGTGTAAAATTAGGAGTGATTAATCGTATTCATTATACCATGTATGTATCTAAATATTCCTTACACCCTTTTTATGAAACTTTTCAAGTGAGCTAATACTTCTTCCCTTTTACACATTTTGTCATCATCTAATTAACAGAGATACATACAGCTTTCACCATCTTATATTTAGATTTTGAATTTCCATTGCAGTGGTAGGTTTCTTGCAAGGTTTGAAATCAAATCTCTTTGAACTTTTGGGTATGCTACTTTTTTTTATTATTATTATTTTTTCCATATTTCCTATGTTCTCCATTAATTGTTTTAGGAATAAATTTTCCCATGAATTAGTGGTATGACATGTTTTTTTCAATGCCAACCTAGGAATCAACCGCATACGCGAAATAAAACAAGTCCACATTCAATCACTTGAACTCCTACATCACATGTGTGAAGTGATAAAACATTCACATAGCCATGATTATGTACTTCCAGCAATTTTCAGAGCTATCGAGCGAGGGATGTTCGAGTTTACTGACAATGTATTGCAAGCAGACCAGATCTCGTGTGGAATATAATCAAATGGGAAGGAACCCCTTTCAGTTTGCAATTGAATGTCGCCAGGAAAAAATCTATAGCCTTATTTATAGACTCGATAAAAGAAAAAGAACATTGATTGGAAATTTTGCAGATATGTCTAACAATTGCGCTCTACATATGTCCGGGATGCTCTCCCCATTGGCAAAGCTTGATAATATCTCAGGTGCAGCTTTGCAAATGCAGAGAGAACTGCAATGGTTTAAGGTCAGAACATATTCTATATAATTCATAGTATTTTTTTTTCTCTTATGAATTAGCTTTCCTATATATATGCCCTTCTAAAGACCCTTTTTTGTTTGTAAATTGTGGGAATCGGCATGATCTGCTTTCAATTACAGTTCAAAGGTCATTCTGCTACAACTAGTAATAAGTCACTATGGCATCTAACACTACGTGGGCGCACTCTCTGTATTTGCATTACATTGCGTCCGCAGTAAAAAATTAAAAAAATCGGAGTTAATTTATACTTTTACAATTATATAAATTGTAACATAGATGAAAATAAATTGTTTGGGCTGAAATGAGTCATTTCTGGTATTGAGACTTGTTGACGCAGAAAAATGGTTCAGCACTTTCCCGCGTAACTTAGTGATTATGTTTCCTTCGGTATCTGATGTCCTCGGTAGTGTGTCCAATCTGTAAGATAGCAAACACACGGTAAGTCCTAGGGCACCGGTGTGGTACCGGCCGAAGGCTCTCCGATGCTTAAGTAAGTACGGATTTAGTAAAGTTGAACTACAGATCAATAGGCAGTATGCCGTGAGTTCTGATTGATTACCTCCAAGCTGGGATGGTGGTCCTCTTTTATAGGCCTTGGGAGGTGTCCAATTTGTCTCGAGTTTCGATGTGGGACTCTGGACGTCAGTTGTGGGACTGCCACGTGTCGAAGGGGGCGAGGTTGCCCTAATGTTGCGATCGGTGGGTTTTATACCGAAGGTGGATGCCGAAGGCACCCATGGGGCCCTGGTTTAGTCCACGTGTCCGATATTCATTGGCCGTTCATTTTGGTATAAACAGGAGTCCCCCAAGTCCTCTTGCGAGAGTTCTCGGAAGGGGATTTGAAGTTGTCTTCGGAAGGAAGGTGATCCTACCGTTCGGTAGTCCTGTTGAGGAAAGGGGCTCAACTTTGGCCCTTCCGGCATTATTTGTTCAGAGGCTGACGTTGTCGAAGTCAGAAGGTCGCGTCGAGCGGACGGGTGAAGGGACATCTGAGCGCTTCGACCTTCGCGCCCCGCGTGCCGTCAGTCCCCCATAGGATGAGCGACATGTGGTGGAAGCAATGATGGTGCGCGGCGCATTAATTCGCCGTTTGGCTTCTCGAGGTATGCCGTTTCGCGCGCTCCGCCCTATAAATAGGGGTGATTCCGGGTCCGAAATCACTTTGGACTTGGTCAGAAAGTGAGAGCTCTGTTGAGGCGATTTCCGACGAGAGCTTCCGGTATTCCAGGCGATTTCCGAAGTGTGCTAACGGCAACCAGGCGATTTCCGGCACTACCAACGGTAGGAAGGGCGATTCGTGTCCAGACGATCTGAGGCAGAGTCCGCGTCCATTTTCAGAAGTTGAACTAAGGTACCGTTCGGTAGCTCTACTTTTCCCTTTTTACATACCTTAAGAGTTACGTCCTTCCTTGGTTTGAACTAGACTGACCATAGGGTTCCATTCGGTAGTCTAGTCGCCATAGGTAGTGATGTAGGGATCGGTAGGATAGTATCCAGCATGAGCCTTAGTTTCCTTTCTTCCCTGTTTTTGTAGATGTCCGATAGCGAGTCTTTCTCCTAGCGTGAGCCCAACGCGTTCGATGAGGAGTCATCGGAAAGTCTCTTTGACTCCGATGTTGAAGCGGCAGGGCTTGATGCCGAGGATGGAAGTGATACCGATGTCGAGATACTCGGTGAAGGGCCCAGCTCCGTCCCTATACATGGCATCGGAAAGGGGCTAATGACCGCTCCGGTACCGTTGTCTATTGTCTATAGCGACGACCGCCATGTGGGTCTAGGCGCCCCTAGGGAGGCTAGCGGTAGTCGCCAACCAGAGGCCTCCACTTCCGGCCGTGGTGAGTAAGCTGTCGAACCATCCAACCGGCCGAGGGTCTCGTTAGTCTACCCCAGCAATCCTAGGGTGCCGATGGGGGTTCCGAAGGAGCTCGTCTTCGGCGTAGATTATCTGGAGCCTAACAGAATCACCGAGAGGGAGATTGCGAGGTTTCGTGCTGAGTATTTCATACCAGATTCGATAGGCATGAGGATCCCAAATCCTACCGAATCTCTAAGCAGTCCGAAGGATGGCGAAGTCGTCTTTTTCACGGACGTACTTCTGCAAAGGGTGAGGCTCCCTCTGCAGCCCGCCCTTCAGAGGATCCTGGTGCAGATAGGCTATGCTCCCGGCCAGTTCAATCCCAACTTCTGGGTGGCGCTAATGGGTGTAGTCACAGCCTTTGGCATGGCTGGCGAGGGAGAGCCTTCGTATGAGCAGTTCTCCCACCTGTACAGCATCACGAAGTCGAAGTGTGCTGATCACGGGGGCTGGGTCCAGGCTAACTGCCTGAAGGCTACCGAGCGTGGTCACTTTGTCAATGCTGTGCCAACCTCCCAGAAGACGTGGAGGAAATGGCGGGTGCTTTTGTCCGGTGACTGGGAGTCGCCCTCGGGGACATCCCGTCCGTTTCCACATTCCCACCACGTTCCAAATCGCCGGTAGGCTATCCTACCGTTCGGTAGGGCATCTATCGTGTTTTCCTTTGGTAATGTTAATTCCATTTTACCTTTGTGCAGGCAAGTTGAAGCAGCCGAGCGCTACACAGGCGGAGATCCGGCAGATTGAAAGGGTTTATCGGCATGCAGGGGAAGAAGAAGGGGCGGCAGGCCAGAACGGTACAGGCGTCTTCGGGAGGGGTGGACCCTGATGATCTAACCCTCAATGAGCGTCGTCGCCAGATGAATGCTGAATCGGCGCGTGCCGAAGCTGCCGATGCTGGTCCGTCCCCCAGCCGAGGCACGCCTGCCGAGGGTACCTCCTCCAAAGCTGTAGGCAAAAGACCGTTCACGGTGGACCTTGATGCCGACCCTGCTCCAAAACGCGGGCGACAAGCCGAGCCTGCTCGGGCCATCTTCTTTGCCGAGGACGACGAGGCCCCTCCCGAAGCTGTCACCCTGGCATGTCCTTCGAAGACGGTCCAATTTGTGAACCATATGATCCTCGGTTCACAAATGGAGCTGTCCGAGATTAAGGACCTTCCGAAGAAGCTCCTTCGGGAGGAGGCAGGCCGCGCCTTCCGTCTTCAAGCTTCGGTAAGTGCCTAATGTTTATTTTATCAATTTCATGCCGTTTGTTTCCCTTTCCATCTAACATTTTTCTTTACCGTTCAGGCCTCAATGGATATGTGGCTCTGCGTCAAGCGAGCCATTAATGCCGCCGAAAAGGCGAAGAAGGCATATGAAGACGGCAGGGCGAAGGTTGCCGAGGCCGGCAAAGCCATCCAAGCTCAGGCGAACTTGGCGAAGGACATGCAGGCTGCCGAACGGCAGGTAAAAGTTTATCAAGCCAAGCTCGGCGAGACGTCGGCAGCCTTGGAGGCGGCGCAGCTGACGGCAAAGGAGGCTCTGGAGTCGAAGGAGGCGATCCAGGTGGCTTTTGAGGAGTCCAAGCGGGTCAGGGCTTCCGAGGTCGAGGCTGCCATTCAGGAGGCGATACGGGGCTACCGTCAGTCTACTGAGTTTTCCACTTTGCTGGACAAGGAAGTAGGCTTGGAAATGGCGGACCTACCCTACCGTTTCAAGCGGTACAACCCTGGGAAAAAGCTCAACCTCAACTTCATTGCTGATCCTCCCCCTCTTCCTGAAGGTATAACCGAAGAAATGGTCGAGGAGTACGAGGGAGAGGACATTACAGAAGAGGCCCCAGCCGATCCCGAAGGGGGTACTGCCGAAACCGATGGGGTTGCTGCCAAAGCCGATGAGCCTGCCGCCTGACAAAAGGCCTCGTACGCTCTGCAATGATACTCAAAGGTATAGTCTTATCTCGAACGGCAGGGCGACGATCTTCTCCAAAAGCTTCTTCTCATTTCCAGCCATTATCTTATGTAACTTAATGCCGAGGGCATTTTTTTTTCATGTAATTTGATGTAATCTTGATGCCGTGGCATCTTTGACTGAACCTTTGATGCCGTTGGCATATTTTAATCGAAGTTGTGTTTTATTTTTAACTTGATTGTATCTTACTTTTGGATTGGTACGATTTTTTCTTCTTAATGCTGAGGGCTCTCAAAAAAGGGTCACTGGCCGTTGGCCAATAAAGTTACCTTTCAAGCAAAAGTTCAAACAGTAAGGAAATGAAACCAACAGACGTACTTGCCGAAGGCTAAGCAACGGCCTTTAAATACCGAAGGCTTATAAAGGCTTTTCAAGTTATCCTTCCATCGGTAGGATAATGGCGATGCCAAAATGCGTAGTTTACTGCGACCGATGGTCCCTACCGTATCTTTTTTTTTTGAACAAAAAATAAAAAGAGTTTAAAGGGTACAACAAAGGTTTTGAATATATGAGCCGAAGACCCTTTCATTGATAAATTGCCGAAGGCAAAGGTACAATTTGGAGTGCGTTTTACAATTTAGAACCCGCCGTAGGCTAGGGAACGCTACATTGCCGAAGGCTGTGTACGTAGAGACGCCGAAGGCTTTTGGGACTCCGCCGTAACCCTGCCGTGGGCTAGGTGACTTCATTTAAAATAGTATTTCAAATGCTCTACATTCCAAGGATGACCGAGGGTCTTTCCGTTGGAGTCTCTGAGTCGATAAGTCCCCGATCGTTGGATACCGATGATTTCATAGGGTCCCTCCCAGGAAGGTCCGAGGGTTCCTTCCGTGGGATTCTTGGTTGCCAAAGAGACTTTTCGAATGACCCAATCTCCGATTCGGAAAGAGCGGGACCTGACCCTGGAGTCATAGTACCGAGAGACGCGTTGCTTGTAAGCTTCGTTCCGAAGGTTGGCCTGTGCTCGGCGTTCTTCGAGCAGGTCGAGGCTCAAGGCGAGCGCTTCCTCATTCGGTTTCGGTACGAAAGTTTCCGTTCGGTAAGAAGGCTCTCCGATTTCTACTGGGACTACCGCTTCAGAGCCGAAAGCCATGGAGAATGGCGTTTCCCCAGTTGCCGTTCGGTAGGATGTCCGGACGGCCCACAATGCCTCCGGAAGTTTTTCCGGCCAGGCTCCTTTGGCTTTGCCAAGCTGCCGTTTCAATAGCTTCTTGACAATCTTATTCATTGCTTCGACCTGTCCGTTTGATTGGGGGTGGGCTGGCGAAGCAAAGAACAGGTTGATCTTGAGTCGGGTACAGAATTCTCTGAAGACTTCCGAATCAAACGGCCTGCCGTTATCCGTGACGATGGCGTAGGGGATGCCGAATCGGCAACAAACGTTCGTCCAGACGAAATCTTCGATTCGGGCTGCCGTTATGGTTGCTAAGGCTTTGGCTTCTACCCATTTGGTGAAGTAGTCTACGACAACTATAGCATATTTGACCTGACCCTTGCCCTCTGGCATCGGACCAATTAGATCTAATCCCCATTGGGCGAACGGCCATGGGCTCACGATCGGTGATAGCGGCTCGGCAGGAATATGAGGGACACTACCGAACCGCTTGCATTTGTCACACTTCCTAACCAATAAGTTCGCGTCTTGGTGCAGAGTCGGCCAGAAGTACCCCTGTCGGAAGACTTTGTGTGCGAGCGATCGGGATCCGGAATGGTCACCGCAGACTCCGCTGTGGACCTCCCGAAGGATGTAGTCCCCCTGCTCCTTCGTAAGGCATTTTAGATACGGCGTTATGTAGCCTCGCTTGTATAGAACATCGTTGATGACTGTGTATCTTGCCGATCGGTAACGGAGTTTCCGAGCTTGGGACTTATCGGTGGGAAGGGTTCCGGTTGTCAGGAAGGCATAGATTGGAGACATCCATGTGTCCTCGTACCGAACGGTACACACATCAGCGGCAGTCGTGCTTGGTTGGGATAATATCTCCACCGGTACCTTCCTTCCGATCTTGTCATTTATTGCTGAAGCTAATCGTGAAAGGGCATCAGCGTGGCTGTTTTCTGACCTGGGGATCTGCCGTATCTCGTAGGCCTGAAATTTTTGTAGTAGTTGGTGAGCTGCCGATAGGTAGGCTGACATAGAGGCATCCTTCGCTGCGAAGTCTGCCGTTATCTGATTCACTATGAGCTGGGAGTCACTGTGAATGCTGATCTGCCTTGCGCTCATGCTCTTGGCTAGCCGAAGGCCGACCAAGAGGGCCTCATACTCTGCCTCGTTATTGGAGGTCCGGAAGTTGAATCGGAGGGCATACTCAACTTTGCTACCATCTGGAGTGGTTAACACCAAGCCGGCACCACAGCCTTGCTGGTTTGCCGAGCCGTCCACATGCAGGATCCAGAGAGGAACGGAAGGGTCGAAACGTTCGGTATCCATTTTCTCCGGTGCAGTAAGGATGGCGTTCGGTGATGATGGTTCCGATAGTGCAGGAGGTGTGAGCTCGGAGATGAAGTCGGCAACGGCTTGGCTTTTTTCCGCAGGCCTCGGCTTGAACTGTATGTCAAACTCTCCCAACTCGATTGCCCATTTGACCAATCGGCCCGACGTTTCTGGCTTTTGGAGTACTTGCCGAAGAGTCTGGTTTGTCAGAACAGTGATCTCGTGCGCCTGGAAGTATGGGCGAGGTCTTCGCGCCGAGATGACCAAGGCCAGTGCTAGCTGCTCTAAGGGTGGGTACCGAAGCTCTGCGCTCTAGAGTGCCTTGCTGACATAGAAATCGGTAGCTCTGCTTTCTCTGGCTTCCGTATTAACACTGAGCTAACGGCAGTGTTGGATACCGAAAGGTATAGCAGTAGTACCTCTCCAGGGAGCGGTTTTGATAATAGCGGTGCTTGGCTCATGTAGTTCTTCAAGTTTTGAAATGCGAGGTCGCATTCGCGAGTCCATGCGACACGTCCGGTAAGGCTCTGAATGTCTTTCTGTGTCTTCGGCGTCTCCATGTCGATTATGGCTTTGATTTTCTCGGGATTAGCCTCGATTCCCCTTTGGCTGATCATGAATCTGAGAAATTTACCGGAGGATACACCGAAGGCGCACTTCGCTGGGTTCAGCCTCATTTGGTAGTCCTTTAGTATACCGAACATGAGGGCCAGGTTTTCCAGATGCTCCCCTGCCGTTCGGCTTTTCACCAACATGCCGTCGACATACACCTCCATGATGCCGCCGATGTGCTTGGCAAAAATCAGATTGACGAGCCGTTGATAAGTTGCCCCCGCGTTCTTTAGGCCGAAAGGCATGACGTTGTAACAGTACAAACCGCGATCTGTGATGAATGCCGTATGTTCTCTATCGGCAGGGTCCATGAAGATCTGGTTGTATCCTGAATATGCGTCCATGAAGCTGAGCAGCTCGTGTCCGGCGGTGGCATCGACGAGCTGGTCGATTCTCGGCAAGGGGAAACTGTCCTTCGGACAAGCCTTATTCAGGTCGGTATAGTCCTGACACATCCGCCATCCTCCTCTGGCCTTCCGAACCATGACTGAGTTGGCAAGCCAAACAGGGTACGTAGCTTTCCTGATAAAGCCGATGGCTTTGAGCTTGTCAACCTCGGCACGCATTGCCTCGTACCGTTCGGCATCGTACGAGCGGCGCTTTTGTCTGACCGGTTTGTGGGCGATGGAGATGCTGAGCTTGTGGCTGATGACATCAGGTGATATGCCGGGCATATCGTCATAAGACCAGGCGAAGACTTCCGCCTGCTGCCGTAAGAAGTCGATGAACTGTCTTCGGAGGTCGGGACCTAGGTTGGTGCCGATCTTCACCCACCGATCGGGGAAATCCTCGTTCAGGACCACGGTCTCGAGTTCCTCGGCGGGCTGTGCCATCGGCGTTCGGCAGTCCCTGCAGGGTCATGGCTTCCATTGGCGGTTTGCTAGCTACCGACTTAAGGGCCGTGGCATAGCATGTCCGTGCGCTGAGCTGGTCACCCCGGATGACGCCGGTACCGTTGCGTGTTGGGAACTTCATCAGCAACATGTGGGGGATAAGTGGGCTTTGACCCTGGTGAGTGCCGTTCGTCCTAGGATGACGTTGTATGCCGTTGGGCAATCGACAATGAGGAATTGGTCGCAGGTCATTGTTTTCCTGGGGGTGACGCCGAAGGTGATGGGCAGACTGATACTGCCGACTGGCTGGACCAGATCCCCAGAAAAACTGAGGAGAGGCGTGATTTGCCGATTGACCATGCTGTCGGCAATCCCCAGTCCCTTGAACGGATCGGCAAAGATTACGTTCACTGAGCTTCCGGTGTCGATCAGCACCCGACCCACATCGTAATCGGCAATCTCGGCCCGAATGATCATTGGGTCATCGTGGGGGTAAATGATCCCCTCCTCCTCTTCTTCACAAAATATGATGGGCTCCCATCCCACCTTCGGCACCTTTCGGCACCGATCGTCTTCTATGCCGAAGACCTGAGGGCAGTGGGGGGCACGCACGTACTGCTTCATCGATCGGTTAGAGGGTCCTGCCAGAGTGGGGCCACCGCTGATCGTGCTGATCATGTTGATCTGCCGATTCGCATTCGGTGCTGGTGCCTGTGGTGGCCTGGCGAGGTACTGATCCAACATTCCCTCCCGAATCAGACGCTCGACAATTTTCCTCAGACTGACGCAGTCTTCGGTGTTGTGGCTGTTCTGCTGGTGGTATCGGCAGAATTTGCCAATATTCCGATTGTCTTGCCGATTGGGCTTTCAGTTCGTCAGTTTCGGGATTTGATCATGCTCGTTCATCAGAACGGTCTCGTATGTTGTGTTCAGGAGGGTGAAGACCTCCTGGGCACGATCGTGATTCAGTAACGGCGCTCGGTGGTCGTTACGACCGTATTTCCCGTGCCCCTTCTTCGAGTTTCCCTGACGACTATCACGGTCGTCCTTCCGTTTGTGTCCTGCCGAAGAATCGTCAGTTCGCCCCGGATAACTTTTGGTAGCTGACTCCTCCTTCCGAGCCGAAGGCCCGGGTTTGGAGTTGAAGTATTCGGCTTTCGCATGCACTGCCGCCTGCTTCATCAACTCATCGTACGTGCGCCAGTTGCTACTGTGCACGAGGTACCGGAAGTGAGAGGACCGAAGGCCACTCTTGAAGGCGCCATAGGCTGCCCTATCGTCCGTTTCAGGACACCTTGAGTACTCGTGACTGAAGCGCGCTGCATATTCCCGTAAGGGTTTGTCCTCCCTCTGCCGAATCGTGTACAGATCATCAGCAGAGTACAAGCGATCCGTCTAGATCATGAAGTGGTTGAGGAAAATCTGCTTCAGTTCGTCAAAGGAGTCTACCGTCCCTAGCTCGAGACGGTAGAACCAGTTCAGAGCAGCTTCGGTAAGGGACGATGGAAACAGCAGACATTGCCCCTCGTTGCTGAGGCCCTTGCACCCAACTGCCGATTGGAAGGAGTGAAGGTGCGTCAAAGGGTCCTCCACACCGGTATAAAAGGGTATGCGCAACGGCTGCACCTCCCTGTTCGGCGTGGACTTCTTGATGCGCTCGGTAAATGGTCCCGGCCGGAGTTTTCCCTAGTCAGGGACCTGGGACCGGGTTCGGTCATCCTCCATCTTCTGGATTCTTTGGAAAAGTAGGCGGATAGCGGGGTCTCGGCTGGGGACGTCCTCGGAACTGAAGTCTTCGGAAGTTCTCCTCGGACTTGGTGGTCTTGCCTTCGAATACTCCGGGGGAGCTTCCGAACGGTAACTTGATTCGGTGCCCCTGGTGGGGACGTACTCATCATCTGATTCCAGCGCCGAATCCAAACCCTGGACCCTCCGAAGGGGCGATTTATCTCCCAAGACCTTCATCCGGGAGTCCCTCAGGCGGGCGTTAACTCCGATTGGGGACCTATGCCGTTCGGCCTCCTTCTTGTCGTTGATCCGATGACGACAATCGGTGTATACCTTCTTTGGTACATGAGGTTGGTCCTGGGGAGCCGGGACCACCAACTGTTTGGAGGGCGCAAGCGTTGCCTTTCCCCCCTACTTTCCCTTCCTCTGCCGACCGGGGGTCTGTCGACTCTAGGAAGATTCAGTAGTTTGATCGTTCTGTGTTTCCTGTTGGTTAAGCAACCATTGGGTTTCGTCCACTTTGGACGAAAGGAAATTGTTATGTTCTTGGAGTTTAGCCATCTCATTTCGAAGGGAGGTCATCTGAGCTAGAAGCTCCGCTTCAACCACGGTCTGAAGCACTGGAGGATTACCGAAGGGGGTGCTAGGGTGCAGCGCGGGGCTTGCTCCGCTTGGCCTACCGTACGGTAACCCATCTTCTGACAGGAACTGTGGTCCTGAAGTGGTTCCCATTTGTTTTGTTTAGGAATTGTAGGTTGATTGTTATCGTTCCCACAGACGGCGCCAAACTGTTGACGCAGAAAAATGGTTCGGCACTTTCCCGCGTAACTTAGTAATTATGTTTCCTTCGGTATCTGATGTCCTCGGTAGTGTGTCCAATCTGTAAGATAGCAAACACAGGTAAGTCCTAGGGCACCGGTGTGGTACCGGCCGAAAGCTCTCCGATGCTTAAGTAAGTACGGATTTTAGTAAAGTTAAACTATAGATCAATAGGCAGTATGTCGTGAGTTCTGATTGATTACCTCCAAGCTGGGATGGTGGTCCTCTTTTATAGGCCTTGGGAGGTGTGCAATTTGTCTTGAGTTTCGATGTGGGACTCTGGACTTTTTTTTTTTTTTTTTTTTTTTTTTTTTTTTTTTTTTTTTTTTTTTTTTTTTTTTTTTTTTTTTTTTTTTTTTTTTTTTTTTTTTTTTTTTTTTTTTTTTTTTTTTTTTTTTTTTTTTTTTTTTTTTTTTTTTTTTTTTTTTTTTTTTTTTTTTTTTTTTTTTTTTTTTTTTTTTTTTTTTTTTTTTTTTTTTTTTTTTTTTTTTTTTTTTTTTTTTTTTTTTTTTTTTTTTTTTTTTTTTTTTTTTTTTTTTTTTTTTTTTTTTTTTTTTTTTTTTTTTTTTTTTTTTTTTTTTTTTTTTTTTTTTTTTTTTTTTTTTTTTTTTTTTTTTTTTTTTTTTTTTTTTTTTTTTTTTTTTTTTTTTTTTTTTTTTTTTTTTTTTTTTTTTGGAGAGGGAAGAGTTGCTGAGGACAAAAACCTTACATACTTGCAAGCGTAGAAGGGGTCTTAGAAGAATGGACTATTGTTTTTTAATTCATGAAGTGTGTGCATGGTGAAGGAAGCAGGACATGGCCATTTTTGTGCTTGCCTTGCCATATCACTCCCAAGAGGAACGATTTAATTTGGGTTGCAAGCAGGCGGAGGGAAAGTTCATATGTCAACCACTCGGAACTTGTCAATACACACAACCTCAGTCTAAGGTGGAAGATTGACTGCTTATGAAATCAGATGCTCAGCATAGTATGAAGCATGCAGAATAGTTGACTATTTAATTAGAAGTTTTGAAACTCAAGCCAAGCCATTACTATGTACACTGGAGTTTACAAATCAGGTATTTCATAGGGTGATGTTTGTGAAATAATCTCAAAGGAGAATATTCGCTTCTAGATCCTTCAAAATTCGATCTTCTTTCTCTCTCTTCCTCGATCCATTGTTAAAACAGATTGGAGTAAATAGACCCCACACCCGGGGGTTGTTGGCCAAAGGCCCTCCGATGCCTAAGTTAGTTCGAGTGTTTGTAGAAAAACATAGCTAAGCAAAGGGTACGGAGTAGTGTTTTATGTAGGGTGTTGAACGGGCGGCCGGCAGACGTGTGTGGTGGCCGGAGCCGTGTGGAGAAAAAATGGAGAGTGGGGAGGGGGAAGGAGAAAGAGCTTCGGGTATTTTTCTCGGGTTATAAGGAGTAGGTTTAGAGTACCTGAATGATGAATGAAGTCATCTATTTATAGGAGCCTCGGGGGTAGGGTTTCGTAGAGAATATGCTGAGTTTATTCTCTACCCAAATTCGTAGGGATCGAGTCGGACTGAGATAATACTGATTTAATGATATTATCTCTTTTTATGGAGAATAATATCTGAATTAAATGATATATATCTTTTTATGAAGATATATATGAGATAAGGACATTATCTTCTCTTTACTAGGATAATATCTTAATTAATGATATTATATTATTAAATAAAGATAATATATGTTAATTAAGATATTTATCCCCATTAATTAATTGGCCAGATAAACTGGGTCAATTAATTAATTGAAAGAGATAATCTTCTTTTCCACGTGGCGCGCTGTGATTGGAGACGAAAATATTTGCTCCCACAAATGCCCCACGCTTCTGCAATGTGCGTGTGTGGCATGTAGGAGATGATGAAATTTTTTTTTCGGGTTCTCAACTGAGTCGGCTTCTTTCTGTGAGTGGGACTCTTTTGAGAGAGGTTCAACAATTGTTGTAGGCTTCTGACTGGTTGTTGGAGTGGGAGTCCAGAGGAAAGAGCTTGAGGATCTTTCTTTACCTGGGTGGCCAATTTGGATAAATCCAGGGCTCTCTTCACTCTTTCTTACATCGCAAACTACTAACTTCCTACTTTCTAGCTTGAGAAAGAGCTTGGAGAATTTTGTACTGCTTGTCGAAGAGAGGAGTTGCCGTGCATCCCAAGGTAAGTCAGCACGTAAATTTTCCTTCGTCTTCTCTTTGTCAAGGCGAGGACCAGTGGGTGGGACCAGGTGGTGTCATCGTTACTGGCCAAAGACGATTGGAGCGGCGGTGGCTGCTGGCGGTGCTGAGCAACGAGTAGAGGGAAGTTGGTGGACTCCCCCATGCTAAGGATGTCAGGATAGATGGAAGCAGAGGATGTGTCAGAGCCTTGATGATCTGCCTGCTGCTGAGGAGTTGTTTTGCTAAACTCCCCAAAAAAAGAGGCTGATGTCAGTCTGCCGAGAGCTCAAGCCTGATGCGTGGGAGATCGTGATATGCTCAGTAAAGTAGTCCGTGCACGATCTAGCTCACTTGTTGAGAGGACAAAGAGATGCGCGATGCTCCTTTCGAAATTCGAGCGTTGTGTACCAGCGAAGTGGAATCGATCCTGGGCAGTCTGCTCATCCATCCACACCATCATGTCTGTCAATGTTGGTCATGAGCAGTCGAGCTGGAGTGGATTCGACGTCGCAAATTCTGTGGAAGTGAGGTGGGGAGGCTAGGAAAGCAGAGGGGGGGGAAAAGAGAGAGAGAGTCATTGCATTGGAAAAAAGGTTCTTCTGTAACGTCACGATGATCCAAAGGTGGACAAATCTCCCTGCAGGGCTTGACAGGGTTGTTGTGTTATGATATGCTAAAGACGCAAATTTCTATAGTCCATCTCTTGTGCTGAGTGGGTTGACAAATCCGTAGGCTGGCGGACGTGGTACTTTGCAAGTCTTTCCTTGAGAAAAGCAAATCGGAAGCGACCACTCATCTGCTTAAATAAGGGATAGTGTTTGGCTGAGACCATCGGAACTCGTCTGGTGTTGACCCAGCTTCTTTCAAGCCAGCGAGTTGGAGAAGAAGAAGCCGGGTTAGTTAGCAAACTTTCCGAGGCAGACCCGGTCAGAGAAGGAGCGAGGTCTGATTTGCTGGCGGCGAGGAGATCTGGGGGAAAGAGGCTCCCTGTGAGAGTTCCGAGCTTAACTCTTCTGCTGCTGACTTGGCAAGTCGAAAAGATGCTTACTTCACACGTGAGCGCAAGAATGCCGACATCTCTCTAGCTATGACAAGCTTTTGGCTAGATTTACGCTATCATGAGTTGCTTGAGGAATCCAAGTCCGAAGTTGCATGGACGCGTAAAGTTGGGATATGGGTCGCACCAGGGATATGATCCCTTCTACGACATTGGAGATGAGGGAACATCGAAGATGCTTCTATCCAGACTTGCCCCCTGCGCAAAGTGAGAAGGCTAATGCTGTGAACATCGAAGGAGCTGAAGAGCAGGTGACTAAAGAAGGCGATAGCTGAGGGAGCAGAGGAGGATGCAGACAGATGAGGTGGGGCAGAGTCATAGATCAGGCATGTGGAGTGCTGAAGCGGGACTCCGGTTAAGGCGGACGCTGAAGAGGTTGTTAGATCGGGAATCTCCTGCTGGCGCTTCGGAGTAGGACGAAGGACTCCTTTATTCTTTTAACTTTTGTAGTCTGCTTTTGTTTAGAATAATTGTGTGTTTGCCTTATCTTGTTTTGAACTTGGCGGTGGCGCTTGGTATGAAAGTTCAGTCTTTATTTTCAACTTCAATTGGCAATATGTCTTGTGAACGCTTGAGTAACCGGCTCTAGTGTTTTGATTGCACATCTACTTTTGGAGATTCATGAGTGTCAGGGTTCCTCTTGAAGGACTTCCGACGTGTTCTGCATATCTCTTAGGTTGGCTGGTCGTCGCCCTGCGTCTCCCGAAGGACGCTGTTATGGGCAACTGTGTGATATCCTGCCTCCCTTAGGAAAACGGATAGGAACCTGATATTCCCGCAAGAGGCATGGAGAACCTCCTTTTAAGAAATCATGGCGCGCACCCTGCGTCTCCTTAGGACGCTTTTTAGTGGGCTGCGTCTCCAAACGGACGCTTTTAGTCGTCGCCCGAGTCTCCCTATAGGACGCTCTTTATGGGCAACGGTATGACTATCCTGCCTCCCTTAGGAAACGGATAGGAACCTGGATATTCCGCAGGAGGCTGGAGACCTCCTTTTAAGAAATTCCTGGCGCACCCTGCGGCTCCCTTAGGACGCTTTTTAGTGGGCTGCGTCTCCCAAACGGACGCTTTTAGTCGTCGCCCTGCGTCTCCTAGGGACGCTGCTTATGGGCACTATATGACTATCCCCTTAGGGACGGATAGGAACCTGGATACCTCCTTAGGAAATTCCTGGCGCACCCTGCTTCCCCTTAGGACACTTGTTAGGGGTTTGCGTCTCCTGAAGGAAACTTGGTCAGCCCGGAGATCAAGAAGGACGCTGCTTATAGGTGACTGTTTTGACGGTGGTCGGCCTGCCAATGAATTATGAGCCGTTGTCGGTGATTAAAGATTGTGGGCTGCCAAATCCGGGTAGAGGATGATTTCTCCAGAAATTCGCCTCCCATCGGCTTTCTTTAGTAGAGGATAGATCTTCCGGCCCTCGCTCCATTTAGTACAGTATCATGGCGACAATCATCTTTTCTTTCTCCTTGGCAGCGCCGGGGCAAGGGACCCCCTAAGTCTGTCCCATTGCATGAATGGCCATGGACTATTTTGCGATGGTCAACTTCGGCAGGCAGGTTAGGGATCGGCTTGTATCGCTGGCAGCGATCACACTTTTTGACATATTCAGCGGAGTCGTGGCGCATGGTAGGCCAGAAATAGCCTACGTTTAGAGCCTTCTGGGCGAGTGACCTGCCCCCGAGTGGTTGCCACACTCGCCCGTGAATTTGCAGAGGACTCTCAAGTGTTTGAGGGTACTTTATGCAGGTGAGATGAGGGCCGGAGTATGATCTACGGATGAGCTTGCTGCCGTGCATATAGTATCTCGCGGCCTTCTGCTGGACCTTCCTAGCTTCGGACTTATCCGTTGGCAGGTTTCCATTCACTAAGTAGTCGATGATGGGGTCTTGCCAGCTGGGGTCTTCATCAATCTGCATTGAGTCGATGGCTCTATTTCTTCATGCTTGGCCGGTCAAGGTGTTCAACTGGGATGAGCGTCTGAATGGGTGTCCAGTGCTGATCCTAGGCTCGCCAACGCATCTGCATGAGTGTTCTCTGCCCGTGGAACTTGTTGGATGGTGAAAGTAGGGAATTCTTTCAAAAGTCCTTGGACTTTGTCGAGGTACTGAACCATTCTTGGATGCTTTGCCATGTATCGCCTGAGGCTTGATTCGTGATCAGTTGGGAGTCTGAGTAGATGGCCAGTCTCTTGATCGACAGTTCTTTCGCTAGGCGCTAGTCCTGCAAGCAATGCCTCATATTCTGCCTCGTTGTTTGAAGCAGAAAAGCCTAGTGTGATAGCTTGTTTCCAACAAGGTTCCGTCTGGGGTGATTATGACGACACTGCTCCGCTCCTTGTGATTTGATGCTCCGTCTACATGCAACTGCCACATGTCGTTAGGTAGGTTCGAATCGGTGGGGGGAGGTGTCGTCTGCTTTTTCCTTGCTTTTCGTGACCATCTTCTCTTCTTCGGCTGTCGGAGTAAACTCTACAACAAAATCTGCTAAAGCTTGGGCTTTTATAGCAGTCTTCGGCCGGTAGAGGAGGTCGTATTGACTGAGTTCGATAGCCCATTTCATGAGTCGCTGAGAAGCGTCGGGGCTGTGAAGGATCGATCTCAAAGGAAATTCTGTTATGACAATTATCCGGTGTGCTTGATAGTAGGGCCTTAACTTTCTCGCAGAAACACAAGCGAAAAAATGAGCTTCTCCATTTTCGGATAGCGAGTCTCTGCATCGAGGAGAGCTTTTGAAGTGTAGAATACGGATGTTGTGCCCCCAGCTCTTCTCGGATGAGAGCTGAGCTGACAGCTGAGTCGGACACCGCTAGGTAGATGTACAAGTCTTCGCCTGGTATCGGCTTTGAGAGCAGGGAGGTGAAGTGAGGTAAGTTTTCAAGTTTTGAAAAGCTACTTCACACTCGTCATCCCACTTGTCCTTGTGTCCCTTCTTCAAGGCTTTGAAAAATGGCCTGCATTTGTCGGTAGATCTAGAGAGGAATCGGTTGAGGGCCGCGCCTACCCGTTAGACTTTGTATCTCCTTTGTTGTGGCAGGTGACTTCATGTTGAGTATAGCCTTGATTTGATTTGGATGTGCCTCAATTCCTCTTTGGGTGACTAAGTATCCAAGGAATCGGCCGGACGAGACTCCAAATGTGCATTTGCTCGGGTTCAACTTCATGTTGTATTTTCGGAGTAGGCTGAATGCCTCGGCAAGATTCTCGATGTGGTCTGCTCGCTCGGGAGCTTTGACTAGCATGTCGTCTACGTAGACCTCCATAGTCTTGCCGATTTGCTCCTTGAAAATTTTATTCACCAGCCTTTGGTAGGTTGCCCGGCGTTCTTCAGCCCAAAAGGGCATGACCTTGTAGCAGTAGGTACCTCTTTCGATGATGAAAGAGGTCTTTGCCTTGTCGTCTTCATGCATCATGATTGGTTGTAACCGGAGTAGGCGTCCATGAAGCTTAGCAGTTGATTGCCGGAAAGTTGAATCGACGAGCTGGTCAATTCTCGGCAGTGGAAAGTTATCTTTAGGACATGCCTTGTTGAGGTCATGTAGTCGACGCACACTCTCCACAGGCCTTTATCTTTCTTTGCTACTAGAACAACGTTCGCCAGCCATTCTGCGTATGAGACTTCTTCAATGAAACCGGCAACTAGAAGCTTGTCGATCTCAGCTTCAATGATGGCGACTCGCTCGGGGGCGAAGTTGCGTCTCTTCTGCGCTACAGGCTTGATGGCTGGGTTGACGTGTAGGCGATGGCAGATGATCTGGGGATCGATGCCAGGCATGTCGGATGGTGACCATGCAAATACGTCTTTGTTGTTCTGGAGGAAGGCTACAAGCTCTGCCTTTTCCTCCTGGCTTAGGCGCGAGCCGATCCGCGCTGTTCTCTCTGGCTTGTCAGGATCAAGGGGTACTAGCTCAACGTCCTCCTCGGGCTTCCATCCTTCTTCAGGATAGACCTCCGGACGGATTCCCTCGACTTGGTCCTGATTCTTTGATTGCTATTGGGGAGTAGTTATTCCCTTTCCTTTTTGGCCTGCTCGGCCGTCAGGAACGGATCTGCTTCTCCTCTGCTTGTTCTACTCCCTTTAGATCTGCTTGATTCACAGGGAGGAAATGTGTTTGCTTGCCTTTCTTCAGCCCTTGAGCTGAGCATTTCCTCGCCATGCCTGATCGCTGTTGATTGGCCGACACCCCCAGGGATTGGGTAGCGAATCTTCTGATGTGTGGCGGAGGTGATGGCGTTGATCTTGCGATCCATGGTCTGCCTAGAATGCCATTGTAGGGTGAGACTTCATCAATGACCATGAACGTTTGCGAGCTGATTACAGGTGGGGGTAGACGTCGAGCTCTATCGTGCCCACGGTAACCGTTGTTGCTCCATTGAAAGCCAGTCAGCGACTTGGCTGATTTATTGATCTTTGCCTCTAAGCCCATCTGTTGGATAACTGTCAATTGTAGGATGTTGGCGCACTGCCCTCGTCTGCATGGATTCGGTCGACCATGGCCTGAGCGATTTGAATGCTGATGACAAGAGCGTCATTGTGTGGTAGATCAAGGCCAATTAGATCTTTCTTTGGGAAGCCGATTACAGGATCGTCTTCTGCTAGCGGAATGTCGGTTGAGACTTGGGAGATCATAGTGGCTGTTTGATCTTCTCTTTTTTTCCTTGCTGGTCAACCAGATTCCTCGGAGTCGGCTAGGATTGTGTTAATCCTTATGACCTTTTGGGGCGGCTCCTTGGCGGTGTCGCGGGTCCTCTATCTGTTGGATGGCCTGCTTAGCGATGAATTCTGTGCAGTGACCTTCCTCACGAGTTCTTCGAGGTGTGCTTTCCAAGCGAAGCAGTTGTTCGTAGTGTGTCCATGCGTCCCATGGAAGGCACAGTATTTGCTAGTATCCCTCCTGTCTGGATCTCCTTTCAAGGGTGGCGGGTCTTCTTACCCAAGGTTTGTTTTTCACTTGGGCTAGGATTTGATGTATAGGGATGGTGAACTTGGTGTAGTTCTCCTGCCTTAGCGTCCTCTTGTGGGTGTGACCTGCGCTTGTCCTTGTTCTTGTTGCTAAATCCATCGCTTCTTTGGCCGCCCGCTTGGTCTGCCGATCTCCTGCTCAGTGGACTTCTTCGCGGCAATTCGATCGTCATCCCAGAGCGGTAGCGTTCTGCGGTCGCGAAGACCTCTGCTAAAGTCTGGCTGGGAGTGATAGTCAGCTCGCGGTATAACTCGTGTTCTGCTGGAAGACCTTTCTTGAAGGCAGATGATGCGATTCGGTCGTCGCACCCTACGATGTTGGCCTTTTCTGCTTTGAACCTCTTGATGTAATCTCGAAGGGATTCGTCGGGCTTCTTGCGCAGGTTGAACAGATGATCTGGGTTCTTCTTGATCGTCCGATAAGAAGGGTATTCTTTAGTGAAGACATAGGCAAGCTCCCTTGAAACTGTTGATCGACCCGATGGCAGGGTGTGGAAACCAGTCCTGAGCTGCTCCTCGCAAGGTCATTGCAAACGCCTTGCACATCAGTGCGTCGTCGGCCTTGTGGAGGATCATGACACTTTTGAAGTGTTTTAGGTGGCTCTCGGGATCGGAATCTCCCTTGAAATGCGTAAACGAAGGCGTTGAGAATCGCTTCGGGGGAGTAGCCTGCTCGATTTCAGGGGTGAAAGGAGTAGAGATCGCTGGTCCATCTCCTTACGTAGTGCATCCTCGAGGTTCCCAGTCTTCAAGTCTCGAAGTCGGTCATTCACAAGCTTCTCAACGTCTTCACGCCGCAGTGCTGGTCGATCACGTTGGGCGACTTTTGCGATTCGGGCGACGCTGATTGACCTCCTCGTTGGTCTGCAAGGGTCGGTCCTCTCGTCGCGCTGCCTAGGAGGCGTGTTGGTGGACTGCGATTGCGAGGGATTTTCTGCAGCTTGACGGCGAGATTGGTTCTCCGAGAGCGGGCAATGGAGTGCCTCTCTTCACGATCCTCATTGCGAGGGTTACCGGGTTGACCTCCCTGGGGCCTAGCCTTTCGTGAATATTTCTCTGCGAGTGGGCAGCGGAGCGCCTCTCTTCACGATCCTCATTGCGGCGATTGTCAGTTTGATCTCCCCTGGGAGCCTAGCCTTTGAAGTACATTCCCCTGCGGGCCCAGGCGAGCACGGACGTCAAGTCGTGGGCCGAGCCTTTCTCGCACGTTGCTTTGTGTGTGGCTTGCAGATGCTTGCGACATGTCGGCAAGCTGATCACGTGGTTGTGCATCCCTTGTCTGCTCGCTCCTGCTCGACCCGCTTGGTGCCCGTTGAGCTGCCCACCGGTGCGTTCGTCTATTCTTCTCACTTCGCCTGGTTGTCCAAGGCCAAGATTTTGAGCCACGCTTATTTGATTAAGGAGCTGCCTCATAAGAGCGTTTTGGTCGTCCATTCTCTGAGCTAGCTGGTCAACTCTCAGGTTGAGATCTGCTTGACTTTGTGGATCGGGAGGAGAGAAGCGTGTGGAGCCCAATTGCACACGGGCTAGGGTTTCACTGGAGGTGTACGCGAGAGCGTGTGTCGAGCGTGGAGGCAATGGAGGGAACGCTTGAAGTTGCTCCAAGACCGGGCCTAAGTCGGTGGGTGGTAACGAGCCCACCTTGATGGGAGGTTCCACCATGTTCTGCGGCGGTGCCACGGAGGTTGCTAGATTCGGTCGCGGGTCCGGTAGGTGGCACGGTGGCGAGAGGTGGTGGTGCCACCATGTTGATCGCGGGATCGTGGGTGGAGTGGCTTTGGGCCGTCACGGATTGAGCCATCGCGGCGGTTTTACTCCTCGTGCGCTTGCTTCCAACCATGGTTGTTTGGAAGGCTTCGGTGGATTGGAAAATATGAGGAACGGATTCCTTGAGCACGCGTTTGAGTATAACTCGTGCTCTCAATGAAAGCACCAAATGTTTGTGCAAATAATCTCACGGGAGAATATTCGCTTCTAGATCCTTCAACCTTCGATCTTCCTTCTCTCTCTTCCTCGATTCCTGTAAAAACAGATTGGAGTAAATAGACCACACCCGGGGGGTGTTGGCCAAAGGCCCTCCGATGCCTAAGTTAGTTCGAGTGTTTGTAGAAAAACAATAGCTAAGCAAAGGGTACGGAGTAGTGTTTATGTAGGGTGTGAACCGGGCGGCCGGAGCCGTGTGTGGTGGTCGGAGCCGTGTGGAGAAAATATGGAGAGTGGAGAGGGAGAAAGAGCTTCGGGTATTTTTCTCGGGTATAAGGAGTAGGTTTAGATGTACCTTGAATGATGAATGAAGTCATCTATTTATAGGAGCCTCGGGGCTAGGGTTTCGTAGAGAATATGCTGAGTTTATTCTCTACCCAAATTCGTAGGGATCGAGTCGGATGAGATAATATCTGATTTAATGATATTATCTCTTTTTATGGAGATAATATCTGAATTAAATGATATTATCTCTTTTTATGAAGATAATATCTGAGATAATGACATTATCTTCTCTTTATTAGGATAATATCTTAATTAATGATATTATCTTATTAAATAAAGATAATATCATTTAATTAAGATATTTATCCCAATTAATTAATTGGCCAGATAAACTGGTTCAATTTAATTAATTAAAAGAGATAATCTTCTTTCCACGTGGCGGGTGTGATTGGAGACGAAAATATTTGCTCCCAGTGATTAGGGGATTTTAGCCAGATTTCCAAACTAACCTCAGCAATAATTTCAGCAGATTCTATCCCGTCTCTTCTAGCGCCGTTCCGCTCGGATCTGGGTTGTGGCGCTTGAAAGAGAGAGGGGGTTGTCTTAGATCTGGGTTGTGGCTCTCGAAAAATAGAAGAGAGCGAAAGAGATATATTAAAGGAAGAAGTCGCAGTGGATATTGCTAGTTGAAAGAGAGAGCGTCGAGTACCGAGATATGAGAGAGAGAGAGAGAGCAGAGAGAGAGAGAGAGAGGAGAGAGAGAGAGAGAGAGGGTGAGAGTTAGGGCAAAACTAAGGAGGAGGCGAGAGAGAAGGGGAAGGAAACCAGTTTCATCCTGAAAACGAGGCGCTAAAAAAAATAAAAAAATTTACGACGCGTGTTTTTTTTTGTTTGAAGTAGTTAGCGTGTTTGTGTAAAAGGCAACGGCGAGAACGGAGAAGCGCTAAATAAAAATATATTTAATAGGCCTCATTATTTACGTTGCTGAGCTTTAACCGTGTAATACGCATCAGCATCACATTACATTGTTTTTAGTAGACCTTTTTTTTTTTTTTTTTTTTTTTTTTTTTTTTTTTTTTTTTTGATGGCATAATACCAGAATAAACATCCTCTATTAATTTTCCGAGCTTATGCAGAGTCTATAGCACATTTGGTAGTTAGTTGGTAAGACAAATTCGGGTATCGTTAGTAATTGACCGTATTAGCTGAATTGAAATATAGTGACAGTTCGTATTTTCCAGGTATGAGAAGAATACGAACCGCAAACAGGTATCCATGATTCTTAGGTTATTCACTTTACCTGGCAAGTTTACTTTTTTTCTTGGGTTCGAGCAGGGTTTCTAGTTATTCCTTTGGCATTGCAAGGTTTCTGTTTCTTCTTAAGTTCAATCAGGTTTCCCAGGGTTTATTCAGCTTACCAAGAAAGATTAAATTGTGAAAAAACTAGTATAAGGCACCAAGCGGGCTTTTCCGGGAAGGAGCCTACACAGCCGGATTAGATTGAGGTAAATTTTCTTGTTCTTTCTTGTCAAATGTTCCACTATCTTATATAATTACTACTCGTGAGTTAGGGGTGAGGGGGATGATAAGAAATTTATTATTTTTCCTGTATTAATACCCATGATATGTTTTGAATGGGTTATGATATATTACTTTCAGGATGAATGGAAATTTTAAAATTTTCACCAACAAAAGGGTTATAAGTATTTTATTTGAAATTTTCTCTTCCATAAATTTGGATTCATAAAGTACTTCAGGTCTTGGGTATGTGATTGAGCCCAATTTTATAAAATTGAAAAAGATTTTAAGTCCAAAAGCCCAAAACAGGTTTGGTAGGCCATTTTTAAAACCTCAAACCCAAAACAAACTAAAAGACCGTATAGTTTGGTAAGCCATTTTTCTGAATTTTTTTCTCGCGTATTGCAGCATGCTGGTTCGCTCGAGCTCGCAGAAAGCTTGAAAACTATTGCTCCCCTCTCGCCCTCCCTCTTCCTCGTCCGTTCGATTGTTCCCTCTCTCTTCATAATTTCAAAACCTAGAAATTGGGGGAAATTTTTTCACATATCCAGGCAGTTTATTTTTCTCTTCTTTTTGGATAGCTGGGTTTTGTTTGTGGTAATGTGTGTTTTTATTTACATTTGATACTGGGTTGCTTTAATTCCCGTGTTCCTGTGTTTGTGACCTTATGTTTAAGAAACTCAAGTTTTAGGGCTGGCATAGATCTTATTATTGCCCAATTTGTGATTATTCATAGGTGTGGTGTTTAGTTTTACAAGTTTTCTGTTTAAGGGAAGAGTTAGTGAAGGAGTACTGAGAAAGCTAAAATTTTTTGGAGAACTTCTATTGTGATTCTGATTCTGCAATTCTGAGAAAGAGTGAATGATAGTCAAAAATTGACACCTAAGAAAACAAACCTAGAAAGAATCCTTAAGAGCATCCATGCACTGGTCATACCAAAACATTCTCATTTCCCTCCCCTTCCTTTAAAACTGAGAACTGAGACTATTTCTACTATCTTTGTATAAATCCCACCCATAATAACATCGAATAGGATAAGTAGTCCCAATAGATGAAGGTTGAAAGCTCATATGAGAATTTTTATGGCACGGCCAAGGAGAAGGGAATAAGTGCAGTGGGTTGAAGTGTGAGTTAGTGTCAAAATCTAGGGGTAACGTAGGTTTGGTGGTTGAAATTTTGGTTAAGAGGAATGTGGAGCCATCTCTCTCCCAATGTCCAGCCTAAGTGCTTAGTTCAACTTTCAATATGTAAAATGATTTTAACTAAAAAAACATACAAATACCTTAATTCATTTGGATTAGTTAGGGGTTGCACAATTTGTGGGATTTTATTCCCTTTTATTCATGAAGTTCATAAGCGCGTTAAAACTGAGGGTCCGAGATATTTTCATTGGCATATGTTGTGCAATGTAGTTTCGTAAACTATATTGTGTTTTAAAACTAAAGCTCCCTAATTTCATATTGGTGAAATCCTTTGGGAGAGAAACAGATGCAAGTAGCCGATTCACCCACTATCTCACGTGCGACACCTCCTCTCTCTCTCTCTCTCCTCTCTCTCTCGGGTTAGGGTTCGTAAACGGTTACTTATTTTTCTGGGTTCAATCGCGCACGACCGCATCTCTCTGGTACTCCGTCTCTTTCATCTCTCCGGTGCCGTCGTCATCGTCTCTTCGAATCCGTCTATCTGTTTCAGTGAAAGATTCCAAGCCATTGGTCCGGGGTCACACGGGGGAGGCTCTCATCTCTGCGACACCGTCTCACTCTCTCTTATCTTTGGCTCGCTACTTTGGATAATTTTGTTGATGTTATTTGATGTGGGTTTTCTGCAAGTGAAATTGGGTCAATTCTCTGCTCTGTGTCATCTTCTTTTGCTGATTCTTAGTCTACTTCTAAATTTTCTTTTGGTGCATCATCCCCAATTTCTTTGTCTGATTGCTCACCCTCGTTAGTAACCTGTAGAAAAAAGATGTGTAAAGAAACAAACTGATTCTCCATACAAACGGTAAACATCTAATATATAATTTAATGATTCATCATTGTTGGATTGAGTTCACGTCATGGCCCTTTGATATTTTCTTCTTTTGGTGCTTTTTGTTCCAATTCCATCTTTTCTTTTGATAGATGATCCTTAATTCTAGTTTTCCTTCCTTTTATTGTTCACTCTTTCTAGTTTCCTGCCCCCAAAAAAAGAAAGTGTAAAAGACAGCAAATTCATTTGCTATAGCATTCATTACTTTCAAATTCATTTGTTATAGCATTCATTAGTTTTCCCTTCCTTTGATTGTTCACCCTTTCTAGTTTTCTGTGAAAAAAACCGAGAGCTACTTTACTGGCAAGGAAAATAAACTGCGGGAAGACACAGAATTGTCCAACTTCGATTATGAGATTTTTTTTTCTGACCTTTCAAGTAATTCCACATAGATTTTATTTTTCCTGACCTTTAGGTATAAGCTAGCTGCGGGTTGTCTTTATATTATATATTAGCTAGCTGCAGGGTCATGGTCCCATAGATTAAACTGGCCAGTATAGCAATTATTTTCTTCCTTTTAGTATTGGTGTCTGAGTGTAGTACCACTTAATTGGACAATGGGATTTAGCTGATGGAGTATCATCCTTCAATGTTGGTTTGATTGTTTTGGAAATCCTTTTCGAGCTCATCCAGCCTTTTTTTTTTTTTTTTTATAAACCATTTTGGCTTTATGTGATGATCACTGGTAGCTTGAATTTTATGCAAGGTAGTTCAATTAGCTTCAAGGGTAAATTTTTGTTAATTTGAAATGGTTTTTTTTATCATCATCTAGGGCATATATAGTTAAGAACTGTAGAGAATAATAAATGTTCTGGAATTGAGATGAAGAGCCCTAATTAATAATTTCAGATAAATAAATACTACACGAGAGACATGTGACCTTAAGCCTGATTCTTATTCATTGTACATGTTATAACTGTATAAAGGGGATGTGTTGATTACAATATTACTTTGAACCATTTGGTTTTATGTTGAGACTTTTATCTTGGATATTTGGTGCTTCCTGTGATATCTTATTATGTTACTGTTTGAGTTAACTCAGAAAAAAATAATATTTTTGTTTAATGATGAGTAGTGAACTATATGCTATTTTGAGTTTGAAGACTAATTTGGACTCAAGCCCTCCAAAAATATAGTGTCTAACAGAATGTGTTTTTATTTTCTTTTTGCAGTAGGGTGTTGAATTACTTGCTTAAGAGGCTATATTTGCTAAGCGGTATGGATTCTTTTTTTTGTTTTTTTTTTTTTTAAATTTAAATTTTATAAATTTTGTTTGCAATAGGTTGTTTGAAATACTTGCTTAAGAGGCTATATCTTTGAAGTTTAAACAACGCCTTCATTTATCTCATTCAGGATTTGTAGCAAAGCAACAGCAAGCCCAAAGAGCAAAATCTGAAGCTTTCGATTTTAATGGAGGTTAAGGTGCTTTCATTTGCCGCTGAGAGCCCTCCTCTCCCGGTGCTCGTGGTGGCCAAGCTCGCTGGCATTTCTCTCTCTACCGACAAATCTCTACTTGTTGATTGTCCTCATCTCTTGCATTCTCCAATGGGTAAATCCTAATCCCCATTTTTGTTGTGCTATTGATTTATTTGTATTCGTCTCTGTTTTCATGTTGGATTAAATGCATTTGTTCATCTTTCGTTTTAGGTTGAAATTGCATGGAAATTTTGCGCTTCTTCGATATATCGGTCCAATTGCTAACTTGTATGGTGAGAATGCAATTCAAGCTGCCCAGATTGATGAGTGGCATGAGTGTGCACCTGTGCTTTCACAGGGTTCTGCATTTGAGAATGCATGCAAATATTTGGATGACTATTTGGGAAGCCGTAGTTTTTTCGTTGATCACTCCTTTTCCATTGCCGATATATTAATATGGTCAAGTCTATTAGGTATGGCGTTGCTTCTCTCACTCTCTTTTCCTATTGTTTTTATCATTATTTTGCATGGTTATGCAAAGAATTAGAAATTGAAGGATAAGGTCCTAAACTAAGGACTATTCTTGTGTAAACATTTCTATAACATAAATGGAAGTGCTTTTGGGAGATGCTTAATTAACGCTCTATGCATTGGCAGAAAGTTGGCAAAGATGGGAAAGTTTGAGAAAGTCGAAAACGTACCGCAACCTTTCTCGGTGGTTCAATTCACTATTAGCGGAATACGGTGGTGCCCTGAATGAAGTCATCGCTACCTTCCTTGGCAAGAGAGGTTTGGGGAAAGCCAGCAACAAACAAAATCAAAAGGCACTCAAGCCAATCAGGAATCAATGAGTGTAAATGGAGATGTGTATGAGAAAGGTAAAGCAGGAAGCAGACCAACATTTGAAGTAGACCTTCCAGAAGCTGAGGTTGGAAAGGTTCGATTGAGATTTGCGCCAGAACCCAGTGGATTTCTTCACATTGGGCACTCAAAAGCAGCTTTGTTGAATCAGTATTTTGCTCAAAGGTATCAGGGTCAGCTTATTGTGCGATTTGATGATACAAATCCTGCTAAAGAAAGCAATGAGTTCGTGGACAATCTTCTCAAGGATATTGAGACTTTGGGTATCAAGTATGAAACAGTTACCTATGCTTCAGATTACTTCCCTCTGTTGATGGAAATGGTTGAGAATTTGATTTGCCAGGGCAAAGCATATGTTGATGACACACCACGTGAGGAGATGCAAAAGGAAAGGATGGGATGGCATTGAATCCAAATGTAGAAACAACAATGTAGAGGAGAATCTAAAAACTATGGAAGGAAATGATTGCTGGTTCTGATAGGGGTCTGCAGTGTTGTGTCCGTGGGAAGCTGGATATGCAGGATCCAAATAAATCTCTTCGTGATCCAGTTTATTATCGTTGCAATCCAATGCCACATCATAGGATCGGATCCAAGTACAAGATATACCCGACTTATGATTTTGCTTGCCCATTTGTTGATTCTATAGAAGGCATTACTCATGCACTCCGATCCAGTGAGTATCACGACCGCAATGCTCAGTACCATCGAGTTCAAGAGGATATGGGACTGCGAAAAGTGCACATCTATGAATTCAGTAGGTTGAACATGGTTTATACAGTTCTCAGCAAGCGCAAGCTTTTGTGGTTCGTTCAAAATAAGAAGGTTAATGGATGGGATGATCCTCGTTTTCCAACTGTTCAAGGAATTGTGCGCAGAGGTCTTAAAGTTGAAGCTTTAATACAATTCATTCTTGAGCAGGTAAGACAATATGTGTTGTAGATGCACAAAAGTAGTTATGATCTATGCCTATAACATATAATGTCTTCCCGCTGCTTATTATGTCCTTACACCAATGGTTTTCCTTGGCACTAATAGTTTATTTGTTGCGATGTCCACTATTTTGAATGTTTTAATTTTTTAATTGACTTTTATACTCTTAATGTTTTAGGGAGCTTCAAAGAATCTGAATCTCATGGAATGGGACAAACTTTGGACAATTAATAAGAAGATAATTGATCCAGTATGCCCAAGACACACCGCCGTTATTGAAGAGCGGCGGGTGTTGTTGACGCTGACCAATGGGCCTGAGAAGCCATTCGTTCGCATCATTCCGAGGCACAAGAAGTACGAAGGTGCTGGGGCGAAGGCGACTACATACACAAGGACAATATGGCTAGACCTTGTAGATGCAGAGTCCATCAAGGTAGATGAGGAAGTGACCCTTGATGGACTGGGGGAATGCCATTGTCGAAGGGATTGAGAAAGACGAAGATGGAAACCTCAAACTCATAGGGGTTTGAATCTTGAGGGGTCCTTCAAGACGACGAAAATTGAAGCTTACGTGGCTACCTCAAATAGATGAACTACCTAAGCTCTCACTGATGGAGTTCAATTATTTGATAACAAAGAAGAAGGTATGTCCCCCAGGTGTTAAGTTATCACACCTTAGCATAGCATATTACTTATTAATACATTGAACTTGAATTTATTGAAAAGTGATTGGTATGTGATTATTTAACTTACGATTGCAGCTTGAAGGAGAGGATTTCCTTGATGTGCTTAACGCATGTACAGAAAAGCAGACTGCGGCCTTGGGTGATTGCAACATGCGAAATCTCAAGCGAGGAGATATCTTGCAGCTTGAGAGGAAAGGATATTTCCGATGTGATGTTCCCTACGTCAGGCCTTCAAAGCCTATAGTTCTCTTTGCAATCCCCGACGGCAGGCAGCATACTGGGTTTAATTGATAAGGAAGAGTTCATAGAAATTCAACTCATGGAAGGAGAGGGATTTGACTACCGAGCAGAAAAGCTACGAGGTACCTCATCGTATAATTCACCATTCACAAATAAGTGAATTACTTTCGTTAATTACTTCATATAATTGGGTACTCTTCATGCTGGCTTCTAATACACATGATTGTTACATGCATCAACTTCTTTCAATTTTCAAACAACATTATCAAATTCTGAGAGTACTCTCCATCAATCATTCATATCTATAGAAATAAATTTCCACAAGAAATGTTTCACAAACCACATTTAGGCGATTATACAATGTAAACAACTGATTTTTGAGTTAAAAGTTCATTAATTTTTCATTAGTGTTTCTTAGCGTCTGTGAAATGAGTTGTCCTCCTTTTGGTTTTCCGCAGACCAATATAAGTTGTTACAATTAAAAACACATGATTATAATGGCATGTTTGGAAATGACAAATATGGTCCATAATTCACCAAGGAAATAGGACAGTCCATGCGGTCTTAAATAATTATGAATATCAATGCAAGTCAGTAGTTAATTGCCAAGTTGACCCTCCAACACTCAATAGAATGGATAAGTTGACCCTTCAGGAGGAACACAAAAAGAGTCAAAACAAAACATATTCAGCAGAAAAGAAATCAGTCCCTGTAATTGAAAAATGAGTTGATCATTTTGAGTGCTTTTGGATAAGATATGAAAAGGGATATAACATTTAAGGGCTTGAAAACCCGCAAAGTTTCAACAATCTATGTGGCTGAACTTGCATGAATCTGCATTTGTTTGGGGATGAACCATGCATTTAATCCTAAATTTCAATATAAGCAATTTTGGTACTGTTTGCTATATACGGTTTAATGATTCATCATTGTTGGATTGAGTTCATGTCATACCCTTTTGATATTTTCTTCTTTTGGTGCTTTTTGTTCCAATTCCAACTTTTCTTTTGGTATATGATCTTTAATCCTGGTTTTCCCTCCCTTTGATTGTTCACCCTTTCTAGTTTCCTGCAAAAAATAAAAAATAAAATAAGTGTAAAACACTGAGCAAAATCATTAAATGAATCTTGCTTGATACTTGTGTATGTGTAAGAAGATATTGACAAAATGGGATCAGGGCTTACTCTGAAGTTAGAAATAGCGGTTACAGTCTGCTGCTGCACCTGTTCCCCTTGCCGCTGTTTGGATGAGCCTGCTAGATTAGTGTCATGGTGGATGCCAACAGATTCATTTATGAGTGCTGCATATAACCCTGTTTTTACTAGTTGTTAAATGTTGTGAGATGGGAATATGAGCTTTGCTTTTTGAGAAGGGGATGTGTAGCATATGTGGTTTCTGTGTAAGTTATTTAGTAATAATATCTTTCAGAATCAGAAATTTAGTGCTAATGTCTTTCATAATTCATTGCTTCAATTGGTCACTCATTGGTGTAATTGTAATGTGGCGACTGTTTGTTTTGGTCTCTGTACATTTTCCGTTTGCTTTGGTACTTTATTGCTTCAGCTGGGCACTTCATATTTGTCTGTGACGTTATGGTAGAATGGGTCATTGAAAGTTTCTTGTTTTTTGGTTAATTCATCAATATCTTATATTTTGGTAATCAACGAAATTTTTTGGCAGATTGGAGCAACCGGTCAGCTAATTGGAGATCATGGCTTTTGAGGAGAACTAGGAAATTAGTTTACTTCTACTTGTTACTATAAGGTCCCAAACATTAGTATTTTGTAAGGAGAAATGAGACGTGTATTTTATTTATGAAGCCTTATATTTTTACATTAATGTATTACACTTGATATTATTTTTGATGTCATTGTTATTATAAAATGAAAATTTCATACATATTTACATTGGATATTTTTGTACTGATTTAGTAACAAATAGAACATTAAGCGCAAAGGGGAAGGAAGAGAAGAACAACACAAACCAAAACCAAAAAAAAAAAAAAAAAAAAAAAAAAAAAAAAAAAAAAGTTAGGGATGTATGAAGCATTGTTAGCAGTGCTATGAGTGGTGTGTGCTATTAGAAAATAGCCTTTCAACTTACTCTCGCATAGTTGAGTTTGAGAAATTCTATGAATTTTTTTAGTTCAACATTATATTTTACAGCTTCAAAAACGAAGAAAATGTCACAAGAAGTTTGTAGTATTTTTCGGTTTCTATTTTAGATTCTCTATTAGTTTTGGGTGCGCAGGATGTTCTTCTCAACCATCTGATCTTCCAACTCTATTTCCTTATTGGCATGGGTGCCAAATACTTGAGCTGGAAACTCACAGGCATACCTGAGAGGGAAAGGAAACAAATCTTGGAGTTGTATATATTATGACATACTACCAAACCCGAATGTCTCTTTCTTTTTTTGAGGTTGAACAGAATCAGGACTGGCAACCTCATCATCTCCCTAATTAACTACTACTGCCATAACAAGAGATGCAATGGAATCCAGTCTTCATATATTGTGAATGGCAACTATATGTGGGGCTCTTAGGGTTGAACCGCACAATGTGAGATCAAATGGAAGCTTCTCATATTCTTGAAGCACCTTCACCTGATTTGCACAACAACAGTCAACAATCATTCTCACCTTATTCTTCATAGGGATATTCTCTGGTGGGAACTTCTTTTTGCAAACCTCTATATGAGAACACCGTTGGATCAAATCCAACGGCTGCTAAGAAGCAATTGTAACTGAAAGTGTCTAAAACTGTTCCACTGGAACGATGCCTCCTCCCTCCAAAACGGATGTATTGTGCTCTTGAAGACCACAATATCTCCCTCCAAAAAAAGTTGTTCTCTCTCTCTCTCTCTCTCTCTCTCTCTCTCTCTCTCTCTGTATGTCTCTGTCTGTCTGTCTCAGTCTCTCTCTCTCGTAGGTGTAGCATTTATATTCACTGACGGGTTCATAGATTATTTCGTTGCAGACTCCATTATTTAATAATGTTGCATAGTCTATTTGATATTTGTGGAAAATTTGAAGATCAAAATCACTTATGAGGTAATTAATATCCTGGAGGAATTGTTTTTACCAAATATATTTGCATAATTTACGTTATTTGGATGTCGGTTGTTTGATATTTCACTAGAGACTCCAAAAGGCTTCGTACATATAGCACTTGTATTCAGTAATGGTTCATAGCTTATTTCGTTTCATACTTCATTATTTACTAATGTTTGATAGTCTATTTGATATTTGGGGAAAATTTGAAGATCAAAATCACTTACGAGGTAACTGATATCCAGTAATTGTTAATTTGAGTATACTGGAGGAAATGTTTTGACCAAGTATATGGACATAATTTCGCTGGTTTGGATGTAGGTTGTTTAAGGTTTCACTAGAGACTCAAAACGGCTTCGTAGGTGAAGCACATGCATTCACTAATGGTTCATAGCTTATTTCGTTTTAGACTCGATTATTTACTAATGTTTGATAGTCTATTTGATATTTGTTGAAAATTTGATATTTCAGTGTTTATAGTATTGCGGTTAATATACATTTGAATGCTTTTTGAACGCATGTGGCAATATTATTATGATGATGATATGATTTTCAAGGTTAAATTGCAAGAATTGTGGAAAATGGAGTCTGAAGCAGAGGTGAAACCGGAAGTTAGTGTGGAGTTCAAACCAAAACTAGGACTTGAATTTGATTCTCTTGAGGATTCGTCGAAGATGTATAATCGGTAAGCACTAAAAGTAGGATAATATTCACTGAGAAACTCTTTTGTATCATGGCATCATTGTATATCATGCTTGTTGCATATTTCAGGCTGTCTATGTGGATTATGTATCATTATGGTTATCTTTATGCACCGTACAACACATATTCAACATCATTGTATTAAAACATTGTTTAGAAGATTGGATTTTCCAAATAGCAAAGAAGAAGGCGGAGAAGAAGAGGAGTGGGAGAGATTTGTGTGAGGTTTTAGGGATATATGTGGCACATGCCCCACCCAAAAAAAGGGGATTATGAATTTTATGAAAACAAATATAATCATAATCATATTACACGTGGCACAACAAGAGATTAAAATCAAATCACATCAGTGTTTGTGACGTAATATGTATATTAAAATTTCAAAACATGATAAACTGTTGATAATCTTTTAAGTCATTATAACTTTACTTTTTTTTTTTTTTTTTTTTTTTGAGGAGGAATCTAGGGAGAGAATTACGTAAAATTACATTTATGACACCCTACACTTTCCAAAACATGATTATCTTCAAATAAATGCGCGAAAATCTAGGGAGAAAATTTTCAGTGTTTTTTTAAACATTTTTTGTGAATTTTGTCAAAAAAAAAAAAAAAAAAAAGTGATGACATGTGGCGCTACAAAAGGAAGAAAATTGAAACTTTGATAAACGATTTGAATTTTTTATGTGTAAAAATTATATTTTAAAGCTTAAAAGATAAAGAAAATGTCATAATGAGTTTTTGAGAATTCTTGGTGATTGTGATTTTTGGAACTTAAAGCATTGCAAAATAGTAATAAATAGAAGAGAATGACACATGGCAGTCCCAGATTGATGCATTATCAGAGTTTTCGACAGGTGTCAGTATCGCGTAGCGCCATGTGTTATCAGAGGTTTTTTTTTTTTTTTTTAAACTTAAAAAATTCACAAAAATGAATAATAAAAAATCTTTAAAATGCACCGAAGATTTCAGAAAATCCCTTGCAACATTATCTTCAATTATGAGGCGTGAAACAAAATTTTGACTTTGGAAAATTTGAAGTAATAACTAGAGGAAGAGTTGTTATAAAGTAGTGATCAATACTTTGTAAACCGCTTTTTGGACTTGGGATATGAAGTATTGATGTTGAGAAATATGTATGTAATTTTTTTTTCCCTTTATTTTAATATTTTAAACGATTTACAGTAAAATATGATTAAAATATAACAAACGTGACACATGTCAGCACAAGGAGAGCCTAGCATCCCATCACTTCCATGCGTCGGCAGGGGAAAACCGCCACCTGGCATCTCATCCAATTAACTATTTATTATGATGATGATATGATTGAATGCTCTTTAAAATTCCATCAGTGTTTGTGACGTAATATGTATATTAAAATTCCAAAACATGATAAACTGTTGATAATCTTTTAAGTCATTTATGACACTTTATATTTTATATTATGATAAATTAGTAATTCAATAAGTAGTTTGATAGTAGGGTGTATTTAGTTAATTTTACGGTTCATTAGCAACACATGATCTCCAAATTTGACGAGTTTTATATAGTTAAATTATTATTATTATTATTTTTTTTAACAGCACTGCGCTTAAAAGAAAAACAGGTGCAATGAGAATGGAATGGCCAATTTGGAGTCCTTGTTACAGAAATGCACCTCTCTCGCCCACATCAAGCAGCTCCAATCCCACCTCCTAACAAGTGGGAAATTCCAATTCTACCCCTCCCTCACCACCAAACTCATCGAGCTCTGTGCCCTCTCCCCCATCGCCGACCTCTCTCATGCCATAACTCTCTTCCACCAACTGCGAAAGCCTTTAACCAATCAATGGAACGCTGTCGTTCGGGGTCTCGCCCAGAGCCTCCAACCCACGCAAGCCATCTCATGGTACAAGACCATGTCACAAGCCTCCCAAAAGGTCGACGCCCTCACGTGCTCCTTCGCTTTGAAAGCGTGCGCACGTGCATTGGCTTTCTCTGAGGCCATGCAGATTCACTCTCAGATTGTACGGTTTGGGTTTGGGGTCGACGTGTTGCTGCAAACCACTTTGCTCGACGTGTATGCCAAAGTAGGCGACCTGGGTTTTGCACAGAAGGTGTTCGATGAAATGAGTGACAGGGATATAGCTTCTTGGAATGCTTTAATTGCTGGGTTGGCTCAGGGGAGTCGGCCCACTGAAGCTATAGCTCTGTTTAAAAGAATGAGCGAAGAAGAGGGTTTGAAGCCCAATGAAGTCACGGTCCTGGGTGCGCTCTCGGCCTGTTCGCAATTGGGTGGAGTGAAAGGAGGAGAGAAAATACATGTCTATATAATGGAGGAGAAGCTTGATACGCACGTCATCGTGTGCAATGCGGTTATTGATATGTATGCCAAATGCGGCTTTGTGGATAAAGCATATTGGGTGTTTAAGAATATGAAATGTGGGAAGAATTTGATAACGTGGAATACGATGATAATGGCGTTTGCTATGCATGGCGATGGTGATAAGGCGCTTGAGCTTTTTGGGGAGATGACTAAAAGTGGGGTGTGCCCGGATGCAGTGTCGTATCTTGCTGCTCTCTGTGCGTGCAATCATGCAGGACTGGTGGAAGATGGGGTTAGGTTATTTAATTCAATGGAGGACCAAGGGGTGTCCCCTAATGTTAAGCATTATGGGACTGTGGTCGATTTGTTGGGACGGGCGGGGCGGCTTCAAGAGGCTTACCAGATTATAAATTCTATGCCTATGTTTGCTGATGTGGTGCTCTGGCAGACTTTACTTGGTGCTAGCAAGACTTATGGGAATGTGGAAATGGCGGAAATGGCATCACGGAAACTAGTTGAGATGGGGTCTAAGGGTTGTGGTGATTTTGTGCTGTTATCAAATGTTTATGCGGCTCATGAGAGATGGGACGACGTAGGCAGGGTGAGGGAGGCGATGAAGAGAAGGGATGTGAAGAAGATACCAGGTTTCGGTTACTTAGAAGTGGACGGTGTGATACACAAGTTTGTGAATGGTGATCAAAGCCATGTTAAATGGCGTGAGATTTATGCAAAGCTAGACGAGATTATGTTGAGGGTCAAAGCCTATGGATATGTGGCCAAGACTAATAATGTGCTGCATGATATAGGGGAGGAGGAGAAAGAAAATGCATTGAGTTATCATTGTGAGAAGTTGGCTGTGGCTTTTGGATTGATTAGTACCAGTGAGGGGACACCAATTCAGGTGATTAAGAACCTAAGAATATGTGATGATTGTCATGCTGTGATCAAACTTATTTCAAAGATTTATAATAGGGAAATAATTGTGAGGGATCGAGCCCGGTTTCACAGATTTAAAGAAGGATGTTGTTCCTGCAGAGATTATTGGTGACATTCATTTGTTCTAACATTGGAAGGAGAATGAAATTAAAGGGTTTGAAGCCTCTCTGATGGATCTACAAAAGTGTTGTTGATCGAATTCGTTATTTATTTATCCTTTTAAAGGAAAACACAGATGATTTGAAAAATAAAATCTGCAGATACAGGTACAGTGCAAGCATCTCTTTCATGTTTCTTCCAATGCAGAAATCTGTCCACGCACATCAGCCAAAATAAACATTTTGAAATGCATTCGTCTTGTATTATAATCCAAAAAACTAATAATTGCATATATGGTTGATTAGAGTACTGAAAAGAACCGTACCTTCATATGTAATTTGTACTTACAAGAGCGTTCAAGCGCCAACCAGTTACCAAGTTACACTGGCTGGTAACATAACAGTCAAATTGTATGAAAATAGAGCATTACTATCTATCCCGTGGTGCTGTTTAAAATTAAGACTCACAAGGTGCTGTTGTGGTATGTGCGAAGTGTAATTTCTGAAAAATATACAAATTCTATAATCACACTAAACTTCAGTGTTAGTTCAACTCTGTTAAAAAAAAAATTCTAAACTTCACACACCACATACCAATCCAAGTACATCAATCTTTGACAGGCTGAATTAAAACTACTGTTGCATAACCATGAACAAATATGCTACAAATTAGACAGCCGAGAATCTCACAATTACAATGGATAAGGCAGGTTGGTGGAATTAACACAACCAAGCAAAGACAAAATACTGCCACAGCCAAAAAAGGACTAACTCGAACCACAAAACCCTCCTGCTAGAGCCTAGAACATAGACTCGATATAACAATTCTAATCCAGATTCCCAAGGATGACAAAACCTCAGCAAAATAATTTCCCTGCGTGAAGTGAGCTTGAATTAGTTAACTGACAGATTGTTGTGATTCAACTAGTCTTTCATTGCCTTCACTGCCCTTGCTTCAAAACCCCCTTCAGGTCTCTTCACAAGATTATAAGGCATGTAGGTCCCAAAAAGTTTATCCCATAGAGGGAAGAATGGCTGAGAATAGTTGTATTTCAAGCCTTGAAGTTGATGATGTATGTCATGATAAGCAGTATTGTTCTGGAATAAAATATGGAAGATATTACCAGGCAACCAAAGTCCACAGTGATCATCAACAGTTTTAATCACTGCAAAACAGAAGAATATAACTGCCGTCCGTGCCGTCATCCCTGAGACTAGAAAAGAGATGGCCCCACCGAAAGTGTCGAGCAAGAGACCCTCAAGCGGGTGATTATAAAGGGCTCCAATGGCATATGGAACAACAAGTCTGTGGTGCTGAGAATGAACATGGCGGTACAAAAACTTGTTCTGATGCATGTAGCGGTGCACAAAGTACTGCCACGTGTCCATGACTAGCATTGCGATAACAATCTGCACAATCTGGATGGGTATCGAGGGCTGAACTGTGATCCCCGAGATATTTGCCTTTGAGGTCAACTGTAGCAAAAGACATGAACATATTAGTCATAAAAATAGTTGATACAAAGGACCTTCCAAATTGAACACATAAGAGTAACAGTTCACTACGAAATGTTGAAATGAAATAAAAACAAGAATGGAATATTGAGAGAGATGGAGGACAAGTAGGAAGCATAGAAAATTGCTAAGGAATGTAACTGGTCTTATCCATCATTTTGGGGAAATTGACATCCTAGAGTGTCCATTCCTTTATTTTCTTTTTCCCAACAAAACAATGGACTAGGAATATTTACTTCATTTCAGTTCATTGATTCCAATGAACCAAATACTACCTAAGAATAAAGTCCTACTATGAGTCATAGATCATTACAAAATATCAATTGGTTAATGCACAATTGCCTAAGTTACATCACTAATCCAAATTATACAGCAGGTAAACCATATACCTCACGTAAGATAGTAAAGCTACTGAATCAACCAAACAACCAAGCAAGGCATTCAATTTCAAATCTTTGGCAGATTAGCAAGATTGACATATACATAATTTGAAGTTCGAAACTCTTCAACCGATAAACCAAAAGGGCCAAAAAACAAGCAAAGAAAGCCATCTAAGATACATATAAATAAAGAACATCAAGTCATCTACACAATGGCCTTTTCACCCTAAACAATATAAGGAAATATGATTTCTTCTCAAACATTAGACCTGACTATACAACTCCAAAATTACCCAGTAAATTCCCAAACTGATCTGAGGTTAAGAAGTTAAGATTTAGGCCACACCATATGCTAAGAGATCCCATGATCTAAGTTACATGTGCTGCAGGTAACTTCTGTATTAGCTATGTTGAACAGCTTTATGGTCATCAAAAGCATAGTTGGAAAGCAGAACATAAATTTCAAAATAAAAAATTTATTAGTTCCTTAATTGGAAAGTAAGCAAGTGGGTATTACAAAATTTCAACATGCTCTTCCTAATAATTATAAATACATGTGTTATTTAAAATTACACTGTTGAAAAAATAACTTGAAAATTCTACTATATAAAAATGCTATTACCTCACGTGTACAAGTTCGCATTGCTCAAAAGAAAGTCAGAAGCAATCAGATTATGCTTGAGGAGGTAATGATTTTTCTTGAAGAAAACAACCATCCTTATAGTTTATTAAAAAGAAACACTGATAATTTTGATAAATCAATGCAAAAAATGCATAATTGCCTACAGATGAGAGAAAAGAGAATAAAGAATGCTTCTTATCCCTGAACTTATCATCCCGAATATCAGATTGATAACATTTAATTGGGTATTCATAGCAGACTTGAAGTTTCTTGGACAAATATGGCAGCAATGGGATTTTCCCTTGTTAAAGTTAGAGCATCAACTCTGATACCATATTAGACAACCACTATTGTGGTTCCTTGTGGTCTCAATTAAGAGAGAATCACTTTTTCAGTAACTTTCCTTTTAGCATGTTTTCTAGTTATAATTGGTTTTGGTTTCTAATTGGGATTTCGCTTCCTGTTCCAACTGTAACATGGGAATTTATAGAGCCTGTATATACTTATTAGGGTCTTGGCCTTATGAATGTGATCATTCAGCCTTTTGAGTGTTTTGCCTCTTCTAAATTTGAAATAGACTAAGAGAAAAACTTTATGAGTTTGAGTTATTTGAGTTTTTCTGGATGTGATTAGGGTTCTCTACTGAGAAAGAGTAAGACTGCTTAAGTGTGAGTGATCGAAAGAGACTCCGCTCGTGGGTGTAGCACAGTTGGGGTAAAGCAAACGTATACGAAATAATTCTAAAACAAAATTGTTGTGTCCACAATTTATTTTATGCGCATGTAAATCCACTTAACTCAATTCAGTAACAAATCTAAATAATAGATTCATCGTGAACATGTTAATCCAGAATTTAGTGTGCACGATTTTGGGCTGGGAATTTGAGTCCAAAATTCCTAACTAGAACCCAAAAGCATAGATTTTTAGGGAATGGGCCAACACTATATAGATCACACTACCACCCCGACCCCATCTTGCATGTAGAGAGGCAAAGAAATGGAGACAGTGAAGAAACTTATAGGCGCATCCCACCATGCACCTTGCAAACAACAAGGAAGTGGGGAATTAGGATTGGAGGTTTTGAACCTAATACGTCCTGCAACCAGTGCTCTGAACTTTTGATACATACAAAGACAAAGAGGAAAAAAAAATAGATGCAGCCCTACCCTCCAAACCACAAAGAAGTGGGTGGTTGAGATTAGGTTCCAACCCAGAAGCTCCTGCAACGAGAGCATTCATATGATGATAGACAACCACTAGAGACCAAAAGCTTAAGCTATTAGGGAAAGTGCCAACAATGTATTTCATGCTAACGGCTCAATTTTTTTGAACCTCTTTGAGATAAATTGTCTTTTATTTGCAACAGAAAATGCCAAATGTTCATATAACAGAACCCTTTTTTTTCCCGTTTGATCAGTGCTAAAACAATTAGTTTAGATTCCTTCTTATTAACTAACTAAGGAAAATCATCTATTCAATTTAATCTATGACAAATCTAACTACAAATCTCATAGTGCTTGACTGTCCACTTTAGGGTTGAACCATAAGAAAAGAAAGCAATCGATCTAAGACAATGGTGCCTAAAGTAAGTCCATCTTATCAAGGCTAGAGAACCAACCTATAGAATCTATCCCTTTGAAAACAGGACTAGGCTAGACCCTAAACTCTCTGTTCACAACTTCTGGTCAAATCCTTGCCAGTTGGGGAAAGTGCAGCACCTGTTCTGCACAATCAATTTATTAAAAGGGGGAAATAGGGAAGAAAATAAATTGTTCGAGTATCTGCTTTGATGCAACGGTCATACTCAACCTGACATGCGCTGCTGTATCTCAATTCTTAAGCAAATCAAACTATGATTTCATAAATAACAAACAAAATTCCAAAATATGGTATGCAGTAACTTTATTATTCATAACCTAGAATCTGATACATCTTAAATCATGCATCACAGCATCATGTGTTTACTTTTACGAATATCGCAATGTAGCAAAGCGCAAAAAGAGTCAATACTTTATGGGTTGCAAGGCCTAAAGGATTATAGTTAACTGCAGAAAACACTTTATGGGATCAGCAAAGCGGCAAACAACCTAGATGTCCAGGATGCCTACACCATACAGGCACATGCAATTGAATACATAACAGGGCATCACATACTACAACCATTTGCTTAAAAGTACAACTACACAAAATCACTTCAGTAGTGTATGATAAAGCTTAGTGATGGCAACCAATACAATCAACTAGGTCAGGCTGAACAATTATTGAGAGAAACTGCTGCAATGAGTATATATTATATGCCCAACAGAATTAACACATTCTTTTTTTATTTTTGGTCACTGCATACGGTTGAATCTGGAACCACCTAGATTTGGTGATCTTCCTAGGAAGCCTTTTAAGTGCCCCCCCACCAGGCGTTTAGGTAAGAAACCTTGCTTTTTTTGTTCAATTTTGTTTCTTTCTTTGTTTGGGCCAGAAGGGGGGTGTTCAGTAAAAGATGATTATGTGACACTGACAATATGATGCAAAACTATGAACATGCCACCCTTCTGTGTCACAGAAAAAAACAAGAAGCAAACAGGATTGAAGAATGTATCACATGAATGCATGTTTAGGAGAATCCAAAGGAACACCTTTTCAGACCTTACTCAACTTTGTTATGCTTCTCTTCCAAGTTAACCACTGAAATTGTAGAATTAACACGTCTCCTCAGTAGTATCATTTGGCAGGTATGTAATGCAGTTAGTGTTTAGAGCGACCTATTGTCAAAGGTTTATTTATTTTGTCGAAAAATACCCATTCTGTCAAGTACTTATTCAAAGACATCACATGAGTGGGGCACATGGAGACTCAAAGAGCATCAAGACTAAAGCCAGAGTCGAGATGGAACCAAGACAGTGAAGACAAGATCAGGCCATCGTCAAGCCTTCAGAACACTTCAAGTAAGGTAGGTTGTGTCTACAGAGTTGAGAACATTTCTATGACTCTTTTAAGGAAAAAAAATACAAATATGACAATGAAAGACAAACCTACATAAATTGTTTGGTTAAATAAAGAAGATGCCCTCAATTTATTGAGGCCAAAAAGTTTGACCAGCATACACAAGGTAGACCCAAAAAACATTTTTATGACAGCAAAATACAATGAATAGAGATCTCTCTGAGCAACTTTCTACGTCAGTGTATCTAAAGGCAATTTCTCAAAAGCCTCCAACTGAGTCATGTCTTATTCTCAAGAACGGTCACTTGATACAGATTTCAATAATTAGGTAGGCATATATACACAATTTATTTATATACATATGCGAATGCATGACAATGAAGTACATTCGGCATAAATTTCCATAAATTGATATAATGACAAGTTGAAGTAACTGACCATGAAGAGGCCCTGAGCAACGGTGGCCTGGACAAGCTGTTGAAGCAAAACACCTTTAACAACGGAGGGGAGCGGAACCGAGTTCTTATCATCTTCTTCTCTTCGTGTATGCAAGCGATAATTGTCCAAAGGCGGCAACAACTGGTATAACCCCGCATACAACCAGTAAACCAAAATTGGGGCAAAGGTCCCCATTGCCTCATCACTCACATACCCTTCCCAAAACACCATCTTTTTTCTGTTTTCTTTTTCTTTTTCTTTCGCAAGTCAAATCCAATTCAAGCTTATATCATATATTATTCCCAAACAAAATACACGACATTTACAGTTGAAGATCTAGAATTCGAATGCACATTCTCTGAACCCTGAAAAGGAAACGAAGGAAGAATAACTAAATGCCAGAGTTTCTCATTGTTTCTGAATCAGGAGCGGGTTCAGTCAAACCAACATGATTTCATAATAATCAATCAAGAATGCAGAAGTTACTATTTTCACAATTTTCAAATTTTCTCGGAAAACCAAACAGAGCAGGAAAATAGTATTCCTAGAAGACTAGACAAAACAAAAACACAAAGACATTGAAATGTAATGAAATGAATGTTTTCAGAAACAATTCAGCAGAAGAAATTGCTACGACTTACAGAGAATGTGGGTTCTCATTCAGATCTAAGGCCCTGTTTGGCGCACAGCAATGCGAAACTCTTTTCCGTTGACAGTTGTGAGATTCCAACAAATTAAACACGATAAAAAGGGTTTTGTGATCTTGTTTGGGAGACAAGAAAATTAATGATTGAATTTTCTCTCTTTTTCCCGTCATTCTCCTTTTATACCTCCTTTTCTTTTCTTTTTTTAAGGAATTTTTTTATAATCCTGGCTTTAAAATACTTTTAGGCCACGTATGATTTCTGTGGTGTCGCGTAGGCAGTGATTTTTGAGTTGTGGAAGGACCGCCAGGATCCCCAAGCTTTGATACTTGTCAGGCCCACTTTTTTTGTTGCTTCAGTTAATTATTCTGGCCATTAGCTTGCGCACGAAGTCCTCTAGTTGGAAGAAAATATGTTCACGAACTATCTATTTTTTAGTTAAAATTTATTTTTTAATTCAATATAAATAGTTTATCTCTATTAAAAAAATATATATAAAATATAGGCAATATTAATTAAAGATTTAAAATATTCATTAAATAAGGCAGCATTAAATTATAGGTATCCACTAGAAGTCCATTCTCTCTTCTTAGATTTAGGAGTTCCTAGAGGTATTCCTATTTTAGAAGCTAGATAGGGAGCATAATTGGAGGTAGGTTTTCACACTTCCTTTCTAAATTTTATCTAAGAATATGGTTTATGGAATCCATTACAGATGCTCTAATGAAATTGTTTTTTGAGTCTGATTTTGTAGTATATAAAAATAGGAGTGGGCTAGTCCGGATTGGATTGATTTCGCTTAAAACGGCCAAGCCATATTCTCTTTCCTTGTGCATTGTTTTTAGGGTTAAAAACATTTTTGGTCACTAGGGTTAGCCTAGAAAACAAAAGATCACCGAAATTTCAATTTTCCTAATTTCGTCATCTCATTTGCAGTCGTCAACAAATTAAGTCACATTCTCTAATTTCGTCATTTTTGAGTGCACGTGTTGCATGTGTGCAGGGGCAAAATTGGAACTCCAATTCAATCTTGATCATCATCATCATCCCAGCCCTGCCAATCCCCTTCTTTCTCTCCCTTCCACGTTAGCCACCTACACAACATCCTCACCCATCCACCCAGGTCACAACTAACCTCATCGGTGACAACACCTCTCCTCCTCAATTTCGACCACCCTTCTCTCTCTTCCATAATCTCTTAATAAAAACCCATAAATCTTGCACTTTGAATCAAAATCCAGAAATCTTTTGCTTTGATAAAACACCATAAAATCTTTTGACCCTGAAACACCTCCAAAGCTCTCTCTCTTCTCTTCGACAAACTCCGCCCACCTCTCTTTAAACCTCCCCAACCTCGTGAGCGTTCCATTCTCGTCACCAAAAACGGCACTTCCTTTTTGGGGCTCCATTGAGGTCAACTCCATCACTAAAGCCGACCTCAGAGAGAACGGCTTTCGTAGCACATGGTGCATCGAGTTCATCTAAAATGGTAAAACTTGATGTAATATTATGCTGGCAGATGTGAAAGTGTGGGATCAACTGCTTGTGGATAGGGGAATGGTGAGGTTTGAGGTGGTTGAGAAGCTTGGTTCGGATGTTAAGTGTAGATGCACAAATCCCCACATCAATCTCATGGATTCAACTGCAATAACAACATCCCCTTATCAGAAATGGCCATTGTTCCAGACCAAATGGTCACCCCTTGCCCAAAGCTTACAATTTTGCTTTATTTTTATTTATTAATTGTTTAAATGGTGGAAGCACAATTTTGACCATGCACTCAAAATGACGGAACTGAGGGATGTGACTTAATTTGTTAACAACTGCAAATGAGATGACAAAATTGGGAAAATTAGAATTTCAGTGACAAAAATTGTTTTCACGCCCAACCCCATTGACCAAAAAATATTTTTAACCCATTTGTTTAAAAACATTTTTAGCGCAAATACAATAAAAAATTCACAACTTGCTACATATTTTTTTTTCTTCATTTTCTAGCGTATCAAGCCATCTTAAAACTCAACATGTCATAAAACTTCAAATTCCAATAACTGAGGGATCGTCTAGTAACTTTTTCGATGAATATTTTCATAAAATGAAAACTAGTGTTTCCCTCTTTTCAGTCGAGTTGGCTGATGGAAGGAACTTTTTTGTCCTTCTTCTTTTGGATGCGTAGGCGTGCCACCATCAAGTTACCGATTGGCTTGAATGGAAAGGGTCAGATTGTTGTGCTCGTGCTTCTTAATTCTAACCAACCAAGCAAGGAACCTCATCTTAGCTTAGACTTTTGAATGTATATTTTTCGGGTTTTTTTTTGGATATTTAAGTGAGAATGTTAAAATTTAATTAAAATGTGATTTAAACTAATTGACAAGAAAGTAAAGTTTGAAAAAGTAGATTAAAGCGAGAACAAATGTAAATTTAAGCAAGAACGAAATAATAATGATAAAGATGATAAAATAAAGTAATCTCAAATTGAAATTAAACTAACCTAAATTTGATAACAATTGAAAATTTCGCGATACCTCTATCTCTCCAGCGTGCGTGGAAGAGATAGGCAACGAGTTTGAGTCTGCTGAAGCCTACATCACCTAGGGGTGTCGCGAAATCAAAGGTGAACACATTATATCTCTAGGTAAAAGAAGGGCGTAGAGTATTTTGGATTGAGGCATATGGAAGCATAAGTAATGCATTTTCCTTATTATCCATTAATGATTAGGGATGGGGTGTAGTATTCATGTGTTGGGTACCCGTTTAAATTTGGCGTAGGAGTTGACATTTGGAGCGTTGATATAGTTTGGAGGGGTACAATTCTAGGTGTTGTGTTTATTAAACAAATTGATGATTCATTTATGGAACTTGATATAGAGTATAATGATGACCAAACTTAACTGAAGATCCATTTATGGAACTTGAAGATTCATTTAACTTATTGAATTAATTGTTCTATTAATTTTGAATTTTCCTTTGGCAATATATGTAATAATCCGATGATGTAATATAATACCCTTACATGTTGACATGCAGAGATTGCAATTTGAGATCGATGGTGTTTTAGCACAAACATGGAGCACCAAAAGGATATGAAGTTAGTTATTCCCGAAGACCAAGTATTTTGTGCGAAGATACAGTGTGAAAGCCAAGCGAATCGCGTGCTCCCAATTATTCACAATAAGCTCAGTGACCAGCTGCTAAAACAGTTCCAAGCTTCGTAAGTTTTCTTCTTGGGGAAGGTGTCATACAATTCACCAAGCATGAATTTTTCTTAATAACATGTCTGTCTTGTGTGAAGTTCCCCAAATATACACAGACAATGATCATGGTAGGCTGCAGGACACGTACTTCAAACTGAAGAAGAAAAAATACTATCGGTGATGTATAGTTTACATTCAAGTCTTGCACTGTGGAGCTCGATCATTGCAGATATGTCTTTTATATTTCGTCGAAGCAGTGTTGTTGGGTCAAGAAATAACTAATAAGATAAACTTGAAGTATCTGAAGCTCGTAGAAAATATGATAATATGGAAACAGTATCCATGGCCATGGGAACCTGTTTCATACGCAAAGACCCATAATTCATTATCAATGGCACTAGTAATAGGGTATAACATAAGTAAAGGTAAGGGTGAAAGTAGCAAAAGAGAGGGTAGACTACAATGGGATGCAGCAGAAGAGGAAAGTGAATGGGAGTAGAAGCAGAGAAAAGGATGAGAAAGTTGAAGAGTTGAAGAAGGTCAAGGGCAAGAAGGCAAAGGGCAATAATCACCCAACATATTAACAACTTTATTGCCAAAATAATATAGGAATTGAAAACATGTGTGACCATTAGGCCAAATCTCGAAAATTATTATTATTTTTTTAAAAGGTATTTTTGTATTTTTTAAAAAATTATCTACATATGCACGTAAAATAGAATAGGCATTTTTGTATACCAATATGTATGTAATCAAGAAGGCATTTTTCCATGAATTGACATTAGATTGAATAAAACAATAAACAAACATAACACAAATTCTGATTTATAATAACAAAAGACAATGTATATAAGATCAAGAAATAGATTTCCATTTCAGGTTATTTATTTATTTATTTAAATTGACAGAACTAAACAGTGGGAAAATGATAAGTTTTTGTATTGTCTTATTTTACAAAATTCAAACTAAGTTATTTTCCTGGAGTCACATACATTTATAGCAATACTCACACTTGCATAAGATAGAGTATTAATTGGTAACACTTATCTCGCTGTATATGATATTGGACCCCTGATATATCAATTCCCTCATAACTCCCGCTTGAAAATCACATAAATCTCTATTCCCATAAATAAAATAAGCTTTGAATAAGATCGTTAGTGCAATATATATGTATAGTTATATAAAATACTTGAAAGACACCACACATAACATAAATCTCTATTTTCCAAGGCCAAAGATAGTTGATATCCAACATCAACAATAATATAATTACAATATTAATATACCAACGCTATTGAAATAAAGTCATTAATTAAACCTATTAATAAAATAAGTTGCAGTCTGAACTTTGCAAATATCAATTAGTCATTCCAAATGAATGGCCAGTATGAAAGTTCAACGTAAATTATTAATTAAAGAAAATATATTAATCGGCTCTTAAATTTCATCAAAGCAAACTCTCAATTTCAAAATACAAGTGCTTACTGAATAATGTACACAATTGCAAATCACAAATTACATATGTAACTAAAATTTATAATGTCAGAATGTTAATAAAAATTTAGAGGAATAATATCATATTATAAGAGTGATAATTTCAATGCATTAATTCAAAGTATATAGCATCTATATGATATAAATAGGCCAAATGCGTTTTTAATTTTTAATTTTTTTTTCTTCTGAAACCCAAACGACAAAATGAATTGTGCAAAGTTTCAAATATACAAAATAAACTGTGCAATATATATACCATGACAAAGATACAACAAAACAAACAATTTTTCCCCAAAATTATACAAACCAATAATTCTGTTGAACCAACAAGATAATAAAAATTTATTTTGATAGAACTTCGAAAATATAGATAAACGGGTCTTTGAGCAAAAGGTTGAGAACATGTTTTGTTGTTCAAACAGTAAATTCAAATCATCACACTAGCAATTTCAAATCAACGCGCTTTTTACCAAACACACTTAATAAATGTGATATAAAATTAAATCATGCAGAGCTTACATAAATATAGATATGCAATTGCAATAATTGTAAACTACAAAGAATAGTATTGAAAGGGAATAAATTAAACGTTTACAAAGGCTTTAGATTGTTATAAAAATTATAGGTTTTCTCTTTCTATAAAGACAAATATAAAAACCTTTATATTATAAATAACATATAAACAAATTGGAAAGCTATTAAGGTATAATAAAACTGAAGAAAAACAAATTGATAGGTAAGTAAAAGCAAAATAAATATTTTAAGTAAGAAGGTGAGCTTGGTACGGTGAAGCACGTCAAAGACGCTGTCCTAAAGCCTTTGCAGCCTCCCTACGTGTAGGTACTGGCGGTCTGCAAGAATCCAAGATACAACCCTAATACACAAGCTCAGATTCGCTATGAGCATGTTCATAGATGGATATAGGTATCCAAGTCACAGAACCATTGCCCAAAATAATAATATAAGTAAAGAAAGTATAAAAAGTAGAAGATGAGAGAATTAGATTATGGTATTGTTTCCCTCTTTTCAACCAAGGCGGCCGACAGAAAGAACTTTTGGTCATTCTTCTTTTGGGTGTGGGGTGTGCCACCACCAAGCCATGAATTTGGGCTTGAATGGAATGTGAGTAGATGGATATGTTGTGCTTCTGACTTCTGATCAAGTGATTGATCGGCCAAGCAAAGAACCTCTTCTTGGCCTAGGTTCTTTCACTTCCTCGGTCTCGAGGATGGTTAAGCTTCATATGGATGTTTTTGTGATTTTTAGGTTTTTAAGTGAAAAATGTGCGATTAAATTAAATTTGCATTTAAACGTAAAGACAAGAATTAAAGTGCGATAAAATATATCAAAGCGATAAATAAAGCAGGAACGAAATAAAAGCGATAAGAATGATAAGAACGATAAACTAAATTAAACTTGAAATTAAACTTAATTAAAATGCGATAACAATGAAAAGTAAAGCAATTGAAATAAACTTGAATTTAAATGACAAGAAATGTAAATTGAACAAGATTTAAAATTACACTAGGAAAGGGAAGAACTTGCTACACTAGGTGCTTGAAAAGTAAAATCCTAAGTCTAGATAAAGAAAAGTGCAAGACGAAAAATAGGTTTGAGTGTCTGATGATCTGTGTCTTTTGCCTTCATTTGGTGAGGTTTATATAGGGCGTCCGTTGGCTTATGGGTTGGCCATTGAATGGCCAAATGTCAACTCTTCTAAATTCTTTCCTTTCGAGGCCCCTAAATATGTGAGATTGCATTGATGAAGATATTCTGATCAGCTTGATTCTTTCTTACTTTGGAATATTCTGAATTATTATCAACATCCTTGATTTCTTTCCTTTTGAGGCCTCCGTCACGTGCATATATCCTCCAAAAATCCTGGGCTGGAATCCGTGGCTTGGGCTTGAACCTCCGAGCTTTTGGAATGATATAGGGATGCTCCTCATGACCTTTGAATTCCTGGAGCTCTAAAATTAGTCTGCCGAGGAACCTCATATATTTACGCGTGTAGGCTCCTCAATTATTAAAGTCATCAGTTGCACATTCACATAACATGAATTTTACATGGATATATATATATATATATATATATATATGTGTGTGTGTGGGTGGAGGCGGCCACTTGGGTTTTATTGTTGAAACCATTTAATCTTGTTCACATATATATAAAATAAAATGGGCAGCTGCAAAAACCTCTCCAAAACTAAAATACTCTAGCTGCAACAACTCTAACACTCCTGCCCAAAAACCCGGCCGTAACTCAGCCATTCAAAAACCCCGCTGTGCACCCTTGGGCACCGACCGCCAAACCCAGCCACAATTTTCCAAACCCTCCAGCAATTTCGGCCGAGTTCTACCTTTAAGCTCCATCTATCGGTAGTAGAGTGTAGCCCAGATTGCTTTAGCTCGGCCGTCAAACTTCAATGTCCCAGCGCATCTCGAGCATTCCCAGCCCAACCGCATCCTCCAGCCACACAGTCTGGCCACATTCTCCAGCCATGTTCCAACTCAGGCCGGCTGCAACCTCCATCCACGTAGTCTGGCCGGTTTAGCTCCAAAAATCCCATAGCTTTGACTCCGGCCGCACAACTTCACCAATCTGACTGCCTTCAAGTGCAGCCCGGATTACTTCGCAGACTCCCAGCTACTTGAATCCGTCAAACCCGATTAACAAATTCAAAATCTGGGTCACCAACTTTCAACGCCCAGAGCCATTCGATTTCAACACCCCCGGCGGTGTTCTCTCATCTGTTAGTAACTCCTAAAGCCCAATTGTTTGTATTTTCGAAAAGTGCCCGAGTTGGATGAATTTTCACCACCCCCAAACATTGGCCCCTCAATTTGTTTAGCTCAAATTTGGTGTAGAGGTAAGCAAATTGAAACCCGAGACCTCTCAATTTCTAAAGTTTGAGACTTTTTGCTTGCCTTGCACATTATTTAATATGTTGAATCGAGTTGGAATTTAGGACGACACCCAATTAAATTAGAGGGACTTTTGAACTTCCTATCTGTTAAAAACCCTAGGTATTATAAATACCCAAGTGCTCTCTTTCATTTCCATGTAAAACACTTCCACCATAGCCATAAGTTTTTAGAAGGTTTTCTCTCAAAACCCATATCCTTTTTAATTACCTTCAAATTCATCATTTCGCACACCGAATCCACCCAAATCGACGTCAACTTGAGATTTGTAAGTTTCTAGGTACGTTGCACTAATTCTTGATTGATTTTGGCATGATTTTGATGTATTTGTAGCCTTCAAAAGTTTAGGCTTCAAACCTTGGATGTGTGAATAGTGCCATGATGTTCTTCGCCTTCTTGATTCAAATCTTAGTTTCTTCACCATCCTTTTCTTTGATTTAATCTTATTTCATGTTTGTAGGATGGAGTCCATTCCAAACGATAGTGCCCAATTTTTTGAAGACATAAAAGTGGCGATGGACAAAGATTTGGGCAAGCAAGTATTCGCCTACTTCCTCAATGCTTTTCCCAACTCTGACCAATATATCCTGGGCCCATTTTTCTGCACCTATCCGGAGGAGGTGGAGAAACTATGGGTGACACAACCGAGAAATGGCCCAACTTACTTCTCAGACCTTACATGGGTAGCTGTTTGGGAGAGTTCCAAGCCATTTAAAGGTTGGCCAATGGGAACCCCTATCAAAATGGATCCCGCTGCAACTAAAGAAGCCCTATCAAAGAAAGCATCATCCGTGCCGGGAAATCCGACCACTCAAGCTTTGCGAAAGGTAAATTTGATTGCTATCATTGGTTCAAAATTTTAGAACCAAAATTGAAGGATCATTGGAAGAAGGTAGGAATATATGATACGTTGCTCCTATGTGGGGCAGCTCCTTTCCTTGCAATTGATCTCTCGTCATCACGACGCTATGCTTTTGGTCTTCATCCATCAATTGCATAAGGCTTCGCTTCCGGATGATGACACCCAACTTGCTAGACTTGGCCGCTATTATCAACCTTTGCCCTCATAGAGATGATTTCTCGACGGCCAACCATTTGGATGCCAAGGTGGGCTTAGATTTCCACAAGTCAAATAAGACTTTTGGGAGTTGGGTGAAAACGTATCTTGGTCATGGTGGAGAGCCCACTGACCCCCTTCCACCAATGGCGTATCCTATACTAAGCATTTGGCTTTTCTTGTAATGTGGTTGTGCAAGTTCTTGGCTTGTCCAAGATCCAGCAGGATTACTAAGGAATTCCAAGCACTGGAAGAAATTCTTGTGGATGGCTATCAAGTGTCCATAGGCCCTATCTTTCTTGCCTATCTTTATATAGGGCTCAACGAGGTAACCACTAAACCCATGGATTATCATGCTTCTGGCCCTATATGGATTTTTCAATTGTGGCTCCAGCTCTTTTTTCGGGATATGAGTCCCACCAACATTTGCCCCAATGACAAAGCGCTTCTTGGCTCGCCCTTGTTAAACACCCCACCCCGGAAGCATTATGTCAAGGATTGCTTCCGATTTTTCAATGAGTGCTAGGAGAGGACCAGGAAGCATCTCTCAATTTGCCTAGATCACCATTTCTCAGACTGTCTAGCCTTGGATCTCTCCTCATTTCCTACGGTGGAGAAAAAAGAGGAAAAGCATAGCATGTGGGCGAGGATTCTCATTAGCCGAGATCTTCCATACAGCCTAATGGTGAACAAAGGTAACAACTATCATTATGGTGGTGAGCTCTATTATCCCACCGTTGCTAGCTACCAACTTGGTTTTATACAGAGCATCCCGATACCTCCCATGGATTTCCGTCAACCTGCTTTTCTCTTGGCAAGCGGAATTTAAAGAGGTGAAAGAAGTCACCACCTAGATGAATTTCAACCAAGACTTGGTTAAATCTTTCAGTATTCCAATTAGAGATCCCCGGTTTGGTGCCCCTACTATTTTCATCAACTGGTGGAAAGAGATGTCGGTCAATTGGTTTTCTCATCCATGCTCAGAGATATAAGATAGGGTCTTCAGGCATTGCCCATGCTCATTGATTTATCAACAAGAAAAAGAAAGAAGAAAGCCCAAGCTAAAGGTAAGATACTTATTTTTTCCTAATTTTGAATATCTTCTCTTTTGTTCTTACCTTTCAAATCTCACAGCCGACACCACGGAGAAAGAAAATCCTCCCACCGAAATTATTGAGAGAGAGGCTCTGCCAATCCCCCCGATGCTAACTCTAGGCGGGGCAAGAAAAGGCCCAAAGTCCCATCCAAGGTAGGCTACTTTCTATGATTATTTTAGCCCTTCTAAAGATTTGCACTTCTGGTTTTCTGAATTCTTTGATGGGCACCATTGAGAGTTTAACCCCTAACTTTTAGGAGGTACCCTTACCGGAAATATCGTGCCCCCACAACTGTTCCTTGAGCCCAAAAAAATTATGCGGAACCTCTCGCCTCAAGGTTTGGCCATGCACCCTTTCTTTTTTCTTTTAATTTTTTTATATATAAATTAACTTAAACTTGTTGCAGGATCCTCTTGCTTCTCATTCGATCGGGGCCGTGCAATCGACCATTTCTTCGTTCGCCGCTCTGGTAAGCCTATATCTTTACATACTTTTATTTATTAATTTTGAAGGGCCGGAACTCACCCTTATGCTAAAAAATGTACGAAGCTCAACCTTCCGTACTTGAGATGGGAGTTGGGGTGCAAGTCATGACCCCTGCGGTCGTGGACGAGGTAAGCTCATCTCTTTAGCCGATTGAATTTTCCTTTACGCAACACTTCTTTTATGCTCACTAAATTTTCAAACTTAATCGGTAGGTTAATACCGCGAGGCACCCTGAGGAGGTTTCCATGGAGTCACACGAGATGATTCCCTTGCTCGAGGATCACGCCCTGGAGCCTGTGACCTTGTTGACTGAGGAAAACTTCTCTCACATTCCAAATTCCTGGGTTCATTGAAATTTCGTATTTTCAAAATCTCTTTTACACTTGCCCCCAATTCCTCACTTCAATGCTTGAACATGTCAGCCTCTTTTTGCCATAAGTTCGAACCCTCCCTCGACTCGCCCTCTCGAGGTGCCCCAATGTGGCTCGCCCTTTCAGGTGATCTTACTCTCTTTTAATGTTTTTCGAAGTTTTCTTTTTGTTAGAAAACTTATATCATCTTTTGTTAGGCATATGTGGTGGAGTCTACCGCCATCACGATCGAACATGCGATCGTTACTAGCAATGCGCCTTCTACTATTCCCACTGACGGAAGTGCAACACTTGAACCCATCCTTATATTGACCTTGGGAGCTCCCGCCTTGGTAGTCGATACTATTATGCTCGAACATCAACTTGAGGTAAGCCCCGATGTCTTCATACTTCTTTCAAATGATGGGACATTATTATAACTCTTAAGCCCTTTGCCAGGTTGAAGAATCTTCATCTTTTATTCTCGCCTAGATTATTGTAAATCCATCAGCAGCGGATGGAAGAGGCTTAGCCATGGTCCCTCTTGAAGGAGCCCTTCTACCATTGCTTGATCAGGTATGAAAAAGGAAATATATATAAATATATACATGCAATTTATTTTCTTCACTTGAAAAAATATAATGCACATTTTTTTTTCTTGTAGCCCTTCGGTCACATTTTCGACTTCCTCAATCAGTGGGATGCATCTATATCTTTGGTGGAGGCTTCCACTCACATTGCCACTTCCTCCACCATGGTCAGGCCCTACCAAATTCCAGGGCTGAGGCATTACTTTGGTCATGTAGTGATGGAGACCTCATGACCTTGGAGGACAAGGATGAGAGAGATAAGCTCAAGGCTGCCATTGAGACTTTGGAGAGATCTGGCTTCTTCCCAGATCCACACTCGTTGACTATGATCACATATCTCTTTGGTCAGTTAAAGAAGTTTGCCACTCGACGCTGTTCTTTTCAGGATGAGAAAATGATAGGTCATGACCTAGAGGAGACCAAGGATATTGATGAGCAGGTGAGGCAACTTCATGAGAAGAAAGCCGCCATCATTGCCAAAGTCTCCGAGGTTTTTTGGAGCAATCGACCTCTTGAGGAATTGACGCTTCAGTCTACCTTGTACTTAGCTAGTTTCTTTTTATTTGGTCACCACATGTGGTAAAACTAGCTTATTTATCATTTCTTACACATTTGGTGAATGCTTAGGCCATTGCTTGGCTCTATTTTGTAGTAAACTTTTACCCACCCATATATATGATATCTTTTGGAAGAAATCCTTTTATGATTCTCATTCTTCCAATAAAAAATCATTATTTTACTACGATGATAACTCTTTGCGGCGAGCTACCTTTCCGCCATTTCCCAAATTGTTGGGTAATATTTTTTCAAAATTGACCATTGATTGGAGAGTCATGGACCCGACCATTTTAGTCACTTAACTTGTACACCCCCTTCCCTAAGACTTGGTGCATGAGAAATGGGCCTTCCCCATACGTATCCACTACTAATAGTGAAGTTGGTTCATCATTCGCATCCGTATTCACATCAGTGTCCGCATCTGCATTAACACCTTCACCCACTTTACCCATCCCTCAAACACCAACTCAAAGTACACCTCATGCCCAAACACCACCTCAACCGAGTGGTCTTCCACCATTACCCATTCCGGCCCAAGAAAAGAAAAATTAGAAGTGTGAGAACACTTTGAAAGACATGAAGATGTGGTTAAGAGTGTGAAGGAGGATGGGAGCAAATCTTCAATCACTAAGAAGAGAGCTAGGTGCAAGTATTTCTCTATAAGTTATGCGGTAGACTCCACTATAAATGGGACCTCAAATTTGAGGAAGCATATTGAAAACCTATGTAAGAAATATCTGGGGAGGGTACCTAAATGTTAACGACAAAAACTCTTGTCTTTTGACAAAAAACATGGGGTTCTTACATCAACAGTGCATGGTAAAGAAGAGTGGTTAAATGCATGTGTTGAGATGGTAGTAATAGATGAGATGCCGTTAGTGTGGCTGAAGAAAAAGGGTTTAGGTGGTTTTGTAATTCTTTGAACCCTCATTTCCAAGTGCCATTTCGTAGGACACTTGTGAGGCATTTCATGGTAATGTATGATGCCATGAAACAAAAATTGAAAGAAGAATTAGCGCCTTATAGAGTGTGCCTCACAATGAACACTTGGACAAGTGTTCAAAACATAAATTACATGGTCATCACGGCACACTTCATAGATGATGATTGGAACTGTTTGATTGGGATATGAAGAAGATAACAACCATCACGGCTGATAATGCTTTTTCAAACACAAAGACCATAGACTATCATTGGGGAAATGGTAGTATTGTATTAGAGGGAAAGTACATGCACATTAGGTGTTGTGCTCATATTGTGAATTTGATAGTTCGTGATAGGTTGAAGAAGTTGGAGAAAAGCATATTGTGTATAAGAAATGTGGTGAAGTATATCTTCTCCCCAAAGGTTAGAGGACTTTAAGAGTTGTGTTAAGAAGGAGCAAATTGAATGCAAATGGCTTGTGGTGTTGGATGTGCCAACTAGGTGGAATTCCACATATATGATGTTGGAAGCCACCTTAAAGTTTGAAAAAACCTTTTGTTGAATGGGAGAAGATGATGAAGGCCCATATATTTCTTTGTTTGGTGAAGATGAACCAGATCACGAAGATGGGGTGATTATGTCTCATTACTCTAGAAAGAGGGAAGGGCCACTAACTAATGAGGATTGAAACAATGCTCGTACCTTTTTGAATTTTTTTAAGGTATTTTATGATACTATATTGAAGATGAGTGTCACTTTGCATCCCTTTTCCCACACCACATTTCACGACTTGATTGCAATGGAAGAAGAAATTGAGGATTTGTTGATGGAAGATGAGGAATATTAAGTGAAACCCAAACCTCCAAGGTTTTAAAGGACATGACGCTTAACATGAAGTTGAAATTTAAAAAGTATTGGGGTGACCTTAATAAATTGAACCAAATTTCGATGGTTGCTCTTGTTCTTGACCCTCAATACAAATTGGGGAACTTGGAGTTTATCTTGAAGATCCGGTTTAAAAATCTGGAAGATGCGGTTGAGAAGAAGAATGAGATCAAAGAGATTTTAAAGAAGCTTTATGCTGCCACCACCATCCACTCAAAGTAGTAGTTATTGTTCTAGTGATACTACTACCATGAATATAAGTAGTAGCCTAAGCCGAGGGGGAAAGAAATGGAGGCAAATGACTGAAAATTGGAGAAAAGACACTCGAGCAAATGATGTTGTGATATTGGAGCATGAGATTGATAGGTACATCACCGACCCTGTTGAAGATGTGGTTGACGAAGTCGATGTTTTGAAGTGGTGGAAATTGAATCGGGTTAAGTATCCAAGGTTTGTACTTATTGCAAAGGATGTGCTTGCCATCCCAGTATCAACGGTGACTTTGGAATCATGCTTTAGCACGGGTGGTTGGGCAGTTAATTCATTTCGTGCTTCTTTGACTCATAAGATTGTGGAGGCCTTAATTTGCTCTCAAAATTGGTTAAGGTCGGATGACATATCCTCTTTACAATATGAGCCAACAATTCAAGAGATGGAATTCTATGAATTGATTGAATTAGGTATGTCTTTGTAATTTTATGTGCTTTATTAATGTATTATATAATATGTATGTTTGACTAATGTTTTAATGCGTTTATGTTTTTTATGTAAATATTATGAGTTCATCCACACCTACCAAGTCTACTCGAGCTACTTTTCAATATTATGAGGAATTTAATGAAGTTGGGTCGAATTTGGGTTGTAATATATATTTGGATTGAATTTGGGTTGTAATTTATTTTTGAACTTATTTTGCTAAAGTTGGATTGAATTTGGGTTGTAATTTATATGTTATTGAAGTTGGATTGTAATTTATATTTTGTTGAAGTTGGATTCATTTTGATGTGTTGAAAGCTTGTTGAAATCTCAAATTTGGGGTATGTCAGTAATATAAATACATTTTGGGCAGGTCTGTAAAAAAATTATAAATTTTTTTTTTAGGTCAAGCCCAAACTAGAACCGCAAGAACCGAACTAGACCAGACAGGTCCAAGTTGGTTTAGATTTATGTATGGATTTGTAGCAGAACTAGTCCAAACGAACCAATTTGCATTTTCGGTTCAAGTTTCATTTTTTTAAGAAAATCGGTCCAAACCGAATCGTGCCCACCCCTAGTGCCATTCTTTAGGATTATTCTCGATCATTTTTTCCAAAATCCCTTTTATCCCCTTGTTACTAGCCTTCGCTTGGCCATTCGATTGAGGATTGTACGGGGTGGATTAAACCATCCTAATTCTCCAATTCCTCGCAGCGACTTGAACAACCTAACCCATTAAAGTTGTTCCTCAGTCTGTCATGATGGACTGGGGCAAGCCAAATTGGTGGATGATATTCTTCTCAATAAATTCTATCACCTCGACCTGGGTAACCTTCTTAAGTGGGACAGCCTCCACCCACTTTGTGAAAAAATCGGTGGCCACCAAGATGTACTTATGGCCCTTGGATGACTTTGGGTGGATTTGGCTAATCACATCCATTACCCAACCATTGAAAGGCCAAGCCTTGACAATGAGGTTCATTGGTCCTGCCAGTACATGTTGGATCGGCCTATGTTTTGACAATCTTTGCATCTTTTAGCATAGTCAATGCAATCTTTGAGGATGGTCGGCCAATAATAACAGTGCCTCCTTAAAAGCCACCTCATCTTGATGCCAGCTTGATGAGCACCGCATATTCTTTCGTGGACCTCGGTCATAGCTATGAGTTGTTCCTTTTTGCCTAAATATTTCGTGGACCTCGGTCATTGCTGAACAATACCTCATCCCTTATCACATAATATTAGGCCCTTAGTCGCACTTATTGGCTATGTGACCCATTTGGAGTTTTCAAATATTGCACGACGTCGTGCCTTCAATCCTCCGGTGCTATAGTTAACACCCCAACTTCTGTCGAAGTCCCTTTTTCAATGACAGATGTGAATGTTCGTTTATCTACTTTAAAAAGCTCCTCGGAGATTTGCACTGCGAATGCTAATTGGACCATTGCGTTGGCCTAAGAGTTATGCTCCCTTGGTAGGTGGGTGAGTCTCACCTCATCAAAGTCTAATTTTAACGAATAACGAGTTTGGAATCCTTGAGGTGATTCATTGATGATACTTGCCCCTTGTTAGATGTTCAAGAAAGAAAAGTGCAAGACAAAAAATATGTTTGTGTGTCTGATGATGTGTGTTTTCTGCCTTCATTTGGTGAGGTTTATATAGGGCGTTCGTTGGCCCATGGGTAGGCCATTGAATGACCAAAGGTCAACTCTTTCAATATTCTTCCCATTCGAGGCCCCTAAATCCATGGGATTGCATTGATGGAGATATTCTAATCTGCTTGATTTTTTTCTTGCTTTGGAATATTCTGAATTATTTATCAACCTCCTTGATTTTTTTCCTTTTGAGGCCTCCATCACGTGCACATATCCTCCGAAAATCTTAGGTTGGAATATGTGGCTTGGGCTTGGACCTCTAAGCTTTTGGAATGATATAGGGATGCCCCTCATAACCTTTGAATTCCTGGAGCTCTAATGTACGCCCAACAATTTTGATCGGGTTCTGCCATCAAGCTCCATCCGGCTGCAGTAGAGTGTAGCCTGAATTGCTTCAGCCTGACAGTCAAGCTTCACTGTCTTGGCCGCATCTCAAGCTCCAGCCTGGCCGCATCTTCCATCCACATTGGAACGCAGCCCGATCGGATCCTCCATCCACGCAGTCTGGCCAGTTTAGCTCCAAAAATCCCACAACTTTGACATCGGCCGCATAGCTCCACCAATCTGGCTGCCTTCAAGTGCAGCCCTGTTGTTAAACTGTTAACTCGCAATTGTACGGGCCAATTAGTAATATAGCAAGACAAGTACGAGGTCGTACCCACGAGGACTGAGAAGTTAAAATTAGTTATGTACTTAGATTACCAAATTCAAGAAAGTAGGAGGTTAAGTCTAAAATAGAATTTAAAGCAAGAGTGATTGTAATTGTTGAACAAATGAGGCAAAACGAAATTTCAAACAAAAGCAAAGTGAGCAAATGTAACAAAGAGTGTTTTTGTGGGCTGGAAAACAGATTGGGAGACTAGGGCATTCGATTCACCATAACAATTCAATTCTAGGTTATAAGGAGTCAAGTGACAAGTCTAATTCAGATTCAAAGATTGATTCTAGCTAAAGTATGATTAGGCCATGGTGTCTGGTCCTAACCTTGTGTTCCTAATTCCCTAACTTGATCATTTGTTGTCTAACCTAAATTAAACATTAGGAACTCATTAAGCATAGAAGAACAATTTAAACAACCAAGCATGTATCTAATCCCTGTTGTCGAATGTCCATACATACTTTTCTTATTCATAGTTCAATTCGAATCAAAGCATGGTGTCTACTCTTGATTCAAACCAAGATAGCTAATATACAAGTTCTAATGGTGATCAATCATCCAAACAAGCATATTAACTGATAAGCATAATGAATAAGAACATGAATCATGAATCAAACTTGAAACTCAAAACTTCAACTTATAAACCCAGAATATTCATGTTAGGTTACATCGAAGTCCTAGTTATGAATTTAGCTACTCATAATGGAAATGAAACTTAAACAGAAATGAGAAAACATAATGAATGTAATAAGAGTGGAAAAACCCATTTCTGAAGTTACTTGTGGTGTCCAAGGCTTCTCCAAGTGCTTCTCCACACCTAATGCTGCTCCAAGAGCTTCCTCACATCTAGAGTATGGCAACTAAAAGAGGTGATTTGGGATGAGTTTGGGTGAGTGGTGATGGCAGAGAAAGAGGAAATTCGTAGGGAAATGGAAGGAAGGCTTGTTGGAGCTGTTTTGGTGATTTGGGGCTGAGTGGAGTGTTTGGGGAAGGATGGGAGTGTTAGAGGATGGCTGAAGTGAATTTTAGGCTGAATGGAGTGACTCTCCCCTTGAATGAGTGTGCATCACTCTATTTATAGAGTGCAAATTCGTGCTCCCCCTTTGGCTGGTGAAGCACACCCATTCCTAGCTGTTCCCATTTGTCTGAGCTGCCCATTAGGTTCCCATGCTGCTGATTTGATGTGTAGCCCATGCCTCTAGGAATGTCAGCTGCCCATACCTCTTGGAGTGTCAGCTGCCCATGCCTTCTGAGTTTCCATGCTGTCTTGTCAGCACATGGCTCAACAGCTAGCAGTTGCATTCCTGAGCATGGTGTGCATTTTGATGGGCTCACGGATTGGGCTTGACTTAATCAATTGATACATTTGAGTTGTCCATCTTGAAGTTCAGACTCTCATCTTTCCAAGCACATATTACATGGGCCAATCAAAGTTGGGAGAAAGACGTTAAGGCCGAAATGAGTTGCCAACCCAGTCTGCTCGTTTTTGCACCATTTTGCATCTTTTCTTATCCAAAGGCACCATTGCTACCTAAGGCTCAATGAACTGAATGATAAACAGAAAAGGGATTAAAAGCACACGTTTGACTCAATAACATAACCAAATCATAAGTTAGAAGGGTACAAAATGATATGCAATTGTGAACTGATCAAATACCCCCAGACCTAGATTTTGCTAGTCCTCGAGCAAAACAAAAGAAAACAAAGTTCAAAACAAAACAAGAAGTTTAACTAAACCACTTCTGCGGGTAACTCGATTGCATTGAGCATATGCAACAAGCCTTTAAACCTCTAGGCATCCCTAGTAGGAGGAGTTGTGTCTCCTGAGGGTTTAACAGAAACGATACCCACAAACGCTTTACTGACTCTACAAAACAAAAGGTTAGAAAACTAACTTTGAAAACGACTAATGAAAATGAAAGAAAACTTTAATCATACCTCCAACACCAGAGAGTTGCCAAGATAGATGATCAATAAGTGTGTAAAGTGGAAGCTATAGCTCAAAGGCACACGGCTTCAAAGTAAACATACTCAAATCTTGAAGGAAGAACATGCTTCAACTCTAATTCTCACATATAGCACTCAATCACTCAGAACCTATGGTTTTATTCTCTCAAACAAGCATAAGTGAGTATATGAAATAGAAGCAGGATATTTGGTTAGATCTCATGAAGGGAATCAAATACTAAGAATAGAGATACACACATACATACCAGCACCCATGAATACATCCTCAAAGATCAGCTAGGTCTTTCACAAGGTTGTAATGAATGGCTAAGGTTAGGGGAAATGGAAGAGTTGGAAAGAACACAATTAACTTAAGAACATACCAAGGTTGCATTCTTCATTGATCTGCAAGGTATCATTGATTTAGAATGATATGGCTGCAACTTCATAGCATCATCTGGCATAGACCTTATATTTCACATTTAGATCAAATCGAAACACTTTCTCCGAAACACTTTCTCTTTATCTTTCTTATTTGCTGACTTGATCTACTTCTTCTTTAACTTCATTGCACAGATTCACACCAATTTACATTTAGGCATGTGGCAGCAACTTCCTTGCTTCAAACTTTATCTTGGCACACCTTGGTATATTTCTAAGCTATAGGGTATGGCTATAATAGGTTAAATATCTCAGATTGAGATACAAGGTTAGGGGAATTATGAGGGTGATAGAAGAAAAAGGCTTGAAGTGTTTGGCTGCAAGAGAGCTGATGGAACACACGAATGGGTAGGGTGAAAAGAAAGCACAGAGAATGGTTATACACACATAGCCTAGCATCACTTCAATGAGTTCATTCATGAATGAGAGCACGTACCTGATATCTGCAAAGAGAATCATCCTTAGTATTCAATCAAAATGGAACAATGAGATCATTTAGAGTGAATTGAAGAAAATAAGTAGAGATGAGGAATAGAAACACTTTAAACCCTCTCAAGAACGCAATTAGGCTCGAAATAGCTCACTAGGGTAGTCTCCACTATTCTCCTTCAATAATCTGAGCATGGTACCTTAGCCACCAGAATTCTAAGAGCAAAAGCTTTGTGAAGTGTAAAATTTCTGATATGAAAATCTCAATGGCAGCTCCATAGCATTGATTGTATGAAATTCAAAAAAAAATAAAATAAAAATAAAAATAAAAATAGTGACAAGCGGACGAAAATTGTAAACACAAATGAACAAAAATTGAAAACCTCCCCCCCAGACCTGAATTGAACATTGTCCTCAATGTTAAAGCATAACAAAGATGAGTGAGAACATGTAAATAATAAGGGGAAAGTTTAAGACCAAGGATTAGAGAAACTCCCTCTTGATGCGATTAGGTCGACAGCTACCAAGCACCTTATTCTTCAACACATGGGTTGCCTCCCAAGAAGCGCCTTAGTTAATGTCTTGGCAAGACATTATGCGATTAGCTAACTTGATTGTACGAATGGAAGATGATCCACCACATGACCAGTTTGAATTCCAACTGACACTCCCTCATAGAATGGCTTTAAACGTTGTCCATTTACTTTGAAAGTCGAGCCATCTTTAGGGTTTTGAATCTCCACAGCTCCATAGGGAGAAACATTGACCACGGTGAATGGGCCAAGCCACCTAGACTTCAATTTTCCTGGAAAGAGACGCAAACGTGAGTTAAACAAAAGAACTGACATACCTTTGGTGAACTCTTTCCGTTGAATGTTCCTGTCATGGTAACTCTTGGTTCGTTCTTTGTAAAGCCTTGCATTCTCATAGGACTCATGTCTAATTTCTTCCAATTCATTGAGCTGAAACTTTCTAACATGGCCGGCCTTGTCCAGATCAAAATTCAACTTCTTGATGGCCCAAAAAGCATTGTGTTCAAGCTCCATTGGCAAGTGACAGGCTTTCCCAAACACAAGACGATAAGGGCTCATTCCGATGGGAGTCTTATATGCAGTCCTATAAGCCCATAATGCATCATTGAGCTTGGCAGCCCAATCTTTCCTTGTACTATTCACCACCTTCTCTAGGATCTGCTTAATTTCTCTGTTGCTTATTTCTACTTGACCAGAAGTTTGAGGATGATATGGTGTAGAGACTCGGTGGGTGATGTTGTACTTCTTCATGAGTGCTTCAAATGGCTTGTTGCAGAAGTGGCTGCCTCCATCACTAATGACAGCCCTTGGAGTACCAAACCTTGTGAAAATATTGTCCCTCAGGAACTTCAGCACCACCTTTATGATCATTGGTTTTGGTGGCTATGGCTTCCACCCATTTAGACACATAATCAACAGCAACAAGTATGTAGGTATATCCAAAGGAAGATGGGAATGGTCCCATGAAATCAATACCCCATACATCGAAGAGTTCCACAAAGAGTATGTTCTTCAATGGCATTTCGTTCCTGCGGCTTATGTTTCCCATCCTTTGACACCTATCACACTTAACACAAAAATTAAATGCATCTTTGAATAGAGTAGGCCAAAAGAAACCTGATTGCAAAATTTTAAGTGCTGTTTTCTTAGCTCCAAAGTGGCCTCCACAAGCCAATTCGTGGCTATGCCTAAGGATGCTTTCTTGTTCTTCTTCTGGAACACATCTTCTAATGAGTTGATCTGGGCAATGCTTGAATAAGAAAGGTTCATCCCAAACATAATGTTTCACCATGGAAAAGAACTTCTTTTTGTCCTGATAAGTTAGATCATTTCTAAGAACACCACAAGCAAGATAATTAACAAAATCAGCATACCATGGCTCTTTGACTTGGGCAACAAATAGCTGTTCATCTGGGAAAGTCTCATTCAAGGGTAGTACAGCTTCTCCTTGCTCTTCAACCACAATTCTGCTCAAATGGTCAGCCACCACATTTTCACATCCCTTCTTGTCTCGAATCTCCAAATCGAACTCTTGCAGCAAGAGAATCCATCTGATCAAGCGTGGTTTGGCGTCCTTCTTAGTGAGCAAGTATCTAAGAGCAGCATGGTCAGAATAAACAATTACTTTAGAACCAACAAGGTAAGAACGAAATTTTTCTAAAGCAAAAACCACAGCAAGCAACTCCTTCTCTGTTGTGGAGTAATTGAGTTGGGCATCACTCAAGGTCCGGCTCGCATAATGAATCACATGGGGAAGCTTGTTCTTCTTTTGACCTAGAACTGCACCAATAGCAAAGTCAGAGGCATCACACATTATTTCAAATGGTAAAGACCAATCTGGAGCTATGATAATAGGGGCTGAAGTTAGCTCTTTCTTCAAGGTCGTAAAAGCTTCCATGCAAGTTTCGTCAAACTCAAAAACAGCATCCTTAGCAAGGAGATTACACAATGGTCTTGAAATGCTCGAAAAATTTTTGATGAACCTTCTATAGAATCCGGCATGGCCCAGAAAGCTTCTAACTCTTTTAACAGAGGAAGGGGGTGGTAGATTTGAGATGATATTTATCTTGGCTTTGTCCACTTCAATTCCCTTGCTTGAAACAACATGGCCTAGCACAATTCCTTGTCTTACCATGAAGTGACACTTCTCCCAATTCAAAATCAGATTTGTTTCCTGACATCTTTTAAGCACTAGAGACAAGTGGTGAAGACAATCATCAAAAGATGAACCAAAAACTGAAAAATCATCCATAAATACCTCCATGAATCGTTCCACCATATCAGAAAAGATTGCCATCATGCATCTTTGGAAAGTTGCTGGAGCATTGCACAAACCAAATGGCATCCTTCTATAAGCAAATGTACCGAATGGGCATGTGAACGTGGTTTTCTCCTGGTCTTCCGGAGCAATGGGAATTTGATTATACCCTGAAAATCCATCAAGAAAACAGTAGTAAGCATGGCCAGATAAACGGTCAAGCATTTGATCAATGAAAGGCAAGGGAAAATGATCTTTTCTTGTGGATGTGTTCAACTTCCTGTAATCGATGCAAACTCTCCAACCAGTGATAGTTCGTGTTGGAACTAGCTCATTCTTCTCATTCTTTACAACGGTGATTCCGGACTTCTTTGGAACAACTTGCACAGGACTCACCCACTTAGAATCTGAAATTGGGTAGATGATTCCCACATCAAGTAGCTTTAAAACTTCAGCCCTAACCACCTCTTTCATGTTGGGATTTAGCCTTCTTTGTGCATCACGAGATGGTTTGCTGTCTTCTTCCATTAAAATTCGGTGCATGCACATGCTTGGACTAATTCCTTTGATGTCTGCTATGGTCCATCCAAGGGCTGTTTTATGCTCTTTCAGAACTTCAATTAAGCTGTCCTCTTCATGTGAGGTGAGACCTGCAGCAATTATAACAGGGAGAGTTTCATTAGCACCCAAATAAGTATGTTTAAGATGATTGGGTAGAGGTTTAAGTTCTAGCTTTGGTGGGGTAATAATGGATGGCTCCAATTTTGTGGAGGATGGTCCAAGAGGCTCGAGCGGTGGCCTAAAGGATGGTGGGTATGGCTGAAACACTTCTAAGGCAGCCATCACCTCTTGGAACTCTGATTCATAGAGATCTTCCTCTTCTTGTGTTAGGACCGCTTCTAGAGCATCATTAGACTTTTTCTGCATAATTTTAGAAGAAACCTCATGATCCACAACATCAATTGAAAAACAAGTATCAAGAGTGATAGAAGGTTGAGAGAGAGCATCAAACACTTTAAATTCAACAGTTTCACCCAAAACAGTCATGGAGAGGGTGCCATCTTTCACTTTGATGATTGTGTCTGCAGTGGCCATGAATGGTCGCCCGAGGAGAATGGGATCAACGCGGTTTCCATATGGGTTATCCTCCATATCCATCACTACAAAATCAGCCGGAAGAATGAGTGTATTAACTTGAACTAAAATATCTTCTACAATACCTTTAGGATATTTGATAGAATGATCAGCTAGTTCAAGACGAATTGAGGTTTTCTTTATCCCTTCTAAGCCAAGCTCCTGATAAACTGAATATGGCATTACATTGATGCTTGCTCCCAAGTCCAACATGGCTCTTCCAACCGTCTTATCTCCGATGTTAATGGGAATGTCAAAGCTGCCAGGATCTTCTAGTTTTGGTGGAAGCTTCCTTTGCAACACAGCACTCACATTCTTGTTGAGCTTTACTTCTTCACTTGGAGCAAAATTAAGCTTGTGAGTCATCAAGTGCTTGATGAACTTTCCATATGCAGGAATCTGTTTAACAACATCAAGCAAGGGCAAATTGATATTAACTTTACTCAAAATATCATAAATCTCTTTAAAAGCCTTATCTTGATTTGCCTTCTTCAAACGGCCTGGAAATGGAATCGGTGGAATATATGGAGGAGGTGGGATGTATCTATCTTGATGAAGATGCGATGGCACAAATTTGTCATCTCTTTTATGCAATTGAAATGGATTGGGTTCCTGAGAATCAGATTTGGCCTTAGGAGCAGATTGGGACGTTTTGGGTTGTTCTCCTTCCATAGTTGTGGTTTCCTCTTCATCTTCATCCTCTACAACCACAACATCATTTGATAGATCAGAACCAACTTTGTTATCAACAATCTTACCTGATCTGAGCACATGAACGGCCTTGGCTTCTTGGTTTTTTGGATTGATCACGGTTTGGCTTGGCCATTTCCCAGGTTCTCTTTGAGCTATTTCAGTAGCTATCTGGCCTAATTGGACTTCCAACTTGGAGATGGCAGCTTGTGTAGTTTGCTGGAAATTGGATTGGTTGATTGCCATTTGCTTCACTATATCCTCCAACGATGATGATTGTTGTGGCCTTTGGAGTGAAGGGGGATTCGCTTGATTCTGTGTATTCCTCCATGAAAAGTTTGGATGATTCCTCCAACCTGGATTATAACTTTGGGAATATGGATCATTTATTGGACCTCGGTTGTAGGAATTCACCAACTTAGCTTGCTCTTGCACAAATTCTGGATATGCAGCCCCAAGGGGACAAGAAATGGTAGGATGATCATGAGTTTCACAGATGCTACACACTTCCTTTGAAGGGTTTCTTGAGTTCAATGCAAGGAGGGCATCAAGCTTTTGTTCCAATTTGGAAATCTGCACACTGGAAGAATCATTAGAACCACCAGCAATACGTTTACCTCTTGTATCGGTGTGTTGGGTCTCCATTGCTATCTCCTCAAAGAGTTCATATGTTTCTTCTGGAGTCTTAGTCTTATAAGAACCACCTGCAAAATTAGTGACAATATTATGGCTAGAGGGGGTTAGTCCTTTATAAAACATACGCATCTGAAGCTTCAATGGAATCCCATGATGAGGACATTGATTGAGCAGCCCATTGAATCTCTCCCATGCTTCACAAAATGACTCATCATCTTGTTGTGCAAATAGTAAGATCTTGTCCCTAAGCATGTCGGTTTTTTGCGTGGAGAAGTATTTTTCTAAGAACTTCTTTTGAATGGCTCCCCAAGTCGTGAGTGAACCAGGCTTCAAAGAATTCAACCAATATTTCGCCTTGTCTTTCAAAGTGTAAGGAAACACTCTCATTCGAAGTTGATCTTCCGTCACACCTGTCAAGGGAAAAGAGCTCACAGCATTAAAAATATCCTTTATATGGGTTAATGGATCTTCATTAGGTAAACCATAAAAGGAAGGCAACATATTAAGATGAGAAGATTTAAGCTCATAGTTTCGAGCTGCGGTGGGCAGCAAGATGCTTGAAGGGGATGCTGGAATTGTTGGGATATCAAGGTCTCCCATGAACTCATTGGCAGCCATCTCTTCTTCTTCTTCTTGGTCTGAACTTGATTCCGAATTTGAAGGTGAAGAACCTGGGAGGTCAGTGTGGATAGCAAGACCTTCAAATGTGGCAATGGCTTGCTCTTTCGCAGTTGCCAACTCTCTTTCTAGACGATTCTGAATTTCAGAGATCACCCGGTTTGGTTGCAAAGATGGTCTTGTGTTCAAAGATCTCGAACGTTGGAATGAAGACCTCACTTGTTCAAGTAAGGGATTTCTAGACATAAACTACCTGAAACAGAAAATAACTTGAGTTAATTAGTACTACTAAAAGAATAGGGTAACCTTGGGCACATAACCAGGGAAGAACTTTCATTCAATCCCCGGCAACGGCGCCAAAATTTGTTGTTAAACTGTTAACTCGCAATTGTACGGGCCAATTAGTAATATAGCAAGACAAGTACGAGGTCGTACCCACGAGGACTGAGAAGTTAAAATTAGTTATGTACTTAGATTACCAAATTCAAGAAAGTAGGAGGTTAAGTCTAAAATAGAATTTAAAGCAAGAGTGATTGTAATTGTTGAACAAATGAGGCAAAACGAAATTTCAAACAAAAGCAAAGTGAGCAAATGTAACAAAGAGTGTTTTTGTGGGCTGGAAAACAGATTGGGAGACTAGGGCATTCGATTCACCATAACAATTCAATTCTAGGTTATAAGGAGTCAAGTGACAAGTCTAATTCAGATTCAAAGATTGATTCTAGCTAAAGTATGATTAGGCCATGGTGTCTGGTCCTAACCTTGTGTTCCTAATTCCCTAACTTGATCATTTGTTGTCTAACCTAAATTAAGCATTAGGAACTCATTAAGCATAGAAGAACAATTTAAACAACCAAGCATGTATCTAATCCCTGTTGTCGAATGTCCATACATACTTTTCTTATTCATAGTTCAATTCGAATCAAAGCATGGTGTCTACTCTTGATTCAAACCAAGATAGCTAATATACAAGTTCTAATGGTGATCAATCATCCAAACAAGCATATTAACTGATAAGCATAATGAATAAGAACATGAATCATGAATCAAACTTGAAACTCAAAACTTCAACTTATAAACCCAGAATATTCATGTTAGGTTACATCGAAGTCCTAGTTATGAATTTAGCTACTCATAATGGAAATGAAACTTAAACAGAAATGAGAAAACATAATGAATGTAATAAGAGTGGAAAAACCCATTTCTGAAGTTACTTGTGGTGTCCAAGGCTTCTCCAAGTGCTTCTCCACACCTAATGCTGCTCCAAGAGCTTCCTCACATCTAGAGTATGGCAACTAAAGAGGTGATTTGGGATGAGTTTGGGTGAGTGGTGATGGCAGAGAAAGAGGAAATTCGTAGGGAAATGGAAGGAAGGCTTGTTGGAGCTGTTTTGGTGATTTGGGGCTGAGTGGAGTGTTTGGGGAAGGATGGGAGTGTTAGAGGATGGCTGAAGTGAATTTTAGGCTGAATGGAGTGACTTCCCCTTTGAATGAGTGTGCATCACTCTATTTATAGAGTGCAAATTCGTGCTCCCCCTTTGGCTGGTGAAGCACACCCATTCCTAGCTGTTCCCATTTGTCTGAGCTGCCCATTAGGTTCCCATGCTGCTGATTTGATGTGTAGCCCATGCCTCTAGGAATGTCAGCTGCCCATACCTCTTGGAGTGTCAGCTGCCCATGTCAGCTGCCCATGCCTTCTGAGTTTCCATGCTGTCTTGTCAGCACATGGCTCAACAGCTAGCAGTTGCATTCCTGAGCATGGTGTGCATTTTGATGGGCTCACGGATTGGGCTTGACTTAATCAATTGATACATTTGAGTTGTCCATCTTGAAGTTCAGACTCTCATCTTTCCAGCACATATTATATGGGCCAATCAAAGTTGGGAGAAAGACGTTAAGGCCGAAATGAGTTGCCAACCCAGTCTGCTCGTTTTTGCACCATTTTGCATCTTTTCTTATCCAAAGGCACCATTGCTACCTAAGGCTCAATGAACTGAATGAAAAACAGAAAAGGGATTAAAAGCACACGTTTGACTCAATAACATAACCAAATCATAAGTTAGAAGGGTACAAAATGATATGCAATTGTGAACTGATCAAGCCCGAATTACTTTGTGGACTCCCAACCACTCGAATCCGTCAAACTTGACTGCCAAATTCAAAATCCCGGGCTCCCATCTTTCAATGCCCTGGGCCATTCGATTTAACACCCTAGTCAATATTCTCGCATTTGGCTGTAACTCATAAAACCTAGCTGCTTGTATTTTCGAAAGGTTCCCGAGTTGGGTGAATTTTCACTACCCCCACATAGGTATGTGATATTTTGATGGTGTTGTGGTTGTTCAAATGTGGAGGAATGGTCTTTTATAGACATTTAGACCTCGTTTGAGATTGCTTTTTTGGCCAAAAATCTGCTTCACTTCAAAGTTAAGCAGTCTAAGGCGTTTGGTAAAAATAAAATATCTTGATTATTTTAAAAGCAGTGGTTTTTTAACAGTAGCTTTTAAAAGCGGGCTCTAGTTACTTTTCAAAGTTTCTTTCAAAAGAAGCAGAGATAAACATTTAAGGAATTTTTTAATTCCCAAAATACCATCATTCATTTTTAAAAATGACACCATCTCCACTGTCACGTCCCGGACTCGAGGGTCGGTGAAAACCATGCGCCCGGTGTGTGAGAAAGTAAAAAGTAAAATAAAGTAAAAAGAAACCGAAACATGGGTTTAAAATAAACTTCTCTTATAAAAATAGATTCAAAAATCTTACAACTTTACAATTAATAAACAAAGCTCTATCACTCTCATCTAATTCAGCCTCAACTGGTTTAGTCCTTGTATTGCCCACTAATTCATCTGAAAAGTTAAACAGGGTGAGGGATGAGCAACCACCGCTCAGTGAGTAGATTATGTAATATGCCAGTCAAACAGTGCCGTTTTACACACTCTAGAAAATATCATGAAAAGATACATCAATCCAAATCATATCACATCATCCCTTCATATCTTGGTTATCCTTTATAGCATGTAACCAACCACGTGACCCCTATTGGTCTCACTGCCCTATGTCCCCGTGTGGTACATCTATCCCTCGGATACTCCAACATTGAAGTTCTCATGTTCCATGAATAATACATACTTCATAAATATTCCAATCAATATATATAGTGTGTGAAAGATTGCATCAAATTAGACATGCTTGACTTGAAATAGAAAGATATTTGTAAATAGAACAAATCCATGATAATTCATGGTTTTCATATTTTATCACAAAATAAGAACTTTTAGAACACATTACATAAACCACTCACCTAGGTAATGAGAGCCCTTAAAATAAATTGGCAAGACAACCCATTTACCTATCTTCATGTACTATCACCCAAACCAAACTCCAAGAGTTTCATCACCACTCTCTCTCTCCTTCTCTCTCACATTTCTTTCTTGTTTCTTACTCTTATTTCAAATTTGAAAGGTCCTATTTATACAAGTGTAAGTTGGCAAGCACAAAGATCCTATTGGATAATTGTTTGGTGGTTAAAGGAGATATGCATGGAAAACCTTATATAATATAAACTAATATTAATCCTATCACAAAAGTAGATTAAGTAACCAGAAATTTGACACATCAACCCTAAGAGATAAATGATATATGCATGTGCTCCAAGTGGCATGAATTTGACGCCAACTCCCATATAAAGCCACCAATTGCCAATCAAAAGATAATTCTAACACCTCATGCTTCTTATATACATATTTAATATAATAAAATACATATAATTATTAAAATGGTAAAACAACTATATATATAATCAATTTAAATATATAACTAAATAGGCAGCAATATATATATATATTTATTTAAATACAGGTCTTCACATCCACTTCCACATCCAACTCCACCATTTGCACTACCACATTCATTACCTCCACAACCATCGCCACCACAACAACCACCTCCTCCACCACCTCCACCTCCACCTCTACCTCCACCACCACCATCACCACCACTACCACAACCACCACCACCATCACCACCACCACTACTATCACCACCATCACCACCACCACCTCCCCAAACATGGAGCTGCTTTACTTTACAGCTAATTATTTTCAAAGCACAGCAGAAGCAACTTTTTTTAAAAGTGACAGCAATCCCAAACTAGGTCTTAATAACATGTAACTTTTACCACATAAACTAAAAAATTAAGGCATTCAATATAGAAATAAAACCTGAAAATTAAACATAGAACTCAATCATATGATAAACCATCACAGAAAAGGCCTAATTTCGGTCCAAAAGAGCAATTCGAGGATATGGTTCTTACCTAAATGCTTTTGGTGAAGTTGCAAAATCACTTTGTCCTCATGATCAAACCTTTCAACAGCTAAAAAAAGAATGAAAGGAAATTTTCATTGTAATTCCAAGAACATGCAGGGAAGAACAAAGGCACCAATTTTCAATCCAGCATAATTATAGGACAAAGACTCAACCTATTGCCTTTATATCCTGAGTTTGCACAGAAACACAGGTGATTTCAATGAAAATTACTAATCTTATTAATTGGTTGATCTCAAACAGTCTTATAAGCACAATTAGTGAATTGCTATCCATAAAATAATAGTCAAACGTTTAAAAAGATGAACTGTTCTGTTTTTTCTGCCATTTCTTAGCAAATAAACATAGGGTAAGTAGGTTTTTTCTTTTTTTTTTTTTTGATTTTATATTGAAGGCAACCATCCAGTTGAGAGATTGGTCAATTAGTTCAAAATATCAGCTTTAAATCATATTTTGTTTACATGCAAACAGATATTAAGTTCAAAAGGTTCATTATCCACATGCTCAAATAGAGAGAGGTAGAGAGACTTTGCCTGCTTAATAAGAATAGGTAAAGAAAGTAGGAGAAATAAATTGTATACCTTGAAATTCTTTAACTTTGAGGCTTGTAAAAGTCACAAATGCAGGTGGCACTAACTGTTGTAAAGCTTTTACATCGAAAGTCTTTGCTGTGTCGCCCCACAAAGTGACTCTAATTTTCCCGCTTTTGTATCAATAGAGATATAAAAATAAATAAAATCATTTTATAAGATAGGTACATTTTGAAAATTTATAGATGTTTTGTTAATATTTATACATAATATTTTCAATGTGGATTTCACACTTTGTTTCCTTGCGTTGTCAATCATTTTGTTTTCAAATCTTGTGGTGCAGTGATGTGTCCCAGAACATCTTGCAATTTAACAAAATAACATCATAAGATAATTAGAATGTGTAAAAGCTGAAATACTGAAAATGGCATATATAAAAAATTATTTGTATGTATATGCAGATTGTTACTTTTTAGGATTGAATCATCATTTATTCGAGAGAATAAGTTGTTGTAATCAACAAAATAGAAACATGCCCTGCATGCTTGAAAAAGAAGGGGGTAAAGTTACAGACAAATATACCACAAAACAGTAATTCTTATCGAATTTTAATCTATGCCGTGATCTAAAAAGTAGGATCTGGTAAATAACAAAACAACATAAGCAAAAGATGAATCTACTAAATTAAAAACATTGACGATTAATGAGGAAGAAAAGTATTGTAGATTAAATGAGTTGTTTAAGTATGGATATACATTTAGTTGAATGCAATCAGCATCATAAATGTAAATATAAGGCCAAAATTATCAAAAACGCTAGAGATTAGATTGCAGAATTAACAATGAAAGTTGATCAATAAGACTTGTGTTAAGAGTCAAATATTATCGTTTAAAATATATAGAAGATTTTTTGTTTATGGCCATGAAGAAAATAATGGGTTTTTTGTGTGGCATACACGTTATTTCAAATGCGTTCTCATAAATTGTATGAGTTATTACAAATTGTAATAAATTTGAAGCGGAAATTATATAAACAAACTATCAATCTGATAAGCTAAAATCATACACGATTAATGAGGGAAAAAATTATTCAAAATGAATGGTGTTGTTTAAACATGAATATACCTTTAATTGAATGCGGTGAATATTCTAAATGTAGATGAAAGACCAAAATTATGGCAAATGGCAAGGGTTAGATTGTATAATTAACAATAAGAGTTATTAATAAGACATGTGTTACAGTGACATATTAATGTTCAAGCAAATACACAATTCATGTAGATCCAGTTACTGTTTAAGTTGAAATAGTGTAAAAGACTGATTTTCTCACCATTGCATCAACCAAGACGCATTGCAAACTAGCAAATTGATCATTAGATCTGAACACTTTTGGTCTCCAAGTTTTGCGTACACGCATTCTAATTTTCATGCCGGATTGAAAGGGGTGCAAATTGTGGATTAGAATACTGTTCATTGTGCCATCAATCTGAAGAGAAAAAATATATGCCCTTGGTTAGTATAAAGATGCATAAAAATTATTGCATAAAATAGAGGAATGTTTAATCATGTATGAATAGAAGCTGAAACCTTATACTAAATTTTAAAGAACATCCTTGTACACTATGTTTTTAGTGTATTTATTTGGCACTTCCTTATTATTATCTATTATGATTTTGAGGCCTTCTCTAGACGTAGATCTAGATAACGCAACATAAAGCTGTCCATGAGTGAAAACAGGTTGGGGAAGATATAACCCAACTTGATTTAAAGATTGACCATGACTTTTGTTTATTGTCATAGCATAGCATGGCCTAATTGGAAATTGGCGCCTTTTAAAAATGAAAGGCCATTTGTTTTCTGTTTTGAAAGAATGATCCTAGGTATAAACACTTTGTGGCCAATGTGGCTACCAATGAGTATTTTGCTTCAATAACTCTATCAACCATTTGGGTCACAACTAATCTTGTTCCATTACATAAACCTGAAGATTGATTTAGGTTTCTCAATAACATTAGGCATGCCTATTTTTAAAGTCAAACTATGTTTAGGCAAACCATTGAATTCAAGTTGATTGAGAAATTCTATGGGATACATCATACAAAGGTTTTCAAAATTGGTTGATGATGAACATAAAGAATCTGAGCTTAAATAATTGCGTTTTTCTCCTAGCAATAAGTCTATTGCGTAATTATTTATCTCTATCACAGTATAATAATGGTTCGTTCCCTTAAATAAGCAAAATCAGCAAATTTTTTGTCAAAATCTGGGTAAATTTTTTGTCAAAATCAGCAAATTGATGAATAGGATCTATGTATGATTGAATGAGTAAATCTTGAGGAATTTCAATCCAAGGTGCCTCTTCATCATTTGGATCGTCAATATCAATTATATGGCCATTTCCAAGTCGAAGAATCCAAGCATCGAACTCACTTATTTTCTGTTTTTCTTCATTGTTCAATCCTTTTTTTGATAGCCTCATGTTTTCTTTTAAACTGAATATTTTAAAATAAGGCCATAGGTAAGAGCTATTAAGAGATGCGTCTATGATTTCTTTTCTTGTTCCTCTTGGAATAACTGGCAATATATGTCTAAAATCACCACCTAGCAAAAAAGGCTTGCCACCAAATGGAGCATTTTGATTTGAATCATTGAGATGCGATAAAATATCTCGAAATGATTTATCTAATGCTTCAAAACAATGTTTATGATTCATAGGAGCTTCATCCCAAACAATCAATTCAGCCTTTTCAATCAATCTGGCAAGATGAGTTGTTTTTTTAATTTGACATGTTGAGGAATTGGTAACAATTAAGGGAATCTTAAATCTAGAGTGAGCTGTTCTACCACCTAGCAATAATAATGACGCTATTCCTGATGAAGAAACAACTAAAACAATCTTGCCTTAAGATCTAATTTTACTTATTATATTATGCCACAAAAAAGTTTTTCCAGTTCCTCCATGGCCATGAACAAAAAAAAGGCATGGTTTTTTCTCATTCACAACATTAATCACAGAATCATATGCATCTCTTTGGCCTTTGTTAAGCTGTGCTATCAAAATTGATTGTTCTTTTTCTAAATGATGAACATCATAATTTAACTCTTCTCTTAGCAATTTAATTCTAATTTATGACATTTTATGTTCATCAGGCATATAAGATAATGATCTTTTAAAGAGCTAGACGATGCGTTAAAAAGTTCTAATTCAAAAAAAAGTGAATTTTTTAATTCAGATTCTGACAAAATAAGATTTGGCATTAAAAAGTTTTCTGTAGTGTGTACAAAATTTCATCACAAAACAAATGACTGTAACAAACAATTGTCTTAGTTGAGAACATGAGGCTGTGTCCATAGCATTTGCTAAGGCCTCAATCCATTCTTTATCATCTCCTAACAAACCAAGGCATTTGCATGCAGCTTAATATGACGGATGTATGATACTATCAATAGTTTTGATGTGATCAAAATCTAAGGCACCTTTTTGCAAATTCAAAAGCATTCTCAAGTAATACAATTCACCAGATGCAGGATGTACATAGGTTATTCTACCTATCGATCTCCTTTTTTTCCTAGGTTTCCAAATTTGTTGCGAGAATCCCATACAAATTTTGTAGGGAATTCTGCATAAGTCAATGTTCGCGCTTCAGGAAACATTTGGTTTGCTTTAAACCAACTTGTTAGCATTGTATCTTCAATACCCTTTTGGCTAACAATTGATTCAAGTGATTGATCACCATTGAAAACAACATTTTGTTCTAAAGGCAAATGTATTGATAATCATTCAACAACAGGCTCTCTAAAATGAATAGGGTACTGAAACAATCTCCAAACGGCTTCATATGGAGATATGTATCTACAATTAAGATAAGCTAATATCTCATCTTCTGGCTTGTCTTGAAAAACTACTCTAGCTCTATCTGAACCTTTGTTTATATATTTAAAAGATATTTTATAAGCATTGATTGACAATATGATTCAAAATTTATGTGAGCGTTGTATCTCAATAATAGTTCTGAATTGTAAGGCACCACAAAGCTGTTGTTAACCTTTATTCCATTTTTTAGCACAAATTTTGTTGGATCTTCACGGCGCCTATATGTAGGAAAACCATTTTTTTCAAAAACTGATTCACTCTTGTATTGTTTGGGAAAAGATTTAGAACACACACCTCCCCGCATGCAAGGAGAATTACGGTTGATTTCCCCACAAGGACCGTGGATCATGAATTGGTTTATAGCATCATAAAGCATAGGATCCACATCCTTGTCTGGTAATTCAGCAGAAATGATGGAATCTATATCTACTGCTGAGAAGCACTTATAACCTT